GGGGGCTTAGACGGTGTGTGGGTCGTGGAGGAATGGGCGGGAGTCTTCTCGGAAGTTCCAGGTGCGTCTGTACAGGCGCATTTCCCCCTCCTCATCGAGTCTCCAACCGCACAGATGGTCTGGCAGTACATGGCCTTCGTCTCGATGTCCACCTGCGTACTTCACCTCGGCGACGTCAATGTCTCTCTCCGTGAGGCCTGGTGAGGTGGGGACCGAGGTGGCGATGGAAGCCGAGTCGTCGTCTTCGTCGAACAGCGATGTTCGCGAGGTGCTTCTGCTGATCGAGCTCGAGTCGCTCGCGTACGATGCAACGCGTCCGGCTCTGCGCGCAAACACCGCGGGGGAACGTTCGATCATCCACTCGACATTGTCGGCAATCACACTGATGCGTCCCGCCAGATCATCGTGCTGCGTCTTGGCCTTTTTGTAGATGACGTGCTGGCAAATCGGGTATACCTCGTACCTCTTATCCTGCGACTGGGTTTCTCGGATCCATTTGAGCGCGGCCATGTTGTCGGCCACACGGTCGTCACCACCCATCTGGATGTAGACGGGATGACGAATCTCGTGCGCGCGCTGGCGCAGATCCTCCATCGCTTTCACGATGCACCACAGGTGGCCGATTCGGAACGACCCCTTGTGCGAGCGTGGATCCTGCATCACCAACGACTCGTACACCTTCGGATCCTTGTCAACCACCTTCTTGTGTGGCACAATCGCCTCCAACCTTCCCAACCCAAACACGAAGAGCAGCACAAGAAAGAGCCAGCGTAACGCCGTGTTGACCACGACGAATTTGGCGTTGTACGCCACCATTGGTCCTACGCCCACGAGCCCGTCGATGGGGATCTCGTCTGGGTCTGTTTCATCGTATCGGTACGAGGCCGGGTACTGCAGCGCGTAGGAGAACGCCACCAGGCCGCCGAACGAGAGGCCGAGCATGAACGTCTTGCGACGCTCGAGCTTGGTCGGGCGCACGGTGGGGAAGCACGAAGCTGCCTGATCGCGCTGCGCCACATCGTGCAGCACCGCATGCAGTCCTTCGCAGAACCCAGCCATGTTGCGCTGATACACGTGCAGCCCGGATGAAAAGCCGTGCGACGGCAAGTCTGGCACGATGAGTCGGAATCCAGCATCAAGATACCGACGACACTGACTCGCCAGTGTCCCAGAATGAACGCCCGTCCCATGCCTACGATTCCGAAGCGTCAGTCAAGCCCAGATTAAGGTGAAGGCGATGTGGTCGCAACTTACACAAAGATCATGTCGGCATTTCGGCCGGTCTGGACGACAGCGATGGGATCCTGCCATACTTGATACCACACCCAGTCCTTGCCGTTGGCGAGCATGACGCGGTGGAAGCTGATCTCAACATCGTCCTTTTCGTATAGCCGCTTCTCCATCGCCGAGAACGGCACGCCCCATCGGCCGTATGTGCGATCGCGCGGCTCGTATAGCCCGCTCGACTCGGCGAGCGGCCCACCCCACACCTCCCACAGCATGCTCCCGATCGAAGAGCATGTTGTCCACATTGTGATGCTGTATATGCTGATCTTCGGCGTGATGATGCCTTCCGCGTTGATCCTGTGTATGCTTTTCGATGCCTGTGTCCTTGTGTCTTGTTGGGAACGAGAGAGATGAGCGTACGAGACAAGGTGATGAAGAGCTCTATGGGCACGGACAACCACAAGAGCTTGGATGGTGAAGAGAAGAAAGCAAGACGAGACGTGCGGAGAGAAGAGGCCAAGATCGACATCGACTTTGTAGAGCGGAGACGGTACGCTTGGACATCACTCCGGTCTTGGGTGTGCTTGAAGCGCGTTTGCCGTTGTGTATGTCTCGCTTGCCTGGACGAGCAGAGAATGCATGAACCGATTGCCGCCACCGGCCCAGCGCGGGGGGAGCCAGGCCCAGCCAGCACACCACCTACACTTCAATTTCGTGCTGCCCGCGAAGCAAAAACAAGCGCAGACGCTTCTGCAGGACTGGACGAGAACCGACCTTGCGCCTAGGGTGTGGCTCGAGCCGGCGGAACTGTGCTGCATGGCTGTTGTCACGTCTGCACGAGTGCCACATTCCGTCGTTTCTAGTCTCAGGCTGCTCGCACCAAGTCAGCCGCTGCCTTTGCCACACTACATCCAAGCCTCCTGAAGGGCCGATCGAGGTGCGAATCCTGAAGCGGCTGCGAGGCCAGGCGCAAGGGAAGCCGCTTCGTGCAGGATCACAGGAGCACACGAGACGCGTGCACCACCTGAACCATGTCGGTGGAGTGCAAAGCGAGTGTTGGTGTGGGTTGACGTCGTGAGCCTCGTGGGGTACATGAGGGATCGGCAAGGCCAGCGCAAAGATGTGTGGGGTTCCGGCTGGATGTCCAGCGCAAACGCAGCATGGCAGGAATGTGCGGCTTTGGACACGACGCGTGGTGCATGCCGAACCCCCAACGCCAAGTGCCAAAAGCCAAAGTGTCAGGGGTCGCGCTGTCAAATAAAATTATATAAAAAAATTAAATTCAATGAAGCCCGCTCAGATCTCAATTTTGCCCCACACCGGCATTCATCATGGCAGCGCCGAGCAAGCCAAGGCAGGACAAGGTATGCCCAGAGAACGGCTTCATGTTGTTGTGAAGCTTGGCAGAGACAGTCGTCCTCGTTGAGCTCCAGATAAAGTCTTGAACAATCGTAGACAGGTTGCAGCAGCCTTGGATCACTCTTGGACAAAGTCGCCGTGGAAGTTTTCATCAGCGACGGGCGAGTGCTCATAAGTCAAAGATGCGTGACTTCAGAGAATGCCTCCAGCTTCTGTGTGTTGCGTGATTGAGCAGCATCTGCGTCGAACAGCAATCATGGGGTGGGGTGCTATCAACGAGCTCGAGTTCAGCCTGAGATCGGCACGACAAGGAGCTCGAAGCGACTTCGCTCGGCAGAGCCAAAGCGGTGGAACTGACAGATCAACCTCGCGTGCATTCTGCACACTTGATCGACCTTGTCTCAGGCTGGGGCACCCTTACTGTCTTCTCGTAGCCTGCGTAGAGATGGCGGCCCAGCCCCCGCCACCGCCCTTTGCCAGTGCCGTATCCGACATGTCCCCGACATTCCGCATAAATAAAATCATAAATTAAATAATATATTTAAATTGACGCGCTGTGGTGCACAGCGCTGGCCCCGTGCAGCGCTGCATTCCAGTTCTGGACTTCGCGATGCTCGCCGCCACGCTGCAGCGCAAGCCAGCACGGCCGTCTTGGACACCTTGCTCCCAGCTGCTCGCTCCTGGCACTCAGAAGCCATGTCGCTGTGTGTCTCAGTGCCCAACCGGACGCGTGCAACAGTCTCAGTCCACGTGCAGCCACCCACCGCTCGCCCTTGTAGCGTGGCTGTCATCGCCGCTGTTCGAGCCCCTTTCCGCAACAGACTGCCAGTGTTGGCCAAGTCGTGAGGCTTGCTCGCAATCCTGTGTTGGTCCCGGTCGCCTAAGTTCGTTGCCAACCGCTGGAGTATCCGCCTGCGTTCGAGACCGAATGCAGATTCGAACAAGCCGCCAAGTCGATCTCTTTGTCCATACTGCCTTCTTCACCACCATCCTCGTATCTTGATCTCAGCAAAAGCGGAAGCTGGCTCTTCCGACCACCACACACCTTGCACACTTGGCCACTGCAGCTCTCCGTTCGCATCAGCACAAGCTCGGACCGCGACGCCTGGACGACAGACTGACCGTTCCAGCATGTATCACCAGACCGGCGGGCAGCCAGCCCAATATGATAACAGGCGCGAGCAAAGTCCAGAGCAAAATGGACCCATCCCCAACACAAGAAGATCATACGGCCTCGGCTTGAGCGGTCCAGGCATGGACGACGCCGAAAGCAGCATTGCAAGGGGTCAGCCAACATACGAGCCATGGTCCGGGCCCGAGCCCATGGAGCCGCTGGCCAACTCTCCCTCGACAGCATACTTCCCCTGGGGCGCGCAGCCGACAATACACGACCCGAGGCTCCATCCCGCCTCTTCGCAATCCCATCTGGTCCCCGCCAAGCAGCCGTCCTACGCGTCGTTCCATCCACAAGACGATGCGTGGGAGGGCGCCTCGGTGCATCGCGCGCATCGCGACTACTGGGAGTCGTCGGCACTGCAGCCCTCTACGTCCACTTTCGATCTGGGCTACGTGGAGCCCATGCACAGGATTCAACTTCCTGCAACCAGCCAGTTTTCGGATGCCAAGAAGCGTCAGCACGACGGAGGAGTCGTGACAAAGCTCTACGAGTACGGTCTGCATGATGAGCACGGTAAAAAGACGGTCAAGTTCTGGACGCTCATCTTGGCATTCGCCATCACCGTTACGCTCACGGCGCTCGATATGACCATGATCTCCACCGCACTCCCGTCGATCGTCGAGGACTTGCCGGCGTCCGAGATCGCGGGTGGCTGGATCACGTCGGCGTACCTGCTGACCGTGACGGCGTTCCAGCCCATGTTTGGCGGACTCTCGTGCGTGATTGGCCGCAGATGGTCGGCTGTCCTCGCAGTCGTACTCTTCATCGGCGGCAGCGTCATGTGCGGCTTTGCGCACAGCATCCTCTTCCTCACCATCGGTCGCGGCGTCCAGGGACTCGGCGGAGGCGGCATCCAGGCCATCGGAGAGATCACGGTGTCCGACATCACATCGCTCCGAGAGCGCGGCTTCTTTGTCGGCATCTTTGGCCTGGTCTTTGCAGTTTCCTCCTTCGTAGCGCCGGTGCTGGGCGGATACTTTAGCGACCACGACTGGCGCTGGATCTTTTGGATCAACATCCCCATTGGCGCACTCGCGCTGCTCATGCTGATTCCGACCATGAACCTTCCCATCCCCTCGATGCCCTTCAAGACCAAGCTCGCCAAGATGGACATCGCAGGCAATGTGGTGCTGCTCGGCTCCGTTGTCAGCATCCTCATTGCAGTCACCGAAGGAGGTGTGACTCACCCGTGGAGCAGCATGAGGATCTGGATCCCCATGGTCGCCGGTATGGCAGGCTTCGTGCTGTTCCTGCTCATCGAATTTATCCCCAACCCGCTGTGTACGCAGCCCGTGCTGCCGCTGCGTCTGTTCGGGAACAGGACTGCATTCTCGGCCTTCCTCATGACGTTTGTGCATGGCATTGCGACGTACGGCGCAATCTATGCGCTGCCGATCTACTTTCAGGCGATCCGCGACGAGAAGCCTCTGCGCTCGGCAGTGTCGACCTTCCCCTCCACCGCACCCACGGCGCCGTTTGCCATTGTCGCAGGCATTGCCATGGCCATCACGGGCAAGTATAAAAACCTCACGCTCATCGGATGGTCCTTCTCGGCCGCAGGATTCGCGTGGATGACGCGCTTCCAGACAGGAACAGCAGAGTGGGAGCTCGTAGTCGCCCAGATCGTCGCCGGTGTCGGCATCGGCATCCTGTTTGCCATCACGCTGCCGCCCATCCAGGCGAGCTTACCCGTCGAGGAGCTCGAGACTGCCACGGCGACCTATGCCTTCTGCCGCTCCTTCGGCGCCATCTGGGGCATTGCCATCACCACGTCGGTGCTCACCGCCGACGTAAGTGCCAAGCTGTCTACAGTGCCGGGCGTCGCCGAACTCGGTCTGACGGGCCCGACGGTACTCGGGTATGTGGAGAACATCAAGAACCTGCCCGAAGCGATGCGCGAGCCTGTAAGGCAGATGTACGCCGACGGCCTGCAGAAGGGCATGTACGCATTCATGCCCGTGGTGATCGTCGGCTTTGTGTGCTGCTTCTGGATCCAGGACGTGCCGCTGCCAGACTTTATGCGCGGCGATGCAGCGGATGAAAAGCAGCACGAGAAGAACAAGGATCGCCAGAGCGTGCAGCAGGCAGAGCAGGGCTCGTTCCACAACTACGGCACAGCGCAGTATCAGGAGAAGCACCTTGGAGGACACGGAGCTGGGTCCGAGAGCCAGGATACGACGCTCGTCGAGTCCGCCGGGCATGCGCAGACGGCACAAGCGCCGCTGGAGGGATTATTCGACATCGTGCAGCATCACCATCATACCCCGCAAACACCAGAGGGTTACGCTTCCCACGCTTTCAAGTACGACGCCTCCCCCGACCCCTCCAATTTTGCGTGGGACGAAAAGCGCGATGAACATCACATCCTCACTATGCCCCCTCGTGCGCATTGGTAGTTGCTTCCTCAACTTAGGATCGGACCATTCGACAAGATGCACACATTCATTTGGAGTTTGACTTTAACAGCACTTTCCGCACTCATCACATTCGCTCAGACTCAATGCATCCAGTCTCGTTCTCATCTCATGACTTATGAAAATCATGTGTGGAGAGACTCCCAATGGAGCGAAAGGGGTGGTATTGAAGGGAGGTGGGAGAAGGGTTTATGCGGAGGCCAGCTTGCCCTTTGCAGCGCTGGGGGCGATGGAGGTGTCGGTGGTGTTGAGCCGAGCCAGACCGATCTTGTTCGCTTTCGTATTCGTGGCAAAGTAGGCGTTCTTGAGGAAGGTGGCTCCGACGAGCCACTCGTTGCGCTGACCTACATTGCCCGCAGAGATGGCCGAGACGCAGTCGCCGAGCAGATTGTCCGCGTCGACGGGGAGGAAGAGCATGTCCCTCGTGTCGATGGGGAAGTCGACGCCGCCAAAAGTGAGCGCGACCTGCTTGGTGGTGGTGCACGGAATCGTGTATCCGCCCTGGCCGTCGGACTTGGAGCCTGGGATCTGGGCGTGGACCGCATCCGCATCCTGCTCGGGAGCCACAATGAGCGTGGTGCCGGTGTCGAGAATCGCAGTCCTGCCGTCGAGGCCGAGATCCTTGCCACCAACAGTGATCTTGTCCATGGCCGCTTCCCAGAAGCCCTTGGTGGAGACGTTGTCGATCTCGGTGATGTTGCCCGTGTACTTGGCCGGGTCGACGCCGCCAAAGGTGACTTCGCCGTCATTGTAGCCGTCGGCGATGCGGCCGAGGTGATAGCCCATGACGGGAGCCTGGACCTTGCCCTGCTTGTACAGCGCATCGATGGGCGTGGGCTGTCCGGCATTCGACAGCTCGCTCCTTGCGAGACCCATGAGCCCATCAAAGGGAACAGTGTCGTCGCTAAAGTCGGACGACTCCTGCGTAGTCACCGCAAATGTGTAGTTGGCGAGCTCGAGGTTGGCGATCTCGAGGTTGTCGCGCGCAAGGCTGCCCGAGGCGTCGCCGGTACCGTACTGAATGGAGAACGGCGTGCTGAGCGCGGTGAAGGTATCCGAATTCGAGGCACCCAGCTTCTGATGGGAGCTGCCACACGCACGGCAAGCAGTGCTTGGCACCCATGTGTCTGCGGATCCAGAGTCGATCAGCATCCGGAACGTCTGGTTTTGGCTGCCGATCTCGATTGTGGCGACGTATCCAATGTCGTTCGACTCGATGTCGAGTCCTAGACTCTGCACGGCAGTCGGAGCACCGGAAACAGTGAGATTGTCGGAGCCAGATGCGGTGAGGTCGATCTCTGGGTATCCCTCGTCAGCAACCTGCTTGACGGTGGACTTGGCATGGACTCCGCCTTCGGTTCCGGTTTTGCCAAAGAGATCGTCCATAATGTTCTCAAAGAAGCGGCGCTGCATCTCGCCGCCGGACTCGGCGTGATTCGTGTATCCCTGGCGCGGGTTGGTGTGTCGCTGTGGGTCCCGGGCCGAGAGCAACGACTCGCCGTCGAGAGCCGACACCATGCCTCGTCGCTCGAGGATGGCGACCTTGCGTCGTTCAAGTGCACGACACTGCTCCTCGGGGGAAGGGCCGGTCTGTCCGAGGATGGTTGCGAGCTTTGAGGTTGCCCGGTTGAGGTGCCTCTGATAAAGCATAAGCGGGTTACTTGCAGAATCCGGCTCGAGGCGCTTGAGCTGCACCTTCATTCCCACCCGGCCATCGGGGCTCTCGAATGCGGATGTGGTGGAGGACGACTCGCTGGTGGAGAGCGAGTTGATCGCAGTACGGCCGCTCTTGAATCCGGAGCCGTTCTTGACGACGATGCCCACACGGGGCTTCTTGGCGCGCGCCTGGAGCTCTGCACCCTGACCGTTGGGATACAGAGGCGCAGCATGTGCTACTGGCCAGGAGCTGACTCTGTCGTGACTGCTGATAGCTTGGTCTACGAGGGAGTGGAGATCAAAGGCTCCGATTGAGAGGAGCACCAGGAGGAGCGTGAGGAAGCGCGATGAAAACTTGAGCATCTTGTATAAGGATGTCTATCTATCGATGTCGCAACGGTGGTTGTCGGGTATCGGGTTATTCAGAAGATGAGACGATACTGAGAGGTGCGAGCTCGAAGGCGTGTCTGGGGTGTGAGGGTCGGAGACTTTGTTGGTGAATGCTGAGGCTTGATGAAGGATTGAGCTGCATGAGCATCAGGATGAACAAGTCGCAGCGAGGTCAGCTCTACCGATGTATGCTCGTCGTGATGAGATGGACTACTTACGACCGGCCTCGTTTCGAGAATTGCTGAACCAAAAGAATGTATAGAAAGGAGAGTGTGTCCAATACCGATCCGAGACGAAACGAAAAAGCCAAGTGTTGCGGTCGAAGCAAAAAAGGTGCGGGTCCTACAAAGATCACCAGGACCAAAGGATGCTGAAGAAATGGAAGAGAAGGGGCGGGAAAGAAGGGAACGGAATCGGTATGGAGGAAGTGAGACCAGCCGGTGGTATGGAGGAAGAGAAGAAGGAGGAGGGGGAGCTCCTGGCAGTCCACGTCTCGAGGACAGTCGGCATCAACCTTGAGCCTTGCTTGGTGGCTCACCGAGACTTTCCAGGTGAGGACGGTCTCAGGGACGCCATGGATGTCTCAGACTTTCTCATCCCGTTAGCCTTGCCAAACAGCGCTTGCTTGTGTGTGGCAGACTTGATCAACAGGACGAACCGCATGATCGTGCCAGTTCACTGTCCTGTAGACCGGAGCCAGACGATTCACTTGCTATGCCCTGGAGAGGCGAGCTTGCAGACGGGATGTTGAATTTAGCCGGCATGCTGTGGCTGCAGCTCGTCATTCTGTCCTCTGACGCAGGACATTGCATCAGCGCAAGCGCGGGACTCATCTGTCAGCTTCGACTGCAGGACAAGGTTTCGCCAGATGTGACGTGCAGTACGCATCATAGCGTATCGAGCGGCAGCAGGTGCAAGATGTAAAGCGTGGTGCTGGGTGACGGCGTGAACGGCGGCGGAAGACGCATTGGCACTGCAGCGCTGCATATGTCGCAGGTTGATATGACCCGTCCAACACGGCGCGCGGCGTAAGGCGCCTGGACAGAGCCGTCAAAAACCAATTTGTGAGACCTCAATGCTCGGCGGCAGCCAACTGTTGGCCAAGGTTCTAGCAGCACACCTCTGTGCTGCCTCAAGCCATCGCTTCGCAAGCACCCTTCGACGGGTCTAGGCTTTCGCAGCTGTCGGATGCCGACGCCATGCAACGTAGGCTCAGTTGAAGTGGTGTGGAGCTTGCATCTCATCTCTTCCCGATCTTGACGTCTCCCCGATTGCCGATTGACAAAAGTGGAGGCACGAGGCTCACTCAGTTGCATGAGCTCCGCGAACGTGCCACCCTCACTGCTTCGCTTGCACTTCTTTGCTCTCTGCTACCATTCACAATATCACTTGGTGGCTGGTCAAGATGGCAGAACACGTTGCGCTGTACATCCTTTCTGGCTCGAGCTCGTCTGGCTCTGCCGTTATGGAGAACATCCGGGCGAGCGACTTTATCGACGAGATCAACAGCGGCGAAGGTCCGCGCGAGGAGTGCGGCCTGTACAGCCTCATCCAGCTCGTCCAACCTTCCGACTCGGTCACGTTCAAAGACGAAAAGGACGTGCTCGATTTCCATGCTAAGCTCGTCAAGGGCGACGCAAAGGCCAGCGTCGACGGCGCAGAGGCTACGTGGAATGCAAGCTGCGTGCTCATTGCCGACAAGGACGACAACGACCTGGTCCTTATCCTCGAGCTGGAGGATGGGAAGGTCGGTCAGAGGTTGAAGGCAAAAGCAAAATCATCGGTAGAAGTCGTGAGTTTACAGTCGATCTTTGATTAGGACCAAAGCAGCGTGACGGAGATCGCCGGTGCTGTTGCTGACAACACTCAATCCTGTGTGCATTCTCAACAGGCCTCAAATGTCTCGATCTCAAACATGTCGCTGGACGAGGTAAGTATAAAGCAGCCCCAACAACTCGCTTACAGGAGATGCACACACTGAAATCACACCCTCTGGCTCCCTCAACTTCCCTTCGACTTGCTCTGCTTACAGTACAAGGACATGTGCGGCAATGCCGAGATCTACGACGCTGGACAGTAATCACGCTCTCTTGCACGGGTCCACCTCCCGGCACACGCGCGCCAATATGCCAAGATTAAGAAATGTTCATTGTAATTGCGTCTATCGCATAGAGTCCTTGGAGGCGAGAAGACAGGCCTAGTCGCTGTCGTCGAGCAAACTCTTCTTGGACTTGTGCGACGAGTAGGAAGCGGAGCGCGATCCCATGCCCGGTCGTTTGGGCAGCTCCGGCTTGGTGGATGAAGCCGAGCCGACCGAGCTAGCCGCGATCGAAGCAGCGCCGTTGGAACTTGGTGCCCCCGAGGCCGTCGGCTTGACCGGGATCGGTGGTGGCGCTGGCCTCGAGTGGGCAGGACCGGAAATGACGCGCCTCTCGATCGTTGGTGAGGTGGACGTAGTGTGACGCAGCGCAGCCCCGGCCGTGAATGACTCTTCCGGAGCTTTGCTGCGCACGGCCGTTGTGGGAGAGGATGGCATTGAGGTGGCACGATCACCCGTCCCACGGTTTACAGACCTCTTATCTCCCGAAAAGCTGCCTTTGCGTGGCTGACGATCCGCAGCGAGCAACGCATGCCGGTGCAACGGGCGGGAAGTCACGTCTCGGCGGAACGGATTAGAGGTGTCGCGGTCCGGGTCTCCATCCTCCGAGCCAGACTCGTCCGACGCCGCCGCCGAACTGTTCCACCATTGTTGATGGTCATCAGACGGATCAGGCAGGCTCTCGTCGTCATCAGTGTCCGACGAGATCGATCCGGCGGCAGCCAGCCCATCGGTCGCCTTCTTCTGTTGCAGCAGCTGCTTGCGGATCGTATCGCGCTTGAGGTGGTCCACGATGCGCACAGGTCCCACAAACGTAGCGTACACTGGTCGGTGGTCACTTGTCTTGAGCTCTGCCCTCGAGTAGCTCTGCTGCTGCAGGCCGAGGCCGCGGAAGAGGATGCGATCGGTCCATGCAGGGATGCGCTGCTTCTCTGACGAGTCGTACTGATCTGATCCGTTGTCGTACTTGTAAGTCGGGGCAAAGGTGATGGGCCCTTCTTCGTAGCCAGGAAAGACGTCGCCGACCTCCCTGCTGCGTCGGAGCTGATCCCGGGCAATGAGTCCGGCCAGATCTTCTCGTGCTGCCATCGAACGCACGGCATCGTTGGTCAGATCGATACGATAATTGAAGTCGCCGAGCCAGATGACGTGGTCGTGGCTTGCGATGGTCTTGCCGCGAGCAAAGGAGAGCCCTCTGGTAATAGTCCAGTAGTCGGCGTTCCTTTCTTCGTACGCCGAATGGCCAGCGGCAAAGTGAGCCGTGACAAAACAGATGGAAGTGTCGTAGTAGTCCATGCGGATGGCGACACCGCCCTTGTTGCCGCTCATGCCTTTGAGACCCGTCTTGCGCGTGGCGGCTTCGACGAGCCGAACATCGTTGACGAGCTCCTCCTTGATGAGAATGACGAGCGCGGTTCCAACCAGCTGCTCGCTGCGCAGGAGGATGTATCGCGACTTGCGGTTCGGCCTGCGTGCGATGGTCTCCATGATCTTGGCCTCCCAGATTCGGATCTTGTCGGGATCGGTCATGAGAATCTGCTGCGGGGTCAGCTGGACGATCTCTTGGAAGCCGATGGCAAAGATGTCGGGCTCGTTCTCTTCGCCGTCTGGGAACAGCCAAGGAATGAGAGACTCGCCGGGCGACTTGCCGTTGAGATTGTACGTCCCAGCAAAGATGGTGATGTTCCGGCTGGACGAGTACTCATCCACCCGCGCATTGAGCTCGGCCGTTACGCTGTCGAGCACGGGATCAAAGACCGCAACAGGCCTCTGATTGGCCATGTTGCCGAGGAGAGCATCGATGACGTTCTGCTTGTTCTTGTCCTGGAAGTTGTTGATGTACATGCGACCTGCGCTCTTGGCGGCGTCGCTCAGCAGACCACCCAGCGTCTTCTTGCCACTCCTGGTGAAGCTCGAGTTGAGCGCGCCGGTGCCGGCATAGATCTTGGAGAGCGCATCTCCATTTTCGGCCCAGAGCACGCGGTGGTGGACCCACAGAGGATGGTGTGGGTCCTGCAAGACCTGCTGAGCGACGTCGCGATTCGCCACCGCCTCGACAAAGGTGTCGAGCATGGAGCGTGAGAGCATGTCTTCGATGACGTTGGTGCGATCGAGGCAGTCGAGACAGTTGGTCCTGAAGACGCCCTTCTGGCGGCGCAGCAATTGGCCTGATGCATTGTCGATCAGGGAAAAGCCAAAGGCCTTGCGCTTGAGCTGGACGGGACCCAGGTAGCGAAGCTCGCTGCGGACGCCGTCGATGCCGCCCGTGTTGCGGGAGACGGTGTGGAAATCGAAATTGGTGAGGCCGATGCGCTCGGAGCCATCGTCCTCGACCGGCTCGCCGCGGCTGGAGATGGGTTCATCACCGGGCAGAGGAGCGATCGCCTCGGCTGCGCTGTGTCGCATGTGCTCAGCGTAGGCAGCTGTGAGCACGGTCTCTGCATCGCGAGTGCCCAGCAGGTTGATGGCATGTACGCGCGAGTAGTGGGAGATGAGATCGGCGAAGTGGCGATCGAACGCGGGCTGAGAAGCACCGCGAGACCTGGTGATTTGGATCTTGGCGTTGAAGGCCTGCAGACCCTGCTGCTCCCAGAACAATGGGACCGAGCCGCGCACTTGGACGAAGGTGGCGGTGAGGGTGCCGTCGCTGAAGAGAGTCTCTGTCTCGACAAAGTTGGCCACGTTGCCGTCGTCATCGATGCCGCGCGTGTTGAAGCGGGTGCCAGCCCTCTTCCAGCTGAGACGGCTGATAAGCGCGAGTGTTCCCGCAGCTTTGGCGCCAGACGAGCTCGATGCGGCCGTCTCGGGAGACGCCGCAGCAGGAGGCAACGGATTGGGAGCGACTGGCACCTCGAATGCACCAACGAAGCCTTGGATGGCAAGAAGCAAGAAGCATTCGGCATCGACTCTTGCACGATCGTGTCGATCGAGACGCTCGCGGAAGCTGATCAGCGGCTCGATCATGTAGTTGTTCCAGACAAAGCGGCCGTCGTAGCGAGAAATGTCGTGTGCGTGTTTGGCCGCATCCGCGAGTCGCTTGTCCAGGCGTGTCGACAGATCAAAGGTTCCTCCTTTTGCAAAGTAGAAGGTGCCGGTGCTCAGGAGCTTCTTGAGACTTGTGCAGGGATGCTCGTACAGGCTTGGCTGGGTGACAGCGCCTTCGTGACCTGGGCCGTACGAGTCGTGAGCCTCGATCTGGGAAGCGGAGGCTTCAGAGATGAGCGTCTCGTCCCAGGTGGCTCGGTGGACGCAGTAGAAGGATACCGATGTGATGCGCATCACCACCTCGCCCGGACGAATGGCGCCGACCTCCTGGGCCCCGGTGACGACGGCGACGAAGAGATCCTGGCCGACATTGATGAGGCCGAGACAGCCGTGGATGGGCTTGGAGGTGAGCCTCTGCAAGGTCAAAGCACGAAGCTCGTTCTCCTTGACCACCTCGACGACCGCCTTTGCGGCTGAGTGTGCGAGGGCGGCTGTTGAGCCATTGAGGGTCGATGCGGCATCCGACGGTGCGGCTTCGGGTGCTTGCGTGGAGATGAGGATGGCAGTTGGCGATGCGACGGGAGTTGAAGAGCCGGATTTCTCGTTCAGATGACCCTGCGCGTTGATCTCGAGATCGTCCGAGACGAGCGCGATCACCCGCGGTGTATCTTGGAGGTAGACGTGCATTGCATCGCCCCTCGGTCGCGCCGACGTGCGAATCGCAGTGGAGCTTTAGGGGGTCGGAGAGTCGCCGGCTACCATGCCGTTGGCCAAATGATGCAGACGATAGAGTCTCCGGTCGATCTAAAAGGTCTACGTCGGATGATTCGAAGCAAAGGCGGGGGAACGTGGGGGGAAGGAAGCAAAGAGTGGGTCGTGTGCAAATGTGACTTGTGAATGCGCTCCGAGGCTGTGCCAAATCACCGACGGCTGCCGTGTGGTGCGGTGGGGCCGAGGTGTGTTGCTTCCGCTCGTGTTGGATGCCTCAAAGTGGAGGTTTTCGGCTCGCCCGACATGTGCCTCCGCAATCCTCACCGTGGGCCGCTAGGGAAATTCGCCAGCTCGCTGCGCAGCTGAGCCTAGGCTTCCTGCATGCATGTCCCTCGCCGTCATCCCGACCTTGACTTCCTCGCTCTCTGCTCTCTCAACGCTTCTGACATAGTGAAAGAAAGGCAGCCACGAAGTATGCTTCACCTCCCTTGTGCACGTCACCGAGACGCCATTCGTGCTTGAGGCGCAAGACTGGCACGGTCGACGCAATTCACGGCGAGCTAGGCCAGTGCGGCCGCTCCGCACTTGCAACAAGTAAAAGCTGGGGAAACGCCGAAAGGAGATGGACGCTGCAAGTCGTCCCGATAGCATCCATCGGAAGAGGCTCCGAACCGCCTCGCCTTCTCATACGATGACGCTGCAGGCAGACCCGGCGACCGCTCTGCCGCCAGAGACGTTTCTGTATATTCTCAGCTTCCTACAGCCCCCGGCGCTGCTGCGGTGCTCGCGCGTCAACCAAACTTGGCACGGGGTCTGCACGGACGATGCCCTTTGGCGTGCGCTCTCTCTACGTCTGGGCTACTGTCAGCTGGATCGTCGGCAGCAGGAGCAGCAGAGCGGTGTCGCCGTCGTCGCGAGCGTACTACAGCATCTCGATCAGGGCCCTGGCGCAGATTCGGAAAGGGATCTGCTGCGCGCCACCGTAACGCGCTATCGCTCAAGGAACTCGACAGCGTACTTTGACAAGTGCGATTCATGGAGAGCCCTTTGCTGTCAGCTCTGGCGCTTGGGCTGCAACTGGCTCGCTCAGGAGTCAACCGAGCTGCAGCCGCCCACCATCCCTGCAAGCATCAAGGCCATGGACCACGATGCCGCTGCATCGCCGACATCACTTCCCTCCGATTCATCGCCATGCCTACTTCCGCAACGCCGTATACTGCACGATAAGCCTTACGGTCAAAGTGTTTGGAGGTGCAAGCTCGACCCGGACGAGCAAACCGTCATCGTTACGGGCCAAGCAGGCGGCATCCAGGTTTTTGACCGCAGCACCCTGCAGCTCCTATGGCACATCGCCAGAACAGCAACGAGGGCGTGCCCACACCTCGAGTTCTCTCGTGGTTGGTTCGTCTTTGATCGACCAGGAATCGGCCACTTTGAGGTGTGGCGCAGCGAAAGACTCGTGCCGGACCTAGGACGTCCTCCAGACCGAGGCCACTATCAGCGCTTCGCAGTCCTCAGCTCGACTCGGCCGGTCCGCGCATATCGCTTTCAGTTCCCCTACCTCTGTGCAGCGAGTCAGGACGGCTTCGTGATGATCTGGAATGTGCCGGACAAGGAACTCGTTCAGTCGATCGACTTTCGCGACTCACCCCACCGCGACGGCAACGTCAACTATATCGACTTCGACGACGACTTTGTCTTTCTCAACGGCGTCGGCGCCAAGTCGGTCTCGGTCTACTCGCGCCGCACGGGAAGGCAGGTTTGGAACATGGGCCAGCATTTCGCCGCCGGCAGGCCGCCTCCAGCACCATGGCGGGTACAGCGTGCTCCATCGCCTCCCATCCAGAATGCCGGCTTCGTCCGCTGCGAGCTCAATCCTGCGCCTCCGAATCTGTGGCAAGCGGGGCCGAACACGATGAACCTGGCACAGCTCACCATGACGCCGTACCAGATCTGGTCGGCTGTGCACCCAGATCTCAAGACCAAGACGCTGCTGATTCTGGGGCACGGCACGGTGCTACTGCTCAGAGACTACAAGAAGTTCTTCGACGATCCGAGCCAGCCGCCGGAGCTATTCGCCGAGATCGAGTTCGAGAATCTCCAGGAGTTCTTCGAGCGTGAGGTCACCGGGGGCGGCGAAAATTGGTCCGACCTGGGATGGAACAGCCGCCACCTCTGGGAGCTGCTCGGAGACGCGCAGCTCACGGTGCACGAGGGCAGAGCAGTCATCGTGAACGAAGGCGCACTGATCCTCGACCTCAACGTCGAAGCAGCAGCGCTTCATGCCGGTGGACACAATCAGGATAGGCTGCCGACACATCTCGTTCGGGAGCAGCATGGACACGGAGGCGAAGGGCAAGAGCAAGCTGCAGATGCATCAAGCTCGGCGACGCCATCGGACGCGGACGTGCCCGGCGCGGGCGCTGCGAGTAGGCAAGAAGCACCCCCTGTGCTTGTCTACCGCGCCTTCAACCAGCCGCATTCGTACCACATCTGCAGCAGCGTGCAGATGGACGAGGTGGGCGTCTACTATACGGCGGACCTGCCCAGAAGCGACGGCGAATCGTCCACAGACATCGATCTGCTTATCGAGCCGCCGTGGATGGGCGAGAAGCACGTTCTCGTGCATCTCGACTTTTCTCGGAGGCAGCAAATCGTCCCTAAGGAGCCTCTGGCCCCAGATTCCAACCTGGATTGACTGAAACGAATGCCAAGGCGCGATGCTTCCCGAATGAGAATGGCCTGGTGTGCTTTGCTTCGTGTGTCGCTGTCGAGATGATCGGTTCAAATGATTCCGGGGCGTGCTGGGGCAGTGAAGCTGGTGCAATTGGGAAGCAGGTGTAATGTACAAGGATGATGTGAGGGCGGCGAGAGCGGACCGAAGGTGCTCGTCGGAGGATGTCCAGAAGAGGGCCGCGCGATCAGTGTTCGAGGAAGCGGACGTCGCCTCGTTTAGGCTCTGCGGAACGATGGGAAAGGAGAGCAAACGGATCAGCATGAAAGCTAGAATAGCGAAGAGTGCGCCCGTGAGGTAGATGCAAGATACTCACTGACAATGGGATGAAGCTGTGCCATGTAGATGATGAACCACATGAGGTACATGCACGTCAGCGCAAGCACCACAGATGTGCGGATAAGTCTGTAGCATACAAGGTACAAGTCAACGACGGAAGACGAGCCAGGGCGGACTGCATGGACGACGGAAGAGTCGAGGATGAACTTACACCTGGTTGGGGCCTTTGGGTGTTGTGACCCACACGGCGCTGCTTGCGCCAGCAGCGATGAGGAAGACCCACACGGTTGTCCACCCCGACATGGCTAGGAGCTGCAGTTTGTGCCGGAAGAAAGCCTGGGCGATGAGCAGGGCGGTAAAGGTAGGGGCGAGATGGACGAGCGCACAGGGGTTGGCCAGAGCTGCTCCAGCGCCGCGTGCATGTGTGATGTCCGACTTGCCTCAGCCTCAGCAGCACGGCCCGATACCGTGGCTGTGAATGTCACATCGGGTCCGGCCAAAAATTGAAAATCGGCGAACCTGGCTTGTGCGCGAGGGTTCGGCTGAGCCACGACGGTGGGGAACCTGCGCGGTGCTGCAGAGCGACGTAGCTGCAGGAGTTCGACCCTCGGATTCTCCGTCGAATCCACATCCAGGCCCAAATCACATCGATAGCCAGCCTCCTCTCATCCTCCCTGCCATCACACTTCCCAAATTGCGGTGCCTTCGACTCGACTCGGACCTGCCAGGCTTTCCTTCAATCCTCCATCTTTCCACTTCGCCTCTGACGAGAAACGTACAAAACAGCGACAAGATGGCTTCGCATTCGAATCTCAGTGCTGCCGTCAACGCCGACATCCCCTACAGCACGCCGAGCACGCCGCATCCGCAGCATCAGGTGGGATGGATCGGACTCGGCAACATGGGCGTCAAGATGGCCGCCAACCTGGCCAAGCACATGCGCGAGATGTCGCCGCCGCTGCCGCCTCTGCTCGTGTACAACCGCACCGCCTCCAAGGCGCAGGCGCTCGAGAAGGAGCTCAACGGCCTCGTCAAGGCGGTCGACTCGATCGAGGCGATCGGTAGCCAGTGCGACCTCATCTTCACCAGTCTCTCGGACGATGAAGCTGCCGAGCACGTCTACGATTCCCTGCTGCAGGCCGAGGAGAAGCGCGTGGGCAAGCACATCCAGGAGCGCATCTCCAGCGGCTTCTCCACGTTACTTATCGACACCAGCACGCTCTACCCCGCCACCACGGGCAAGATCGAGCGCAAGATCTCGGCTCTCCCCAAGCGACACTTTGTCGCCGCCCCGGCCTTCGGCCCGCCTCCCATGGCTGCCGCTGCCAAGCTCGTCTTTGCCGTCGCAGGGCCGTACAACTCGAAAAAGTTTGCTTCGCAGTTCCTGGTGCCTGCCATGGGACGCAAGATCATGGACTTTGGAAGCAACCCCGAGCGCGCTGCATCCTTCAAGCTGATCGGAAACTCGATCATCGTCTCGACCATCGAGATGCTTTCCGAGACCATGACGCTGGCAGACAAGACGGGCGTGGGCAGCGACCGCGTCTACGAGTGGCTCGAGGAGTTCTTCCCCGCCCCTTCGGCGCTCGGCTACGGCAAGAAGATCCTCGACAGCAACTTCCAGGGCGAGAACGGCTTCACGCTCAACGGCGGAATCAAGGATGCCTCCCACATCATCAAGCTCGGAGAATCCGTCGACTGCCCGCTGCCCATCATCGAGCTCGCCAGACAGCATATGGTCAGCGCCCGTGCCATCGGCGGCGCCAACCTCGACTGGAGCTCTCTCTCCGCCGGCTTCCGTGTCACGGCTGGCGTGGAGCCGTTCGAGAAGAAGGAGATGCTCAAAAAGTGGGCCCAAGACGAGCGCGGCTCTTCCAAGTGATCGTGCCGACGTCTTTCCCGAAACCTATGCTCAGCCTGTGACTGCGACTGTAACTGCACCGACTCGCGTATGAAATGGTATCTGGCATTGCAGTGCAAAACTAAGCGTGTGTATCGGATCGGGCTCAAGCTGCAACGGCCGTCGCAGTCGCTGGCACCGAAGCAGCCTCGGACGCGTCCCACAGCTTGGGCTTGGCGGCGACCTTGATGTCGCCGTACGGCTCGTCCTGGTTGAGGCGCACGCAGTCTTTTGTGCCGAGCACGAGCATCTCGAAGAAGAAGCCGGCGGCCGCACGGCGCGAGGCGTTGGTGGCGATCTTTTGGAACGAGAGCTGCTTGGTGTGGGTCTCGTCGTCCACCTCGACGAAGCGCGACTCCTCCTGCTCGTCTTCTGCGGCGGTAGGCTCAGAGAGCTGGGAACGGACGACGCGGAAGGCGCGTACCGTGCTCTTGGCCCAGCCTTTGGTGGACTCGGCGTCCTCGGACGCGCGGAGCACCTCGGCGATCTGCTCCGCCGCCTGCGTGTCGTCCGCCGGACGCACATCGAACAGCGCCAGCGGGTTTGACGAGCTCACCGCCGCCGAGTCGAGCGCACCATCGTCGATCTCCGGCGTGGAGAGGCGAGAGAGCGCGGGGAGACGGCCCGTCTCGTCGCCTGCCTCGGCCTCGAGTTCCGCTCGCGACTTGCGCGACGACCGGCGCAGGCCGTCGTCGCCCATCGACACGTCCATGCCCGGCACATCGAATCCACCGTCGCCACCCATGCTAAAGTCGAAGCCAGCCTCGTCATCCATGGGGCCAAGCCCGACCGAGTCGCGACCGTGCTCTGCGCGGCGTGCAACGCCCATGTCGTCGTCGTCGCCCAGGCGGGCGCGCTTGTTCGGGGCGTCGTCCTCCGCAACCGCGGCCGCCCGACGGCGTCGCATCGCAGACAGGTCAAACGTGAACAGCTCGCTCAGCTCCGACGCCAGTCCCGAGGGGCCGATGACGAGCGAGCTCTTGTCCTTGTTCGCCGGGTCCGCAAACGGCATAAAGTGCGCGAACGGGTCTTCACGGATGGTGAGGAGCTGGAGGTAGGCGCGCGAGCGCGGCAGATAGCGCTCCTCGGTGAGCAGGTCTGCAACGTTGGCCGCCTGGCTCGCGCCGCCCTGGCTGAGGCCTTGGCTCAGCCCGCCAAGCTGGCTGTCGGGCAGCTCGGTGAGCGTGTCGACGATCTGCTTGCGCGCCTTGGCCTGCCTGGTGGCCGCCTCGTCCTGCTGGCGCTGCTGGGCGGCGTCGCGGATGCGAGCCGCTGTTGTTGGTGTCATGTCCGCCATCGCCAGCGCCATGCTGTTGTCGCCGGGTGGCGGCGTCACGGCGCGATCCACGTCCATGTCGAGACCCAGATCCAGGCCGTCATTGTCGAGACCCAGGTCGAGTCCCTCTCCGCCGAGGTCAAAGTCGGGCATGCCGACGCTGGGCGCCTGGGAGCCGCCGGCCGAGCCGAGCGTGATGTCGTTGTCCATGCCGAGATTGAGCATGGATGCGACCGACTGACGCCCTGCCTCGCTGGGTGCGTCTCGTCCGACACCGATGCTGAGCGAGTCGTCCTCGGGAAGCGGGTCGCCGTTCTCATCGACAAGCTGGCCAGCCTCGTTGCGACGACCCTCGACCTCGGGCAGATCGTCCTCGAGACCGAGATCGAGACCACCGTCCGGGTCAAAGTCCTGCGATGCAATGCCGTCAATGCCGGACGAGATGTCGAATGTGTCGTCAAACGCGCTGTAGTCTACAGTTGGGAGTGTAATATCGGCAGCGCGAGCGGTGTAAGCGGTGGGGTTGTCGGCAAGCTTCTTGGCCTTCTTGGCGGCGAGTCTCTCGAAATCGACATCAAAGTCGTTCATAGCCTGGTCCGGTAGCAAGATGTCGAGATCGGTGCGGATGTCGGGCAGTGTGATGGCGTTTCGCGAGACGCTGAGCTGGTCGCTGGTCATGTCGACGGCGCCGGAGCGGAACGCCATCTTGATCTTGAGCAGCGCTTCATTGCAGTCCTCGAGCAGATACTTGGCCTTGCGCGAGTAGATGCGCACGACACCGAGCAGGAGCTGACCAGAGAGGCGGAGTGCCATAGGGACGACTTCTTGGCCCATGATGGCGCTGACACTCTTTTCGATGCTCGTCTGCAGGAACTGCGTCTTGCTGAGTTTGCGCTCCCAGTGCGCGGCGAGCCAAACACGGGCAAGAGGCCCGCGCTTGGCGAGGATGACGTCGCTGTAGAACATGGTCGAGGAGGTGGGGCGGCGCTACGCGGCTGTCACAGGTGACAGTGGTGATTCGCGGTTACAGAGATCGGTCGTGTGCCGGTCAGGAACACTCGAGAAGCCGGTTCCACAGTAGTATGCTGGTATCCTGGACAAGCTCTGCCAACGGATGCCGATGTGCAAAGCCCCTGAGGGATGTACTGAGCTTTGTGCAGCTAGGCTCGCCCGCGATGCTGCTGCTGGTGATGGTGGAAGGGAGTCTAACTCTGAGCAGTCGGTGCGTCTCCCGTGCTGGCGTATGTGATAACGTGATCAGAGGAAGGATGCGTTGACGGTGGGAACGGAAGGGAGGATAAGGGCCGCGGCGTTCGGGGCGGATGGATGGAGAGCGGGTGAGAAAAAGGTGAGCTGCAGGGCGCAGTGCACCAAAGTGCGTGGCAGCCGATGCGAAATGCGGATGCGGATGCGGCGCGAGCGACGCGGGAAATCCCACGCCGCGACACGCAACGGGTGGAGCGCGTCGCCTTATCCGACTCGCCCAGCCTCGCCCAGCTTGAGTAGAGTTTCCGCCCCACGCAGCTGCTGCCCATTTTTGGCTCGACGCGGTTCACACTGAAACTCTAAGCGGGCCTCTTCAACTCAGCCAGTGCAGCCGCTTTTTACGCGCTGTGTGTCGGCACCTCCGGCTCGGCATGTATCGCCTCACACGCTGCGATGCTTAGACTTACACTTTCGCTTCTGGTGTCTACCTTGCAGTTTGGAGCTGGGCAGCATGCGCAGGCAGCACAGACCAGGTGATGGCGAGAATGGCGGAGCAAGTATGATGGTGTTCTGATTGTCCGTGTGCTCAAAAGGCTAATCTTGCCTCGCAAATCGAAGGCTTAACTGCGCAGCCCTCGCAGACGAGAGTCGGCGTGGCGGTCGCGGGGCGGCAGCATGCCACCATCGGTTTGCGAAACGGGATGCCGTCTGCTGTCGCCCATCTCTGCGGTGGGCAGGGGCCGCGAGGACGTCGAGATGCGCGGCGCGTTGGTGTCGTTCCGCCTCTGCGATCTGCGTGCAGCCCTGGCAGCGTCGGCATCGACGTCAGCCGCGCTCGGCCTGGCCGAGCCAGAACGCTGTCGATTCGACTTGCTAGGCTCGACGGCGGAATCTCTGGTCGAAGTCTTGGTGCCGTCGCGAGGAGCGTGCCTCGTCTTTGAAGCAACGACGGGTGTGGGCCCTGGTCTCCGTGCCACTGGCACCGGTGCTGCCAGCTGCGGAGATGCGAACGGCTTGGATTCCAGAGGCGCTCTGCGATCTAGCGTCCCAGGAGCGCTGGTCACGATGATGACTCGGTCGGGGCCCGAAGCACGCACGGCCTGGAACGAGTCGCGGCGCGCATCCGTCGCCAACGGATAGGCGCCCTTGGTGGGGCGTCGATCTCTCGTCGAATGAGCGCGTGGTTCCTCGACGTTTTGTAGCGTGGCCGTGGACGAGTTCCAGTCGCGCGCTTCCTGCTCCGCTTTCGACAGACTGCGCGAATGCTTGGATTTCGTGGGCCGTGGCTCGGTCCTGGCTGGGGCGGGCGTTGAGAGCGACTTGCGGCTGCTACGAGCGGCCGCATCGATGCCGCGCTCGACGCTTCGGCCCTTCCGAAGGGAGCTGGCGGGCGATTGGAACGAGACGTGGCGCGCGTGACGAGACCGGGCTGACGTGCTTTGCTTCGGCTCTTCCGGCCCCTCGTGCGCATCGAAGAATCGATCTTTCTGGGACGATCGCATCGCCGAACTCAATTGCTGGGGCCGCGCATCGTCTCGGATGTTCGACCTGGACCGGTCCATGGATGACCGCGCATGGCTGCGCACGGCTGCTTCGAATGCGGCAGCTCCGCTCACCCGTGGCGCTGGAGCATTGGCGGCGGTGTCTCTGCGGTTTGTCTCTCGGGACAGGGAGGCTCTCGCGGCTGCAGTCGAGCCCTGTGATGTTGCCGGCTGTACGGTACGTCCTTCGACTCCCTGTGATGCTCCCTGCTTGAGGTTGGTGGTGCCGCGTCCGAGAAGCACGGAGAAGAAGCCCAGACTCTCCTTTGGCGTCTCTCGAGACATTGCGTTAGGCGGAAGGGGTGGGGCTGCGAGAGCCATCGAGCCTGCTGTCCACGAGTTCGAGACCGAGTCAAGCCGAAAGTTGTCGTGTACCGTTCGCCCTTTTTGGCTCTGCCTATGGACGCCTGCCGTGCAACCCTGTTCGTGTGGGGTGCAGCAAACGTTGTGAGGGGACGGGCGCGGGAGATGATGGTTGTAGAGGGAAGAATTACGAGGCTGGGCGTGGCAGGGCGGATCCTAGGCTCGGCCTCTGCGGGCAAGCAAACGCGGCAGCGACGTCCCGTAAATTACAAGGCGGCTTGCTTCTGCATGAAGCCTGGCTCTCGGCAAGCGGCGTCCAAACCAATCGCCAAGACTCACTCGCTAGGGATGAGCAGGGTTCCCTTGGCATCTCGTGCCTATGCAAGATCAATTCAGGGTGGGATCGATCCCACAGCGGACGACGACGATACCTCAGGGGATAGGCTGTGCATTCGATCGTGACTGGTTTGCGCGCGAGAAGGTCGCGGGCAGATTTGCAAATTCGCTCCGCTCGCGAACATGCTTGCCCAGCCGATGCCCTGTCCGGGCGCACACGTTGGAAGCTCGCGAATTTGGGTCCCTTTCGGCCCCAGGATCGTAGCTTATGCCTGTTCTGGCTCGGCCCGGCGGCTGTTGCAGGCTGAACCCACGCCTTGCTCGCGCCGATGAGCGAGGCTAGTCTAAGACAGGTCGGAGGCGCTGGCTGTATCGAGCGGGGCAAACGTTCTACAGCAAAGCAGACAGATGCATCCCACGCAGCGGGCGAGCTCTAATCTGCGGAGAGGCGTGGAATGCTGGCTCGTCGCCCATTCGTGCAGTGCTCGCCCCCGCAGCGGGCCCTTGTGGATCGAAGACTGGCATGCCGGCCCCCGTGATGCACAGTGACGCAGCCGGGCGGGCCTCCCTCTAAATTTGGCGCGTTCGATCCTGGTTGGACCGATCGGGCTCCTCCAGCCCAACTTGTGCGGAGATGAAATTTAGACTCCAGGACGCCGCACGACCGCAGCCGGCAACGCAGTCCAAGTCAGCTTCCGCGCTCTAACATGACTCGGTGTCACGCATGGTCGACCTCGATGGAGGCCTGGTGCTGCTGCAGGAGTCCACAGAGAAGTCGATGCTCGGACACGACCATGCCGATTTGGCTATGTTCGCGAGCGAGAAGGCCCGGTTGCGGACCGCTCTCGGAACCGACCGTGGAGGCGGGAGGCGAGGATGTTTTCGGACCGATTTTCTGCGCCATTTAAACCCCTTTCTTTTTGCGAGCACGTTGATCCATTTCCCCTGCTTTGCGGGATCACGGCCGCTGGCATGCGAAGAGCGATGGAGAACTCCAGATCGTCCCGATCGTGAAGAGCGGCGAGCAACCAAATAGCGGTGCTTGCCGAAGTGTCGGGTCGGATCCGAGAGCCCGCGTGCACGAACGACACGGCGGGTTGACAGGCGCAGGGACGGTCAAAGATACACCGGGCGAGCAGGGAGCCGGTAATTTACACGCCAGCCACGTGACGGGATCGCGCATGCGCGTCTCCCTGCCCGCTGGCCTCGGCAAAAGTGTTCCAAGAGTGCAAAGCAAAGCGGAAATCACAAGATGGACCCTGAGACACGTCCGACCAACACTTTTCGCCCGGTCCGTGGGAGCAAGGTACCGAAAAGCGGACTTGGCCTCCCTGAGATCCATCCGAATAGCACATGGCTCTGGCGGCAATGTGACCTACAGTGCCCGACGAGAACCTGGGATTCGTCAGGCTGCACGGCGGTGTGATGTGCACGGGCAGAAAGCTGTGCCGCAGCGGCAAACTCGACATGCGAACGCGGCCGCGCGAAAAGTCGAAAAATGTGATCTTACGAAGGGAGCCCGCAGAGTGACGGCTGGAAAGAGGTGCAGATTCCCATGCAAAGCAGGCCAGGCGACAACCGGGCCTTCTCACGGGGCGGTGCATGGCGAGTCCCGCAGGCTGTGAATCGCCGCGTGCACCGGCTTCCCACATCGCACATCGCACGCTGCAGCGACTCGCCTCGTCTACGTCGAATGACACCATCCACGGGACCTCCCGGGCAGCTCACACACAGGTTGCCGCCGACACCGGCTTGCCTCGTGCAAGACGCATGCGTTGGCGTCCATACGAATGTTACGCCCAAGGATGGTATCGCCCAGAGCTGCCGCTTTTATAAAGTCACTCTGACGGCATTGTCCGCCTTATCCAGTCGCCAATCAGGGTCCTGGGGGCGCACTTCATGCATAGTCACAGTGACTTGCTCGAGACCGTCAAAGTGATCTCTCGAGTCTCGGTAGCCCGCGTCGTCAATGATCATGCGCATCGTTGCCCGACAAGACGACGAATATACCCGGCACGAGTTGTCGGACGCGACCACGCAACCACAATGTCGTCCCGAACCGGGTCTCACGATGTTGCCACGGCAAGGAATGCAACTACTGTACCAGGCGACAAGATGTAGCAGCGCGGACGGTGTAGGTCATGCTACCCGTGACGTAATGAAGGGTCCGCGGTTGCGCGGTTGACAGCCGCAGGCATGTTTGTTGCCAAACGCATGGATGCCAGAGGCCGTTTCAGGAACGACATGAAGCGGTGGGCGCTTGGACCCGTTGTCGATCCTCTTGGGCTGAGCGACGTGGGCTGAGCGGCGTGGAGAGCCGTCAAGCAGCGCCTAGGCGAGCTCGCTAGTGACTAGCGCAAGGGGCTGAGCCGTGCAACCGATCGATCCCTCGACGAGCGGCACTGGTCGATCTTTTGGAAATATCCGGGGAACAACTTGGCTTCGACAGACTCTAAAATTTGCAATCTGGTGCTCCCATCCTGCGTCCCGCGGTCCCGTTGCTCAGCGCTGATATTCTGGACAATCGTCTCGGTTGCTGTTCTCCCGTTGCTCGCCCGTGCCCGTGCCCGCAAGCAACGCGTGGCCGAGCAAAAGGTAAGCTGCGCGTGCCAGTTTGTGTGCATGCGGCTCCCAATTTCCGCCTGACTGCAGCTCTACACTAGGGCCCGACTCGCAACACAGTATGCTGTACCGCCCGCTGCGGCCCTGCGGAACCGTTTCGAGAGCTCGCCTCAAGCTCCGTCGCTGCCCTGGCAGGCAGGCAGGCGACAAGTGATTCGTTCAATAGGGATCTCGGATGAAGTGGATCCCAAACGTGTGCGCTGGACGGAAAGAAGGAAGCTCGCTACAGTGTATTCCGATCGCATCTAATTTCGAACACAGCCTGCAAGCACGTCCGACAGCCCGAGCGCCAGCGCGTGCACGTCCCACACGTCGAGAAGCTTGCCAAGACCACTCTGGAAGCTCGAAAGTCTCGAGCTCTGCTGTACTTGGCCCCGGATGTCGGGCTGCGAATGGCCACTGCTTCGAACAAGGCTGCATGGAGATTCAACAGCAGCAGCCCGAACTGCAGAACCCTCACGGAGAAAGCAGAGCACGCTGGTCGATTCATGTGTCTTGAGCGCGGCGCCGCTCTCTGCGCTGACTTCAAAGAAGAGGCTCGGATGACCCGAGATTCCGACGCACCAAGCGCACCAGCCCGAAGTCGTTTCCTTCGCACGGCGTCTTGACCAAGCATGGCAGGAAGAATCGCGAGCTGGCTGTGCATTGCGCATCAACGCCGCATTGCAGAGAGTGACGATGCGATGTGATGGGCTGAGAGGCGGGCAAGCACGCATGTCTGCGTCAGCCCTAGACGAGATGTCGCTTGGCAGCGGCGCGATCGATGGGACTGCATTCCAGTTTTCAGTAGGTTACGCGCCTCTTTCGATTCTCACGGCGGTCTTTCGATGCGCACTGAGCGAACGCGGCTGGGACGATCAATGGCCGACTTCCTGCTGCAAACGATGGCTGGCACGGCTGCGTTAGCGCCCACATCTCGCTACACAAGTTCGACATGCTCTCAAGGACCAAGTGGGAGCGCCATGCTCGGAACGGCCAAGGCGGCTGCGTGAGCCCCGACACCAAAGGCCGTCTTTCTAAACAGTAAAATTGTGCAATGGGCAGCGACGTCTGTGCATGCTTCGAATGGCTTGATTGATCGAAGCGCTGCATTGCGGGGTGGCTGCTTCAGGAGGGCAAGACGGAGGGGCTAGGGGCGATCATGTTGGAGAAAGTGCAGCATCGCAAAGAGGCTTGGTATGCAGAGTCGAGCGCGGGCTCGGCTTTGGCTGCTGCTGGCCCGGCGAAGCGTGTGCTTGGTGCCCGAAGCGACGCACCGCGAGACCAGAGCAGCGACGCAGCTTCCACTCTCCGCTCCGCTGCAGGCGTCCCTGGGAATTTCCACCGAGACGAGACAAGACGCCAGCTGCAGGCGTCGGTCTGGAATTGTGGTCGTTTTTTTTTTTTTTTTTTTTCTTCACGTTTTCTTTTCGTGAGATCGCAGTGTGTTGCCTTGTGTGATGGCTCCAAAATATCGAAAATGCGACAGATGGAGTCGAGAGGATCGATTGCATACACTTCCGCACATGCCCAGCCGAGCTCGACGAGCTCAGCGTGCTCACCGGCCGACAGCCGGCTGCAGCATGAATCGCCATTTCATGCAGCGAGTTCGATTTTCGCAGCGTCGATTTTCGCTGCAGGCCCGCGTCTCGGGCGATGGGCCTCGGCTACGGGCGAGGAGGTGGAGGTGTTGTTGTTTGACGTTGTTGATTTTGCGAGCCGGCGATGTTTTGGTGCGTCTGTCACACGCTCGCGTGCAGGTTTCGTTTTGGCTCTGAGCTGACGCTCTTCCTCGAGAGCGACCAAAAAAATAAGCGAGCAGCACACGCTCTTTTGCGAAAATGTGACTTTGTGAACGAGGCTGAGACCCTGAGGCCGCTTCGGTCCGCTCCGCATCACACAAAACACGCATACTCACGCATGCACGCTCTGCCTGGGCGCATCTTGAAGCCCTCGGCGAGTGGCAGGCAGAGCTGTCTCAATGCCTCTTCCGTTCGGGACAGGACTGGCGTGGAGCGGACTGGACCTGATTGTATGCAGCTGCCCGTGCCCTCGTGTGCCGATGGAACTGACACAAGCTTGCCGTTGTCACCATTCTGGCGCTTGCTTGGGCTGTGATGCGATCCGTCGATTGCCCCTGCGGCTGTCCATCCGGCTTGCTCGCTCGTTCAGCGGCATCATCGGTGAGCGGACTGGAACGTGGAAGGTGGCCAGTCGACACGATGACAGAGATGCAGTTGATGCGATTGATCCAATTGATGCAAATGGATGCAGTCGATGCAGCCCGTGCAGTCCGGGCAGATGGCTGCCCGTTCGATCTGGCGTGTTTTGTTCATTTAGCTTCGAGCCCCCTCCTTCTCCTCCTCCTGCCCTCTCTCTCTCTCTCTCTCTCTCCCTCTCTCTGGCCTTTCCCGCTCGTCACCGAACGGAGGCGGCAGCCATGACGATGCATGTCTGTCGCCTTGGCTCTCCCTTGTCCGGTGCTCCGATGCTCCGCCTCTCCGACTGGCTCTGTACGCTGCTCTGTGTGCTCTCTGCGCTGAATCCAAACAGGCTCCGCATCGTATTTTTCTTATTCCCTTTCGATGGGCCGTCCGTACCGCAACGTCAGTGCTCTGTCAATGCACGCTTCCCGAGAGCCAGGCAGCTGAGCCTGGATCCTGCTACCTTTCCTGCTTTTCCTGCGGCGGTGCTGCCTGGCCCGCTCGCTTTTCATTTTGCCGCCGCGGAAGCGCTTCATTGAATCGGTCGCTTGGCACCACCCAGCGGCGGCGGCCTGGCTGTCGCTGCCCTCTCTCTCTCTCATGTCAATCTGAGACACTCGATTGTGCTCTCTCAAAGTGGTCCCGCTGTGGGTGCTTTTGTGACGCGGTTCCGTGGTATCAAACTGTATTTTGCCTCGTCAACCACGCAGGCGCATTCGCATGGTTACTGAGCAAGAGAGCAACACAGACGACGCTCTATCTGTCTGTGATCGACCTCAGAGAGCTGTCAGTTCAGGACGACGGCTTGGCTGGAGCAAAGAGCTGTGGAGCGGCGGCGAACTGGCTGAGGGCCGGCTCCCCTGTAACGGCAGAGTGAGTGAGCGAGTGTGTGTGTGTTTTTTTTTCTAGCTCTGGCGCTGCATTATTAAAATTGACGGACAGCATTGCGCTCTTCTGCGCTGCTGCGGCTCGCCGTCGGCCTGGGCAGTGTTTGTTGCTTTGGCTCGCCTGATCCCGTTGGGCCCTTGGAGCAGCCTCGCCTCGATCTTGACAGGCTGAATGCCCTCCTGCCTTGGATCCAAGTCCAGCTCGCCTTCACCTCGCTCTTGACCTCGCCCCCGCCCTCGACCACCGGCTACTCTCCTCCTCGTCTGGCCCTACTCGCCCTACTCGCCCTACTCGCCCTACTCGCCCTACTCGCCGTCCTCTATCCTCTACCCACCACCACCCATCCTCTCCTCGACATCCTTGCCATCCTTCCCTCGTGTCGTCCACATCCCCTCACCCCTCACCCGCCATTCGCATCTGCATCCGCAACCCCACCTCTTCACCTCGCGCGCTTCCCTACTCCCCCCTCTGCATCTTGCGCGAGCGGTCAGCCTTCTTGGTAGCTCATCTCAACCACCACAGGCTTCGTGCACCATCCAGCAGCGCTTCATCTTCGAGCCACTCGCTTCGAACAGCCGCTAGCCTTGCTCCATCTCACCACCCGTCCTCGTCTTCCCGTTCGAGGTCTCCGACCGCGTCAGCGTGATCGATCTTCCAACACCCCTCTGTTTCCTTTCTCTTGACCGCATCGCCGGCCAGAGCTTCCGCAAGCAACAGACGAGTCCTCCATATCCCCGCCTTGCATTCCTCCTTCCGAACCTCATCCATACCCGGGAAAGCAGTCTCTCAGTTCTTCTCACGACCTCCTCACCCTTCAGCCTCATCCGCTGACAACTCCGATATCGACCCTCCAGCATCACGGTCGTGCTCCGTCTGCCCCAGTCGTCCGGCTTAATCTGATCCCCGTCCCTGTTCCATCCCCCGCCATACCACTCGAAAAGCATCTCGATACCTTTTCTGCCACCACGCGGCAGACTTCAGCATCCCATACTCACGCCAATCAGCTTTAGAGCCACGATCGTGCCTTGACGCCAACCATCCTCGGCCAAGGTCCTTCCCCCTCGACCAGTCCCCCCGCCATCTGCATTCATTCGACCTGCCCCGTTGCAGCTGCCGTCTCGTCCGAATCTTGGTCTCGACTCACATCGTCGTGCCTTTGCAGTCTCTCTCACATCGAGAGACGATAGCATCTCGATCTTGCCGCGGCCCTGCATCATCACCTGCCCTTCGGACTGCCTGATGCGCCTTTCCTAGCGCACATCCCGACCCCTTCATCCAAGCCCTCAGTCTTTGTTCAAGGCTGCCGGCTTCCCCTGACCTCTCTCACACAAGATGGCTCAACCCGCTGTCAGAGTAAGTGTTTCCCAACTGCCTTTGCTCCCTTCGGCCTCTCCTGAAACTTCGTGGATCGTTGACTTACCTCTTGACCACCATCCTTCCCATTGCTCCTGCTTCCTTGTCTGCTTTTGCCGATTAGCAGCCCACGGCGACGCGGTCCCGCATTGCCCGTCCCGGTGGCATTCCTGCGTCTCGTAGCGGCGATCGCATTCATCTCTCCGAAGCTTCGTCTAGCCACCTGGCAAAAGCCAAGAGCGTCGCCGCCGCCGGCAAGCTTCGGTCCGACTCTAGAGGCGTCCCGCAACGTGCCGCCCTCTCCGATGTCAGCAACCGTGTCGGAGCAGCCAGGGTCCCGGCCGAGGGCGTCTCCAAACCAGGCCAACATGGCCTCCGTTCGCACAACACCAAGAGCATGACTCGCCTTCGGGATGCTCGTTCTCGATCCAGCACAGAAGAGAGGCTGCGCGGTCCCATCCGATCCATCTCCGAGCAGAGAGATCTCGTCAGCGGAGGCGTCCAGTCTATGGACGTCGAAGCGCCTCAACTCTTGCCACCGTTCCGCGGCTCGACCTCCACTCTGGCACCAAGCGCGGCGCAGCAGGCCTCGTACCACGCCGACGAGGATGCGGAACTAGAAGACGTGGCTGCTCACCACGACGAGGTGGACGAAGAAGAGCTCTCGGACGTCGAGTCGACGTCGAGCAGCGACGACGACACGGGCGACGACATGGGAGAAGAGCAGGCGAGCTGGATGGCATCGGAGCGACTCGATGCCGGCGGCCGTCCGGAAAGCGTCACGTCCGCCGAAGACGGCGATCTGCTCGACTTCAACATCGACCCCGAGGGCCTCGTCTCGCTGCATCCCGAGCTCGAGGAGGCAGCGCGTCGCAAAGTGGCGCTCATCAAATCGCGCTACCAGGAGGAGGTGATCCAGCCCCGAGCGGCTCGAGCTCAGGCGCAACGCGCCGAGGCAGTCGCAGCGGGTCAGCTGTCTGCGGACTTGGCGGCTCACGAGGACGAGCTGATCATCATGGGTCTCGATCCGGACGAGGTGCGCGACACCAGCATGGTCGCCGAGTACTCGACCGAGATCTTCAACTACATGGCGCGATGCGAGCGCGAGACGATGGCGAACCCCAACTACATGGACTTCCAGCGGGAGATCCACTGGCACATGCGCGCGACGCTCGTCGACTGGCTGTTGCAGGTGCACATGCGCTACCACATGCTGCCGGAGACGCTGTGGATCGCCATCAACGTGGTGGACCGCTTCCTGAGCGTGCGCGTGGTGAGCCTGGGCAAGCTGCAGCTCGTCGGCGTCACGGCCATGTTTATCGCCGCCAAGTACGAGGAGATCCTGGCGCCGAGCGTCAAGGAGTTTGTCTTTATGACCGAGGACGGCTACAAGCAGGAGGAGATTCTCAAGGGCGAGCGCATCATCCTGTCGACGCTCGACTTCAACATTTCGTCGTACTGCTCGCCGTACTCGTGGGTGCGCCGCATCTCCAAGGCGGACGACTACGACATCCGCACGCGCACGCTGTCCAAGTTCCTGATGGAGCTGGCGCTGCTCGACCATCGCTTCCTGCGTGCTCGGCCGAGCCTGATCGCGGCGGTGGGCATGTTCCTTTCCAAGAAGATGCTGGGCGGCGAGTGGGACGATGCGTTTGTCTATTACTCGGACTTCACCGAGGAGCAGCTCGTGCCCGGCGCGAACCTGCTGCTGGAACGTCTGCTGGACCCCGAATTTGAGGAGCAGTTTGTTTACCGCAAATACGCCAACAAGAAGTTCCTCAAGGCGAGCGTGTTTGCTCGCGACTGGGCGTACCAGAACCACAGCGCGCTGCTTGCCGCCGCCGCCGCCGCCGCCGCCGCCGCCGCCGCTGCTGCTGCACAGCACGGTCAGGTTCAATAGAGTCGGATCGAGCGTCCCGCTCCGACGAAGCTGAGGGCGCGCACCGCAAGCTTCGACGACGCTCATGCCACGAAACCGCAGCGACTCAACATCACGCCGAGGTGGCAACCACATTCGTTTACAGTCTCGTTCCTTCTCCAACTGCCCACCTCGGAGCCGTGTCGCTGCGGAATCGTGAGAGCGTCGTGCGAGGCAGCGTGCCGCACCCCTCAAGCCATGCCTCCCTCCCGCCTTCCCCAGGCTCTTCACGCCGATGTCCCTCGCGAGTCCGACCTATTGGCTTATCCCCTGTACGAGTAACCCCAGCATTTTACCCCTTGCCGAGCCTGCACTCGCCATCCTATCCACATCCCCGACTCGCGACCTCCGCCGTTGGGTGGTTGCGCGCAAGTCGACGTTTTGGCCCTGGAGCACGAGCGCGTCGAGCGCCGTCTGCTTGGCTTTGTATGTGATCAATTTTGACGATTCATGATTTTCATTTGTTGCACAAGGTTTCTGCGTGGTTGATCGTGTGTGTCTGTGTGTGTGGTGTTGGGGACTTGGAAGGTGAAGCAGCTTATGCTGAAGTGGGCGACAAGGTGATGGGATGCAGAGGCAAAAAGGGGGCCAACCCGGAATCGAACCGGGGACCTCTGTCAGCTTAGTGCCACCTCGAATCGAGATGAAGGCCCTAAGACAGCATAATAAGCCACTATACGATTGGCCCCTTGATGGCGGTCGTGCCTCGATGATGGCGGCGATGAAGGTGGGAGGGTGAGATCGGATCGGGACTTTTCCCCCCGATTAGCGTCAATTTTGATTCGGAATAAATTTAATGGGCGTTGCCCCGAAAGCCCCTCTCTGCGAGCCAAAAGGGTTGAAATTCAAAGGCCAATTCTGAAAAGGCGCGAATCGGCGCTCGAGGCGCTGCGCAGCTGCGGATGCGAGATGAAATTCGGACCAATCTTGGCCAGAGGGGGGCCGCATACTCAGCTGTAGCGAAATGCAAGCAACGCATGGCCAGGGTCGGGTGGGGGTTGGGTCTCACCTCGAGTTCGCCTTGACTCAGCTGGGAGTGACAGGGCGGGGGAGAAAAGGGGGCGGCGGGGTCTGGATTTTCGCCTCGTCTTGCTTGCCTGACGTGCTCGCGCTTTGGATTCGCCGCATTGCAATCAAGGCACATGCACAGAAATCACTTGCCACGCCGAAGCCGGCCTAACAGTCTCGTCGATGCCGTAGCGGCGGGACGTGCAAGGTTGGATCGGGATGGCGTAGGTTTGGAATGAAGGGCGTTGTGACTTCGAACGTCGGTCTTTGCAGAGGCGGGAAAGAGGGCAACCAAGAGGCGAGTTCAGTTGTCAGCGCGTCTCGGCTGAGCGAGGGCGGATGGGCGGGAAACGGGCGAAAAAGGGTAGGAGTGTTAGGTGCGCCCAGTTCCTTGCAGCTCGCAGCCGCCGCTCTCGCAGCAGGCAGGAGCTGCTCAGCTGCGACTGAGCTTGAGCCACGCAATTTCCTTTCGCCTCTGCTGGGCCCGTTTGGCGGCGGGCGGAGAGGAGCGCGAACGCGTAGTTGCAGACAGGCTCTCTCCTCGGCCAAGGCTGCTGCTGCGCTCTGCTCTGCTGTGCTCTGCTGAGGTCGGTGACGATTGCGCCCCAGGCTCAGCCGACCGCTTTGACTCGCATCATCGGGGCGCCAGTCTGCAAATCGCATCCAGCCCTTCACCATCCCCCTCTCTCCCTTTCGACACTCACCTCGACCTCAAGCTCGACATCAGCACGCCTCATCCATTCCATCTTCATTACACACGCTTTACCTCGAGTGGCTGATCTCGTGCGCAAGCCAATACCACCACCACCTTTGTCGTCTCCTTCTGCATCTGCATTCTCGCGCTTCTGCATTCAGCATCTCTGTCGGTCCGGCTCAGCTTCTCGTGGCAAAAGCATACCCTTTCTCTCATCCGCGTTGCACAAGCTGCACATACTTCAGGCTCGCCCATCATCCGTCACCATTGGTCTCCACCACCGCCGTCGCCAACGTCAGCTGCTACCTACCGTGCACCCTTGCCCGCTCGCAACAGGCTTCAGCTTCGGCCACATCTGCAAGCTCTCGTTACAACTCACAAGTCTACACAACAGCGCCGCTCGCTCTTGGCTCTGAGATTGGCTTCGTGCATCGCCCTGCTCACTCTTCGACCAGACGCGACCTCCGAGTCCTAGCTTGCTTCACCCAAGAGGCGCACAACCACGCATCCAGCGGGCAAACTGCAACTGCTGCCAACATTCTGGCAGACATACCGATTGTCTCGAAGCATCTCGGGCATCGACCGCTTCAATCCGATCCGATCCAATCCAATCCCTCAATGCATTGACGCCCTCTAGCCTTTGGCCGTACATCTCACCACTCTCGGTGACCGCGTCAATCATCCAGCCCTCCATCAAAGCGTTCGCAAAGGCTTTGCCGTCCTCCATCTTGACTCCTGATTCACGCCCTCCGCACGCCGCAAATCGCGTGCGTGGCATCCTCCTCCAACCATGAGGGAGTCCAACTTTTGCAACCCCGCCCAGAACAAGGCGAGCGTCTGCATCTCCTCTGCCGTCTACGACCGCAGAGCCATCGACTGCACCGCCACCCTACCGCTCATCAACTCGCTCAACCACCTCGCCTACCTCACCTCCACATCGCCCCGCATCCGCGAGATGGTCACCCTCGATGGCGGCCTCGAGCGTCTCATTCGCATCCTCCGCACCGTCCCCAAGACCCCCTCCCCTCAGGCCCGCGCCTTCTCCATCAAGGAGATGCAGGCCGTCTGGAAGTGGAGCCTCGCTTTCCAGTGCGTCGTCAACATCGGCGTACGCGGCAGCGAGAGCGTCAGGACACGCGTCGTCGAGGCCGGCATGATCCCCGTCACCATCCGCGTGCTCGAATCCTACCTCCGAAACATGGAAAGACTCAAGGACGAGAAGCGCAAAGACTCCCTCCTCCACCATCACCGCCACGAGGCTCGTCGCGACGATCGTACCAGCCGGGAGCGCGTCCAGTCCGCGTCCGCATCCAACGCTCCTCTCTCCGCTTCCGCTGACTCGTCTCGCTCACGGCGCCTCCATCCAGCTCCCGACACGCTTGCTCCAGCCTCCAACGCCACAGCACAGCACAACGGCCCCGCTTCCTCTGCATCCCAGGCTTCCCCAACTCGCACCCACCACGCAGACGCGCAGCCCGATTCCAACGCAATCGCCCCAACCAACCTCCCCAACCACCTGCTTACAGAGACTCGCCCAACCACACCGCTCGAGGACCCCGTGGCCGCACGCCGCTCCTCCGTCTTTGCCAACATGGACGCACAGAGCAGCGCAGACGATTTTATGCCCTCCCAGCCACCTGCCATGCCCGTGGTCGATCCTCACGAGCCGCACGCCACCATGCCTCTCATCGAGAGCATCGATCCGATCTCGCTCTCGTCATCCGGCTCACCACCCAACGTCGGTCCCGACGGCACGCCCCGCGCGCTCTCATCTGCACGAGCCGACGACCGCAACCTCGAAGGCATGAGCTCCTCCGAGGACCTCCGCAGCCATGCGGCCGAGGCCAGCGGCAGCGGCTCCGACGGCGCAGAAGATGCAGAGATGTTTGCCGACGATGCCGACGACAGCGAGATCGACGCCGCCCAGTTCCAGACCGTCCGCTCGACCGACTCGGACAATGCGCCATCGAGCGCACCCAGCAACATCGAAGTCGACGAGGACCTCGAGGAGCGTCGCACGCCGCGTCCGGCCCGCAGAGCGCTCGCCCCCTTATCCGGCAATGACTCTCCACCTCTGCCCGCTCAAAGCTACGTGACTCCGAACCGTCCCACCAGCGCCATCGCACCGCCCCTCTTCGAGAGGCAAGACACCGTTCGGCCCTCACGCGACTTTTCCACCACCGCAGGCTCCCGCGAGGCATCGTCCACCAACCTCGCTTCCACCGCACTCGCCGCCCAGGTGGGCTCACAGGATGCTTCGACCCGCAGCAGCTCGCTGTTTGATCGACAGCAGCAGCCAGCACACCAGCACCACCACCACCACAACAACGAGCGCTTGCATCACCAACAGCAGGGCTCAGCGTCACAGGACCAGCGTCACCACCATCATCACCACCACCACCATCACCACCACCATCACAGCCAACCTCACGACCACACTCACCAGTCCCGCGCCTCTGCGACGACGAGCCATTACGACGACGTTCAATTGGGCCGCCAAAGGTCCGCGCACCCCGAGGCACAGCAACAGACCACACCGCGCGAGGAACCACGGACTACGGCCGTGCGGCCGGCTCAGCCTGCCTTCGATGCCGGTGCCGCCCATCCGGCGGTGGTCCAGCTGAGCAATCTAGCGGATACCAATGCGCGCGCCGGCATCGACGTTGTCTACCGCGAGGAAGAGGTGCTGCTGAGCCTTCAGCTGCTCGCGTATCTGTCCAAATACCCGCACGTCCGCATGCTCTTCCACTCGACCGACTTTAGCGGTCCCTCGCTCATGGGCCCGCTGGATTCGCTCAACGAGGAGATCGAGCAGGCCACCAAGCGCAACAAGAGCTGGGATCCCGCCGAGCCTCCGCGCCGCAACGTCTTTGCGATCGCCGAAAAGTTCACGCTGCGATCGCGCAACGCCACTTACCCTGCTCCACGCCTCTCGATGGAGATCCAGTACTGGGCTGGCGTCATCATGCGCAACGCCTGCCGCAAGGACGAGTCGCGCGGCGGCATCCGCCAGTGCGCCAACATGCTCTGCGGCAAGTGGGAGGAGTATCCGCGCGAGTTTGCCAAGTGCCGTCGATGCCGAAAGGCAAAATACTGCAGCAAGCAATGCCAGAGCAAGGGTTGGCAGATGGGCCATCGTTACTGGTGCAGTGCCAAGTCAGACGAGGCCGAGGCCAAGGACAAGGAGCGCGAGAAGACGACCGAAGCGCAGCGTGACGGACGCCAGGAGGATGGCGGTGCGGCTCCACGCATTGTGCCCATGGCCGCGCACGCCGGTGAAGCTGCTGCATTCGGCCATGGACTGCCTGATGAGCCTGTTGATGCGATGCGCGATCCGGGCGCTCGTGGCGGGCTCGACCGCACCGACGACATGCAGCTCGACGGTGCGGATCGCCATACTACGGCTGCGAGGCGACGCGCGTCGGGCGAGCCCACAGAAGGATCAGCCCACGCGGCGGTGCCACGATCCGAACACCGTGACGGACGAACTCGCCCTGGCCACTCGGCTCGAGACCGCGAAGACGGCGTGCAAGCGGCCGCCTTTCTGCCCGACGGGTCGCAAGGGCGACACTCGGGTCTCGATTCGCTTGCCCATGCCGCCGGCTTCGGTCGGCCGGACTCGGGCATGACGCACGAGGCAAATGGCGCCGTGCCGGATCTCAACGGTCACGGCGCGCAGGCATCGGGATCTCAGCACGGCGGACCTTCCCGCATGCATCGTCAATTCTCCTCGTCGGCGTCCTCAGTCGAAGCCATGGGTGTCAACGGCCATGCTGCGTCCGGAGAAGACGATGTATGGACACGCGGTGCTGCCGAGCCCGGAGCTCCGCGCCTGGGCATGCTGCCGTCGCCGTATCCTGGCGTGACTGGCGCTTTGGATCGAGGCGTCGGGAGCGCAGGCCACTCTGCGTCCTCCTCGCGCACCTCGCTTGGGGAGGGCGTGGCGGAAGCGCAACGTGGCGCACGCCGCGGCGCCCTGCCCGGTGGAATGGGTCTGCCCACGACCATGCTGCGTCAAGACTTGCGCGATCGCCGCGTGACCAGTCTCGCGAGTCTGGACACCGTCGACGGCTCCGACGTCAGCGAGGACGAGACGGAGCGAAGACTGGCACAGACGCAAGACATCCATCCGGCATTGGCGGCCGCTGCAGCCGCGGCGGGTCTTCGTGCGCGCGATGGTCAGGTGCCGCCGCAAGCGCCGCAACGCACCGATTTGGCGGGGCGACCGCTGCCTCCGCCGGTGATCGCGTCGCAGAACGGCGAGGAGGACGAGTTGGCCCTCGGTGGACGCGCGACTCCAGGTGTAGCAGGCGACCAGGACTTTGGCACGGGCGAGATCGACCAGATGCTCGGACATTGGGCCACGCGAAGGCCGGATGCGATCGGGCTGCAGCATCGACTGGCGGAGGTGCGCGCCGAGATGCCGTCGCCGGAACGCTCACTGTCGCCCGAAGCCGGTGTGCACGGCGGCGAGACGTCCGAGACGGTCATGGGCGCGCGCTCAGACGATGAGGATCTGACCGCAACGTCGAGGACGTCGAGGTACGGCGGTCTGTACCGCGATGCTGCGTTCGGCCCGATGGCGCGCGGGCAGACGCCGCAGCCGCACCATCGGCTGCACCAGCCGCGCTCCGCGAGCGGCTTCAGCGCGTTTGGCGGCCACGCCACACGCTTCGGGTACGGCGAGTCGATGGGCGAGACCTCGACGCTGCAAGGCTACCGGCCGTCGATGGTGTCGTCGCCGCTGGCCCAGACACCCGCACGAAGGACGAGCGGATACGAGGGCAGCACGTCGCAGAACGTCGAGGACGTCGCAATGGCCAGCGAGGCCGTGTTGGAACCGAGCCGCAGCGCAGTCCACTCGAGGCTCGCATCGCCCGATGACGACATGATCGACGACGCGGACGACCGCGACGATATCAGCATGGAGTTGTAGTGTGCAATGCGATCACGTGAGATTCAAGCTCTTTGACGCGCTTGGCTCGTTTGCGAGCAACCTGGCGACCAGCTGTGTTCTCAGCAATGGCAACGTGAGGTCTAGGTGCGATACTTGTCTGGGACGAGTCTGTTCGATGAGATTGAAGGGAAGCAGGGACAAGTGGGGGTGCATGAGCAAAGTCGAGATCGGGAGAGGATCTGGTGCGGCTCAGGAAGGGTCCGCATTGGAAGGCTTTTTACGCGCGCACGTGCGTTGAGCTCTGTATTTCGTGGGGGAATTTCCACTGCAGCCAGCTTCGAGGTGGAAGAAAGGTTTGCCAAACGGAGCAAGTCTATTCCTGCTCTCTACCAGACAGCTTTTCAAACGATCATCGACGTTTGGACACGACAGCCATGTCCTCAGCAGCGACGAGTGGCGGTGGTGCGCGGCCAGCGGCTGGAGCCGTGCAAGGCCAGCAACAGCCCGCGCGCGCCGACTGGAAGTGGTCGATTGCACGCGCACTGCTCATCTACGCCGGAATCAATGCGGTGACCAACCCCAACAGCCCCGTCGGCGGATACATCGGAAAGCTGCTGGGTCGAGAGTCCACAGCTGCTCCTGCGGCAGCCACTCCTGCCGCGCCCTCCAGCGGCTCGGCCAGCACACCGAGTGTGGCTTCTGCACCTTCCGCATGGGCGCCAGCTGCGGAGCCGGCCGTCAAGGGGCCTGCGAATGTGGCCGTGCCCGTGTGGGGCGATGATACGGGTGTAGACCTGTACGTCTTCCTGTCGTCGGCGCCTGCTCCTGATGCGGACATGCTCAAGACGCAGCAGTCGGATCTCATGCCCGAGGGCGGAGTGGCACATGCACCCGCCGTGCCTCTCAGTGCATTCGACGATCTGCTCTACGACCCACTCCGCACCACGCAACCACTCATCACGTACCCGAAGACGCAGGGCAGCGCGGAGCTGAGTCCCATCGCGGCAATCAAGTGGACGGCAATCTCGCTGACGGATACGGCGCTGGCGCGGGACGTCGATGTGACGCTGCAGCTCAACGACCTGGTGCGCAAGCACAACGGAAGCATCTGGGCCGATGTACTGCTCACCACCTCGGGCACCAACCTCATCTCGGCCGCCGAGAGCGACGTGTATCGCACACGCAAGATGCTCACGCGTCTGCTGCCCGTGAAGCGCAAACGCACCGAGAAGAATCTGTTCGACAAGAACGCGACGGTGGTGCAGGGCGACGAGCCGGCCGCGCGCGTAGCTGCGCACTGGCATCGAAACCTGACGCTGGCGCTCGTACAGGACCGTGGCGATACGGGCGTGCAGCTGAGCCAGCTCCCGCCGCCACTGCTGCAGCACGTAGCCGTCGTGCGCGATGCCGACGGCAACATGGTGCCTGCCCCCGAACCAACCGAGCCTGCGGCAGCAGTGGCGCTGCAGCGCGCATATGCAGCCGGACGACCGCTTAACGTGCTGCGCTTCCCCACCGTGTTCGCCAACGACTTTTGGTCGCTCAAGGAGCACATGTACGCGGTGAACGAGACGCTGACCGAGCTGCCGCTGCACATCCACGTGTACCATCCGTCGTGGTTCCGCTTCCAGATGCTCGCTGCGCTCGGCGACTCGTTCGACAAGCAGGCCGGCGTCACGGGCGGCGAGATCGACATGCTCAAGACCATGCTGCTCGAGACGAATCCGTGGTTTTTGGCGCTCACGGTCGCAGTGAGCATCCTGCACAGCCTGTTTGAGTTCCTCGCCTTCTCGTCGGACGTGCGCCACTGGAAGAACAAGGACGACCTGGCGGGCGTGTCGGTGGGCAGCATCGTGACGAACATCGTGGTGCAGCTCATCATCACGCTGTATCTGCTCGACAACAACGAAGACACGAGCTGGATGATTCTGGCGGGCCAGGCGATTGGCGTGCTGATCGAGTGCTGGAAACTCACCAAGGCGGTGACAGTTGCAGTCGAGCGTTCGTCTACCTCGCTGGTGGGCTACCGGCTCAAAATTTCGGACAAGCATGTGTTGTCGGACGAAGAACGACGCACGCAGGAGTACGACCGGCTTGCATTCAAGTACGTCGGCTTCGTGGTTGGACCGCTGCTCGTCTGCTATACGGCGTACAGTGCCGTGTACCAGACGCACCGTGGATGGTGGTCGTTCATCATCAGTACGGCCACATCGTTCGTCTACGCGTTTGGATTCGTCGGATTGGTGCCGCAGCTGATCGTCAACTACAAGCTGAAGTCGACGGCGGGCATGAACAGCCGCACCTTCGTGTACAAGATCCTGGGCACGTTTGTCGACGACCTGTTTGCCTTCTGCATCAAGATGCCCACGCTCCACCGCCTCGCGTGCTTCCGCGACGACGTCGTCTTCTTCATCGCCCTCTACCAGAGGTGGATCTACGGCGTCGACCCCACGCGCAGAAACGAGTTCGGCCAGACCCTCGAAAAGACCGACAAGGACGCCAAGGATGGCAAGGACGACAAGGACGCTAAGGACGACGGCGAGAAGAAGGTGCAAGCAGAGGCGTCTGGCGTCGAGCAGAAGAAGGCTACACTCCGAACCAACGCTGCAAAGCCAGCAAAGGAGGGCAAGCAGCTCTAGTTATGTTCGAGTCGCAGTGGATCAGCAATGTTGACGCGAAATCAAGACCATGTGGTGCAGAGCATGTCAGTCGAGCGCGCAGAGCGGTGCCCAAGAGCAACCGCTTTCCGAGCCCGTGAAATGCGTCTCCATCTCGGTCTCGCCGCTTCAAACACACTCACGATCACGCATTACGACGGCGGAACCGATACCCTTTTCAATATGAATGCATGAGAAGTCTACAAAATGCTGGTGGGAGGGCGGAAGTTGGGGTTGTTGCAGTTGTCGCAGTCCTGGGGCGCGTCGACCTTGGCATCGGGCGTGACGGCGCCCGACTCTTCGCCGTCGGTGGTATCGAGGATCTTCTCCTCGTCGACCTCTGCGCTGCCGACTTGAGCCTGACGGGCGGCCCTGGCCAATCTCCTGGCTTCCCTCCTTGCCTGCTTGCCCTGTTCGGCTTGTCTCCACTCATCGGCCTCCTGTTCCTCCCTCTGGAGCGCGAGTGCGGCGCGGCTGTGGCTGCGGATACGGTCGCCGTACCTGATCAGCACGAACGGCACCACGCCCAGCACGCACGCAATCGCCGCCAGCAGCGTCGAGGCGTACTTGGGCGTGAGCTTCTCGTACATCTGCTGCGAAAACAGCGGGAAGCAGGCGGCAAAGGTATTGCGCAGGAAACTCTGCGCTGCAAGAGCACTGCTCGCATACCGCTCGTACACATCCGCCAGGTACGAAAATACCGCCAAGTACACCGGAAACAGCGCCAGATTAAAGATAGTCAGCCCAATGATGGGAGCGGCGGGCGAGATCCCAGCACGGCCCGTCCAGGCAAAGATGAACAGCCCGATGGGGGCCAAGACTGCACCAGCGGCGGCGTAGTACAGCCTGGCCTCCGGAGGCGGTTTTCCGCCGTACTTGCGTGAGGTGGCGGCGTAGAGCTTTTCCTGGTGAAAGTTGACCAAGTAGCCGATCAGTCCTCCCACCGCGATGGTGAGTAGCGCCGCATGCTGCTGCTCGGCGTTCCAACCGTAACCGGCAAACACGATCGGAATCGCTTCGAGCGAGATAAAGATGATACCCCACAGGAATCCGATCCAGAGCGCAAAGCTAAGCACCACGGGCTCGAACAGCAAGTACTGCATGGGCCGCACGAGCGAGACCTTGACCATGACGAGGAAGTTGAGCCTCTCGTCATCCGCCCTGCATTTGTGCAACTTTCCAGTCTCCTTGGTGAGCTTTTTGGCGCGCCTGCTGAGCAGCACCGGCCCGCGCGTCTCCTTGAGGAAGACAAACATGAGCACATAGGTCAAGAGCGCCAGCGCACCCTGCCACCAGAACATGATCCTCCAGCTGGCGCGATTCACCGTGACGGACGAGATGTAGGGCGACACGCCCTGGGCGATGTACACAGCAATGGCGTAGAGCGACATGGGGAAACCACGCTCGCTGGCGTGGAAGACATCGGAGACGCTCCCTGCGACCATCGAGTTGCCGACACTGGCAGCCATGCCCTGGAACCAGCGGACGACGATGATGGTGGTGATGTTCTTGGCGAGAGCCTGAGGGATGTAGAGGAGCGTAAAGACGAGCACAGCCGAGAGGTAGATGGGGTTGCGACCGTACACCTCGCTGAGCGGCGCCAGGACGAGCGGGGTGATGGAGACGGCAAAGAGGAAGGCGGTGTTGCCGGCAAGATAGACGAGCTGGGTGGTGCGCAGGTCCTGGGCGGCATTGAAGGAGGCCGAGGGGTAGCCGCAACCGTTGAAGGCGGTGCAGGCGGTGAAGAGGAAGCACACGGAGACGAGGAGCCAGCGTCGAGACTTGGGCCAATTGAACGGATTCTCGGGGTCGTTTTCGGGCCAGTCGATGTAGATGGCGTCTGGGTCCTCGGACTTGGTGAGCGTAAGGGCGAGTGCGGATGCCGGATAGTGCGGGTCGGCGCATCGGTGTATCGACGAGACGCGCGACGAGGCGCGTGCGAGGTCGGACGGCTTATTCGCCGGGTCAATGTACGAGACGGAGCGGTTGGAAGCAGAGCGCGGCCTTCCTACAACGGCGGGATCCGTAGGTTGGGTAGCCTTGGGACGCGAGTCGGAGCGCGTCAGACGCGAAGCCAGTGGCTGCAGCGCGTGCGAGGTGGGGAGTGGGCCGGGAAGGTCGGCGTGCTCTTCGTTGTCTATGGACGAACGCGACGAGGAGCCGGAGCTAGACGGGGCATTGCCACGAGTGCGTTTTGGTGCTGTCGAGGCGGAAGACTTTGCAAGGTGGTCCGACGAGCCGAGTCGTGTGACTGAGGTGGACGAGGAGCGTGCTTTTAACGACGACGGGGGCGAGGCATGGCGCGAGGGGGGTTGCGAAGCGGAAGGCGGTTGGAGCGAGAGCTGAGGCTGGTCAGCGCCGAGATACTCGGGAGCCTCGTGCGGACGATGCTGACTGCTGCTTCTACTTTGCGAAGACATGGTGGAGAAGATTACCCGGATGCGGTGGAGGGTAGCATGTCACGGCGGTATGGGTTGGTCTAGGAAGCAGCCGCGCGTACGGGATAAATGCAGCTGGATTATATGGAGCTGACGTCTATGGATTGGGACAGGAGGTGGTCAAGAAGGAGGAGGGCCAAGCTTTGATCGCCGGAGCTAAGGGGGAAGTGTGGCATGAGTCGCACAAAGCACCATAGCGCGAGTAGGCCCAGTCGGCTATGCTCCTTTATGGCCCTGTCACACGGCTGTTGGACGGTGTAGCGCGGTGTGACTCTCACTCCACCGCGCATCCGGTGCGAAAAAAAAAACGCCGCCGCGAAACCGACAAAAAACCCTTGGCTGGAATTTCGAGCAGCAGGCGGCGATGGGTGGGTGCGCTGCGTAGTTTGACGTTGGGCCGACCCCGAACGGGACAGCCACGCGCCGTGCCAGCCTTCGCCTGAGCCCGCAAAGGCCGGCCAAAAGACCGACAGTCACGTTGAGAGTCATTCTGCTCGCCACTTCCAACGGCAATTGGCAACCGGCTTGGTGAGTGGGTGCAATGCAAGACTCTTGACACTTTCACTAAATTCGCATATGCAAAGTCGTTCCGCCTTGGCAATTGCAACGAATGCCAACCTCGATGAACTGCAGGACAAGATGAAGCCCACCCATCAAGGCCGACCCCACGTCTCGACGCCGCTAGGCTGCGGAGGCTTGCCCACGGTGGTGAGAGCACGATAATGTTCGGTGGATTGCACGGACAGGAACACGCGTGCTGAATAGCATCACGTTCTCACGCTATCCTCGCGATGAAGTCGTGACTCGGTGTCTGGGGCAGTTGATCATGACTCGGATTGCGACAACCGCCGTCAAGTCATGGTTGCATTGCTCGGCCTCGATTAATTTCGGCTGCCCACAACAGCCAGTAGGCCAGTATTAAGTCCGAGATGAGGGGAGGCGCTTGAGCACAGACCGCGCGCGATCGAGCATCGCAAGGCATCGAGTTGGTGGAGTTGGACGGCCATCGAAAGCGAGCGCGGCCGCAGTGGGGACCGGCAGGCTACTCGGAGAATTGCTCGGTCTTTTTCTACGCCCTGGAGCGGCCCAGCGTTTTTCGAGTGGCTGGAAGGCGTCGGCGGGGCGAATGGCTGGCGCCGAGAATAACTCCGAGTGCGAATCGGCGATCCCTGACCCTCACCCGATCGGGCCACTCCACTTCCCTCACGCATGCTCAGCAGCCCCTCAGCGGCTCCTGCTGACGACTCTTTCCTCAAAATGGTACTCTGTTTGCTTCTGAAGGCTCAGCTTGCCGATGGCTCGTAGGCGGCTGTAAGATATGAAAAGAAGAGCGCAACGGGTCAGCCTGCTTGCCCATATTGCCCAATCGTGCACCATCGGACACATACGAAGAGCATCCTGGTCGAGCTGTTGCTGTCTGTTTTGCTGCCACATGTGACGTGCCTTTTCGATGGCGTCTCGGAAAGCGACGCCGCCGGCCTCGACGAACCAGAGCTTGAGCTTGCCCACCGGATGAGCTTCTTCACCCGGTTGACGCTCGGGCAGTCCTCCCTGGGCGACCGAGTACACGTCGGCCTGCAGGTACGGTGCGCTGAAGATCGGGATGGTATACTTTGACGCTGCCAGATGGTCGATGGGTATGGAGAGCGACTTGAGCTCGTGCTCTGCAGCGGCGCTCGGAGCATCACGGATAAAGACGAACTGCGCAAGCGTGGGCAAATGGTAGATGCAAAAGGTCAAATGCTCGGCCATCATCGACAGACTTGGGGATGGAGACACGTACGCGATGCGACGAGATCAAGGCGCTTCCTTCGGCCTTGTACGTGATGCCGCGCGATGCATATTCGAGCCTGTCCGGACGAGCACTCGAGGGTCAACACACACACTCTCTCCACAGCGTGTGTATGCTGGTATACGGTTGCACGACTCACTGTATGGATGATTTGGGCACACGACACAGCACTGTCTCGTCCGGAAGCGGCAGCGGCGAACGGCCGTCCTGGTCGAGCGTCACCCAGTTGAGCGCCATGCTTTGACGGTGGGTTGCGAGTTGCGAGTTGGCGCGTGCGCAGCGGTGCGCTTTGGAAGAAAGCGGGATGCCGCTCTGTCGATCCGAGCTGTCTTGGAACGGGAGCAGCCGGAGTAGATGCTGCAGTCGAGCGAGGAGATAGCTGCCGATACAGTAGCTTGATGGTGGCGACCTATTTGCGAAGCGCAGGGGCCCAGCGCAGCGATCCACCGCCTGAAACCCCACAAAATGCACTCGGCAAGCGTGCGTGAAAAGTGGCCGCCTGCAGTGGAATTTTTTGGATCGACGAGACATGCATCGAGGCAGGGCAGACACTCGGCGGTCGACGGCTTTCAACCTCTGCCAAAAAATCCACGTCGAGGCATCGCAGCTCGGGAAAAATCGCCTCCACTTTGCGACGGCCAACGGCGACTGTCGAGAAGCACTCGCTCGCTCACCGCCTGCCTGCCAAACGCGGGGCAGCAAAGTCGCTTTCAAACGCCTCTTTCCCAATCCATGGGCGCTCGCTTGGGCCGGGCAACTGCTGGACAGCTAGCTCCATGCCCACCTTTGCACGACGCACTCCGCACTCGATTCGCACTCCATACTCTCTGTATGCCGCTCGAGAGCACCGTCCGCACTTTGCCCACGTCACTCGGGGCCGTGTCCCACCTCGCACATCCTTCGCGGACATCATCCTCCCTTCTCCCTTCCGTCTGCATAGCTGATCACCCTCCTCCACCCATCCGCAACTCCTTCCGGCTCCACACACATCATGGCTGCCATCGCCAAAGCTGCGGCCTCGTTCGCCGCCATCGCATACCTCGATGCCAAGCACGGCCTTGCTAACGACCTCATGCTCGGTCGCGGCGCATCCGCCGGCGAATGGAGGCACAAGTATCGCACCTGGCGCAACAAACTCTCGCTCTACGAGTACTTTGACAACCAGGCCCAGAAGCGTCCCGACGCCATCGCCTACGTCTACCTCGGCAAGAACTTCACCTGGGGCCAGGTCGCCAAGGACGTCCACCGCCTCGCCAACTACCTCCTCTCGCGCGGCTTCAAGGCAGGCGACCGCGTGGCCATCTTCATGGGCAACTCGGTCGCCATCCTCGAGTGGTTCTTTGCGTGCATGTGCATCAACGTCGTGCCCGCCTTTATCAACAACTCGCTCACCGGAAAGGGCCTCGTCCACTGCGTCTCGGTCGCGCGCGCAAAGCTGCTCGTCTACGAGCCCTACCTCGAAGGTCCCATCGCCGACGTTCAGGACGAGCTGCTCGCCAAGTCGCCCATCGAGAACTTCCTCAGGTACGACGACGGCGTCACGCCTCTCGACGGTGATGCCGAAAAGCCACCTGCACAGGTAGCCAAGCCGCTGCAGAAGGTCATCGCCTTTGGCCCCGCCGAGCTCGACAAGTACTCGCCCAAGAGGATCCCAGACAAGTACAGGAAGGACGTGCAGGAGGCGACCACCGCCGCACTCATCTACACCAGTGGCACCACCGGCTTGCCCAAGGCAGCGCTCTGCTCGCACGGAAGGATGGGCACCGCCGTCAGCGTGTGGCCCACCTTCAACTCGTTCGGCCCCAAGGATCGCATCTACACGCCCATGCCCCTCTACCACTCGTCCGCGCTCTTCCTCTGCATCTGCGCCTCCCTCTGCTCCGGAAGCACCGTCATCATCGGTCGCAAGTTCTCCGCACGCAAGTACTGGGACGAGGTGCGCAAGTACGACGCCACCGTCGTACAGTACATTGGCGAGATCGCACGCTACCTCCTCGCCGTGCCGCCCTCGCCCCTCGACAAGCAGCACAACGTGCGCATGGCCTACGGCAACGGCATGCGCCCCGACGTCTGGAACAAGTTCAGGGACCGCTACGGCGTCCGCACCATCTCGGAATTCTTTGCCTCGTCCGAAGGTAACGGCGCGCTCATCAACTACAACACCGGTCCCTTTGGTGCCGGTGCCGTCGGCCGTCTGGGTACACTCGCCAGAAAGCTGCGTCCGGACTTCAAGATCATCCGTGTCGACCCGATCACCGAGGACATCTACCGCGACCCCAAAACGGGCCTGTGCGTAGAGTGTGCTCCTGGCGAGGCGGGCGAGTTTGTCATGCGCATCGGCAACACCTCCATCTCCAAGTTCCAGGGCTACGCCGACAACCCGGAAGCCACCAACAAGAAGCTGCTCAAGGATGCGCTTGCCAAGGGCGACGCCTGGTTCCGCAGCGGCGATCTCATGACCAAGGATGCAGATGGCTTCTTCTACTTTGGTGACCGTATGGGCGATACGTTCCGTTGGAGGAGCGAGAACGTCTCCACCACCGAAGTCGCCAATGCACTCGGCGAAGTCGTAGGCGAAGCAAACGTCTACGGTGTCCTTGTCCCCAAACACGACGGCCGTGCAGGCTGCGCTGCCATCCCCGCAGAATACGCCCAGGACCTAGACTTTAAACTCCTCGCCGCAACTGTGCGCAAGTCGCTCCCCAAATACGCCGTCCCCCTATTCATCCGCATCGTCCCCAACATGGAACAAACCGGAACCGTCAAGCAGCAAAAAGTCCAGCTCCGAAACCAGGGCATTCAACACAACCTTTGCGGCGAAGACAAGCTCTACTGGCTGCCCCCCAACGCAGACGCATACCAACCCTTCCTCCCCGAACACTACAAGAGCATCGAGGACGGAAAAGTCCATCTCTGAATCTCCTCCTGTTGTTTGTCTCGCTCTGATTTAGGAAGTAATTAGTATTTGGAGCACATGATTGTCATCTCAACCGTCCATTCTGCGCCGATGGTTTGAGTCACACGTCTCGAGGCACCCAGAGGCACTTGCACTTTTGTATGAGCTCACGAGGGTCATCTGAAAACACAGTATCAGTCATCAGCGCACGCCCAGACAGTATATGCTTTAGCGATGCTGGAAGCCCAGCGACATCGGTCGTCCTTCCTGCACAAGGCAACCCCTGGGAGTAGAGTCGATCAACGCCTTCGAACCGACCGAGAAGTCGCTCAGTCGTTGCTGTGCTCGCACGCTGGTGATGGATCTTGCTAATCAGCCAGAGCTGTGGCCCTTTGACAAAAACAAGGGTCGTGGAGCGTAGCCTGGATCATTACCCAACTTATTGAGGTCTTTTGCCCTCCGAAGATCTTGGCATTGACATCGTACTCGCCATTTACGACGCTCCAGATGCGCAGCTTGACCGCGACGGCGCCAAAGACGCTCCTCTAGGCCGCCCCGATCACGCTCCTCGTCCACCACCTCGCACCAAGGTGACCCGAAAGTACCTCAATTCGGCGTAGCCTGGACAGGCAGTGGAGACTCGTCACCTCCAAGATCAACAGGCTGGTTCACGATCTTCACTGTCGCACCGCCAACTTCCTCGCCCTTTGCTCCGATGTTGTCATCATGCCTCGTATGGAAGTCGCCAACATGGTCCGGCATCGAAGAAGTCGCATCAAGATCGCGACAAGATGCGAGCTCCTGGCGTGGCCGCACTGTGCTTTCGTGCATCGCCTTGCGATCAAATGCCACGACATCGCATACGACTCGCGCTATCCTCAAAAGTCCGGCCCGACAACCCTCTTGATCCAGCCCGAGGCCTACACGTCCAAGACCTGTGCTTCCTGCGGTCACATCACCGACTCCCTTGGCGCAAGCAAAGTATTCCGATGCCCGCAGCCCGAGTAGGCCTACCGCGCCGATCGCGATCACAATGGGGCCTTCAACATGATTGTCAAGGCTATCCGTTAGTGCCCATCTCCACATCATTGTCGCTGTAACGTTACTCTTGTCTCTCTATTTCTTCGCCACAGCTTCACGCCCCATGCAGAGGCTTCGAGAGTCTTTGTCCTGAGCGGGCAAAGGCCAGGCCTTGATCCCCCGCCGCTACAGCTCGTCTTGTTGGAAGATCCAGCAAGCCTCGGAGCTTAGGTCTCGTCATCACTGCAGAAAAAGCGGCGCTCTCTCGAGAAAGCACAGCCCTGTTCGTGGTTCTTACACATCTCCCATTGCGTTTGGAAAACAAACAGACTGGACCATGAACACCAGAATCGGTGACGAATGATCCACGCGAGGCCGTCTTATGCACCGGCTCCGTCGGCGCCGCCGATAAAGTTCTGCACCAGACGCTCAATCTCGGCGTCCGACGCATCGGGCCGCATGCGCCTAGCCATGTTCCTCGCCTGCTCGCGCACCGTCTCGAGGTCCTCGGCGGCACCATTCTCCTTCTTGGGCTCGGCAGGCACGGGCGCTTGACGCTTATCCGCCGCACCCGGCTCTGCCACCTTGCCGTCCTGGGCCGCTTGCTCGTCCGCAGCGGGCACAGCGCGTGCTTGAGCCACTGGCGGCGTTTGCGCGGGCGAGGCTCGCTTAGCTGGTACGCCTTCACTGCCTGCCTCAGCGCGGCTTGCGTCGTCAGCCATCATGGCCGGGTCGAGTGCGCCGTAGCCGACGCCGGGCGTGAGCTGCTCGGGCTTGACGGCCGCATACGTCGGCATAAGTGCGGGCGTCCTGGCTCCCTCTGGTTCCGCATGCGACGGAGCCGGGTACGGCGCGCGGTAGTCGCGCTCGGACGAATACGCACTGTGCGAGGCATGGCGTGGCGCAGCCGCATACGAGCTCGACACCGACGCGACGCCATTGCTACCGACGAGCGGCGTAGCAGAGCCGCGCACATACGAGTGCGCGGGCTCGTGCGTCACGTTCGAGCGTATCGCAGGCGAGGTCGCTGCCACGCCAGCCGCAGGCGACCGCATCGCGCGCAGCTCGGGCTCGATGTAGCGCCCGTCGCGATCACCTGCGACATGCGACGGCACCGAGCCGGGCGAGCCGCCGCTGTACCGACTATGGGACGGCAGCATGGGCACCTCATGTCGCTGCGGCGGCGGAAGCATCTCCTCGCGCGCGTACGGCATTCGTGGCGCCGCGTGGTCATCCGTCGGACCATACGCCCGCATGACGCCCGGTGCAGCCGCGGCGCTGCGCTCCATGCGCGCATTGTGCCTCTCGATGGCGGCCCGGATCACGCGAACACCCTCGGGATCATCGGCATGCAGTCGAATGGCCTCGCCGAGCTGCACTTCGACCACGGCGCCCGTCGCATCGAGCATGGGATGCACGAGCACGCGTCCATTCCAGCCAACGTAGAAGCGCATGAGCATCGCATCCGTAATGCCGCGGCGGTACAGATTGTCCATCCCCTCTGCATGTCGTCGGCGTGCCGACTGGGCCCAGTCGAAGCCGCCTGGAGCCGGCGACGGAACAGTCTTTGGCTCGGTCTGCAACGGCGAGACGGGACCGAGCGACTCGTCGCCGCCAACCACTTTTGGCACGGGCCCGTCCGCTGGCGGAAGCTGCACCTGACTCGCTGCCGCCGGCACCGGCGCTGGGGCGATTCCACGGGCCGCTTCGCTCGGCACCGGCGCGGGTGCGTACGGAAGCGACCCGCTGTCCTTTGCTGGCGTCGAGATCGAGTCCGACCGGCCGACCGAGGGACGCGCCTTGCTGGGCGTGTCCGATTCGAGCCGGGCGCGCTTGGTCCCCTGCGAATGCACCTCCTCGGCATGGATGGCGGGGGTGAACTTTTCCAGGTGCAAGACGATGCGCTTGTCCTCGCGGCTGCTCCACGACTGGAGCTTGCTGACCGGCTTCTCGAGCGAGCGCAGCGTGGCGCGGATGTCGAGCCAGAGATCGGGATCTGTGACGCCCATCTCCTTAACGCGCACCTCGGCCTGCGGATACTTGCGCTCCGCCTTGATGCAGCACATAGGGCAGATCCAGGGCTCGTCGCCCAGATTGGGCGGATCGTCGAGCCGGACACATTGCGTGTGGAACCAGAGCATGCACTTGTCACATGCGATCATGCGGCCGCTCTCTGGCTCGTGGCACAGGCAGTAGATCGGCTGGCGGTCGCGGTACGCACCTAATCCGATCTCCTCGCGGAAGACGAGCTTGGCGCGCTTGCCTCGCTTCGCCTTGCGCTTGCGGTCCTCGCGCACCGCGGGCGACGCCGAGTCGGTCGCCCCACGGCCGCCAGGACGCGATGATGAGCCGTGCTGAGCCTCGGGCTCGTTGCGATCTTCTGAGCGCGTTGGCGTCTCCAGCTTGGGACGTGCGGGTGCCGATGGTGCAGGCCTCTCGTCTGCGGGATCAGGGCCGAGTGCGAGCAGCGTCTCGCTGATGAGATCGAGCATGTTGATCTTTTCGGGGCCAAGCACATCCACAGGACAGCCGATGGATCGGCGCAGCCAATGCGCAAGAATCGCCTGTTTCTGATCTCTGCGCATGAGTGAAAGCGTCTTGATCATCCGCTTCGCGGCAAACTCGAAACGCTTGGCCTTGGCCACGACCTCTTCGATCGCGTCCCACTCGAGCGGCAAGAACTGGAACTGGTCGCGGCGATGGTCTTGTTCGTAGACGAGCTTGGACAGCTCGGTGACGCTGACCGCCCTGCGAGTTTTCAGGAACGCAGCATTGCCCGTCCACGGACAGAATGGGCAAGTCCAGCCGCCGTCAGCACGCGACACTTCAGATGCGCGCACCTTGATGCACGACAGGTGGTAGCGCACGTGACAGCGGGAGCATTCTGCAGCCGACGACGAGGGTACGGCAACCGGCGCCGAGCTTCTGCAGACGCAAGCTCGCGATTCAGCCCGCGGCTGGTCGTCGGACGGATCGGTGGTGTTCTCGACGCGCTCCACCATCCTGTCCAGCTCGGCATCCCTGTCGGCATCCGTGAAGCGGCGGTGGCTGGCCGCCACTGTCTGCATGATCTGGTTGAATGCGACTCTCCATGAATCGTGGATCTGGATGGCCTTTTCGATCTCTTGTGCGTGCTCGACTTCGAGTTTGTTCGATCTCACCGCCCGGACGGCGCGACGAGCATCGGGAAGCAGGGCGAGTCGATTGGCCGCATCGCTATTCTCCGAGATCGAGACCATGGAGAGGTCGCCGTCTGCATCCACGGCGGCGGGAGTTGGCGTGCCGGCTTGCAGACTCTTGTGGAGCGTCTGCATGGTCTTCTGCAGCTCTTTGGCCTTGGTCAGAGCATTGCTGACGTCCTGTGCAACCTCGAGCACGACCGGGATTTCGGCCGACGCCTCTGACAGCTCTTCCAGCACTCCGATCGTGAGCGCCGCATCGCCCTCGAGAGCTTCGCGGGCACGCCCAGTCCAGCGGGCTCCAGCCTCGCGTCGTTGCTCGAGCTCCTTGCGCAGCTCATGGTCCGCGAGACCGCAGCTGTCGGCGCGTTCCAGCAGACCTTCCACCTCGTGGTAGTAGAGGTAGGCATCGCGCGACTCGGACACCTCTTGGACCCACTTGCGCCGCTCGACATAGTCCGAAAGCTCCTTGATCTGAGGCGCATCGACGTTGAGGGAGCTGCCGAGGGTAAGGACGCTCTCGCAGTCCTTGAGATTGGGCTCGCACTCTTTGCGCTGACGTAGAATCTCGTTGCTGCGCCCAACAAACTCCTCAAGCTCCTGGACAAGAGCGCGGAGAGAGGCGATCTCGGGCGCATCAAAGTGAAGGCTGTCCAGCTCATTGAGCAGCGCGTAGAGCGCTTCTGGGCTCCGGTCGGCGACCGAGTCAGGGTCCTCGGCGGAGGCATCGATGCTGACCCGTCGAGCGCTGTCGTCGCCAGAGGCCCCGCCTTTGGAACGTCTGCCTCGGGCAGCTGGCGCCTGCGTCGGTTCTCCCCTCCTCTTGTGCAGCTTTCGGACAAGGAAGACATTGGCTCGATCCACCCACGAGTTGGCGCACGTCACAAAGGCCTTGAGATCCTCGAGAGGCTCGAGGGAGAAGGCGATCTTCTCGCCCTCGTGCAGCAGCGTTCTCAGTGTCCTCAGCGGCGGGTTCGGGCCGAGAGACAGGGTTTTCTTGAGCCGCTGGATCCAGTTGCGAGGAATGGCAGCGCGCTCGGACACTTTGGCGAGGATCGAGCGCAGCTGGTCGTCGGAGAATCTCAGCTTCAGAGTCCACTTGACCGGAGCGTCGGCATTGCACACCTCGAAACCGTGGTCGAGGCATGCGACGCCGTCTGCCTTGGGGCTTGTGAGCTGGCCAAGGTAGCAGAACAGGGTGCAGTGGGCACAGATGTACTGGCTCTCGGGCACGTCCTCGTCGTAGACCTCTTCCTTGAGATCGGGGATGATCTCCCGCAATGCATTGCGCTTGGCAATCTCGCGATCGACCATCTCCTGCATGGGCGCTTCGAGCCATACGGAGGTCTCGATGCTCTGACTCTGCTGTGACACGGTGATGAGCAGCTGGTCGTGAGAGAAGACAGCGGGCTTGCCGAAGTGCTGGTACCTTCGAACGGATTCGAGATCGTCGGAGATCCAATCGGGAAGCGCAAAGTTGACGGCCTCGTTGAGGTTGATGCCATGGTTGAAGCCGCTGTGGTAGGCCTTGGGAAAGGTGACGACAAACTCGTTGGCGCGCTGGTCGCACGCGTAGACGCGCACGCCCTCCTTCTTGAGCTTTTCAGGACTCATCATGGTGGTGAGGTGGAAGAGCAGGTCGGGTAATGTCTCGAAGAGATCGGGAGCGGCCTTGCGCATCGCATTCTCGAGCTTGTCGGCGTCTTCGCCCGGCACGCCGTACCAAGTCTTGGTCTCGCCCCAGTGCTGGTAGTTGATCGAGTAGGTGTAGTGATCCTCGTTGTGCCAGCAGAAGGTGGAGAAGATCATGCCGACGTAGATCCAGGGTATGGTCATGCCCGAGATGTCGGACTTGATGTACTGGAGCAACGAGCCCGGCAGGATGGGCAGGTTGTTGAGGTTCCACTTGTCGCGCGAGTACGGGCTGAGCGGATGTGTCTCCTGCGTCGGCAACGCACTTCCGTGCGTGGTCGAATGGACGTCGGCGCCGTACTCGACCTCGACCTCCTCGCTCTGGCTGTGGACGAGCCGCCAGAACTCGCGCTCGACGTCGTCCTCGGACACGGTGAGGTCGGTGCCGTGAATGCGGCGTGCCAAGCCGTTGGTGCGCCTCTCGACGTTGGCTTCCGGAGCATCGGCTACGTCCGGCGTCCACACGCGATCGGGGCGTTTGGACCACCACTCGCGCTTGAACGCTTCGGCCCGCTGCCAAAAGGTGTAGAGGCTGTGGGTCTCTCCGTCGTCGAAGCCAAAGTCGTGACCGGTGCCGACGAGGCACGGTGGACAGAACCACTGCGACTTGGGGATGGAGGTGAGCGGAGGCTGCAGGCAGTACATGTGGTAGCCGCGGTTGCACTCGTCGCACAGCAGCATGTTGGGACCATCCTCGCCTCGGAGGCAGATCTCGCACATCTGCTCTTCAGCTCCGGGGTGACCCGTTGCCGCGCGCGCGTGCAGGTCCGTGTCGACCAACGGGCTGACTCCTTTCCTGCGTCGAGACGCGAGCGGCGTGGCCGGGCTGGATGCCAGCTGCAGAGGATGGCGGGAGCCAGAGGCAGGAGTGCTGGTCGCCTCGGAGCGTTTGCGAGCACTGCGTCGGGTGCTTGCGACGGTCGACGGGCTCTGAGTGGCCGAATCGACTGCGGATGTGGCGGAAGCAAGCAAGTCAGCGGCTCCAGCTGCGCCGAGCGGCTCGGGCGTGTGTGATTGGACGTTGCGATCGGCCGCCTCGACGCTGGGCGACGTGGATACGTTGTGGAGACTGGCGTCGTTGGTGTCGCCAGAGGGTACACTGCCCATGGTGGCACTCTGTGCGAGGTTCGGGCTGATTGACGCTGCGCCGGCGCGGGTCTGCTCCTTTGCCTTGGTCATGAACTCTTCAAAGGGGAGGATGATGCGCGTATATGCGGCCTTGACCTGGGTGGAGAGCTGTGCGCAATCCTTGTCATTGTAGCCGATCTGCTTGGTGGCGTCGGACCACTTTCGAGCGCGGCAGACGGCATCGTAGCCGCCGAGGCCAGAGACGATGAGCTTGAGTTGGTACAGGTCGACGGATCGGCCATCGATGACGGGGACCGAGACGCGCTTGCGACCCTGCTGGGCGTGGAACTTTTGCAGCTGCTCCTGGTAGTTTTGCGAGGCGCGCGCATCGGCGCTGAGGGAGTTGAGACGCTGGACGCGGGTGCGAAAGCGGAAGGACTGCTCGTCGAGCACGCACTCGGGATTCCAGCCTTCGGGAGGCACAATCTTGGCGATACCGTAGGTTTTTGCGTTGCCGCCCTGCGGCGAGGCGACCCAAGCGATGTACTTCATGGGATCGACAAACTCTTCGGGCGTGGGATAGAAGATGGGAGCCTCTTCGAGCTCAAAGAGACGCGGGCGCAGCCTGGGCGGAGGCCTGCGTGGCGTGGCGATGCTGGTGGGGATGGCAACCTTTTGAGGATCCAGAACCGAGCCGGACGCTGTTGGTTGAGCTGGGTTCGTGTCAAAGACCAAGGGAGGGAAGCTTTGGTGTTGCAGAAGCTTTCTTGCTGGATGCAGCGCCGGATTGCCAGACGGAGCGACGGGAGCATGTTGGGCAGTCGGTGCGGATGCAGGGTCGTCGAGCTCCTTGCCGGCGATGGCCGACATGGCATCGGACTTGCTCTTGCGACTGAGCCTCTTGACCGAGGGGCCTTTGGTGAGCTCGGAGTCGCCGTCTTTGGAGTCGTCGTCGCTGTCGCCGCCGGCGCTGGGACCGAATTCGCGCGAGGAGACGATGATGGGCTGGACCCGGCGGGCCTTGGTGGGAGACTTGGATGGACTGGAGGTGCCGTTGGACTTTGTTGGCGAAGAGAGTGGGGTGGCGAGGTGTGCAGATGCGGAGCGAGATGCGGATGCGCTGGTAGAGGATGTTGGCTCGAGCTTGACGGGCTCGTGGCCGTTGACCGACTTGACGATGATACGCTGGGGCACGCTGTCGGTGGATGAGGAGGAGGGTGGAGCACCGTTCTGGGCGCTGCCCTGCTTTGTCGTCGTCATGGTGTGAGGCTGTATGCGGGTGTCGGTGGGCAGAGCAAGGCGGAACTGAGGCGCTAGTGCAGATGTGGCCGAGCAAGTGCGGAGGAAGGGGCGACAAGGATGTGATGAACGAATCGCAAGGGATGGCGACGACAAGACCGTGACGAGGCAAAGAATCGAATCCAGGCCGCCCGCTCGCTCGATCGATCGATCAGGAGCGGCTCATCCGCCCAAATTAAGGGTGGCGTGTGGAGCGGATGCGGCGTGAAGCTCTGAAGCTCTGTGAGCAACAGCCGTAACGCCAAGACTCTCACGCTGCTACGATCAGCGAGCAGCGGCGAGGTATGATGCGGAAAAGCCGATGTGGGTGTGGGAGCGCCGAAAACAAAGAGCGGGAAGGCCGATGCAATCAATCTACGAAGGCGCGAAGGCGTGTGGTGTCGTGTGAATGCGCAGTCGCCTGGATCTCGGTGGCAGGAATCAACAGGCGATGGCTGTCGAGAGTCGGCGTGGTGATGGCTGAGCCCGGTAGGTGGGGTGTGAGGTTGGAGGGTGCTGGCGGGTGCGGAAGGAGCTCGGGAGCGACGACGAGGCGATGTGACAGGCCAGGGCATCCGCGCATGGAGGCGTGAGGGCTCGACTCCAGCCTGTCCAAGGCAGCAGGCAGCGCTATCCGACGCCGCCCAATTAGTGCGGGTCTCTCTTTTTTTTTGTGGTGGCCACGGAGCGCTGCGCTTCCGCCCGCCTGTTACGGCGAGAACGCTTCTCCCCGGTTGCTGGGCTGGGCGGCGCGGGCGGATGCAGCAAATTGGGCTGGCGGATGCGTGTGCGTGTGCGTGTGTGCCTGTCGGTCTGTCGGGCTGGGCAAAATGGCCCGCGACAGTCGAGCGAAACTCGCCTGGGCTCATGGAAAAAAGGCGGAAAATTAAAGTGGGTTTCCTGTGGGCAGCACATCTCCCCACCCACACCACCAGCCTGGCGCTCAGCTGCGCTGCGCTGCGGTGCGGTGCGGATTAGCGAATCCTGTCAGGCTTGGCCGTCTTTTCGGCTGCTTTCCGCTGTTTCTTCTTCATATGTCAATTGATTCAGCAGCTCCGCTGCGACTCAATTTTTTTTTACCTCATTTTGGGCCTTTTGACGGCGGCAGCCGTGGTGGGTCTGCTGCAGGGCGTGAAATCTCTCGTGGCCACGCTTTGCCGAGCGTTGATGGGCAGCTGCGCCTGTCTAATTTTGCACGCCGCACCCACGCACCGTGTCAAACACGGGGAGGCCCCTTCCCCCTCTGCCGGCAGAAAAATTCGAGCACTCTCACTATCTTACAGTAGATTGTATGCGCAGCAACATCACGATGGTCGCAGTGTGTGCTCTCGAACAATCACGATCCAGCTTGCTGCCGGCCATCAGGCACGCACAGGAATCAGGAGGAATCATATCATGGCAGTCAGGCTTCGGCACCTGCGAAGGTCTGCCAGTCGAGCACGCAACGCTTTTGCTCATCAGCGTTCATTTCTATTCATCTTGTCATGAAGGAACAGAGCAAGCAGCCGAAAGAACAGAACCCGAACGGCCAGTGTCGGCGGGTGACAACCCCTGTTAATCCCCCCCCCCCCCCTCCCCCCAAGAGGGTCGCAACGCCGCCCTGAGATGGTCGGCGTGTAGTTTGATGGAGGCCCACTGAGCTACACAAATGCGCACAAGCTGTGCCTTAATCCAGCGCATCATTCATGGCATCATGAATTACATAGACCAGATATCCGTTCCTGAGTGGCCAAGCACAAGCCTCATCGTCCATTGAAGGTCTCAGCCTCCGGCGCGCAACCTCGACTCGCACATATTGCAGCAGACTCGTCGCTCGCAGCTCTTCGTCTCAGATGCCCCTCTCAGCTCCATCCAACTATCAAGCGCACGCACAAACACACGTCGCACAATATGAGAGTCAACGAAGCTGATATGGTTGCAGAACGTGCCGAATAGGTAATCTTAAAAGTGTAAGGGCGCGAAGTCGAAGATGTGGTTTTACGTCGAGGCAAAGGGGCAAGACGCTGCAGTCGGCTCGACCCCACCGTTACCGGTCGGGCCTCGCCATTCCACGGCACCCTTGGCCTCGCGCAGACTACGGAGTCATTGAAGAGAGTGTGTTTCTAGTTGGAAGACGGAACTTTGTGGCTCGAGAGCAAAGGGCGTCGGTGGCCCGGGGTAAAAGCGCAGCAGAGACTCGCGCCCCTGCCCCAACCCGACGCTCGAACGGCAGCAAGGCGTGCCATCCGAGGCCGGACAGCGAGCAGGAGGCGACAGGCCAGGTGCGAGAGAGACAGAGCGATGAAGCGCGTCCCGCTTACTCGTCCTCGATCTCGGTGCGGGGGTGGAAGGCCCAGAGCTCCTCGCCGTCGGCGTTCTTCTCGTGCACAATCGTGAGGCGCTGCAGGTTGACGAAGAAGTCTTCCAGAACCGGGTTCTTCTGCGAGCGAGTGCGACGGCCGAGGTTGTTGAGCCACTCCCACGAGTTGAGCACGTAGTAGACGGCACCAACGATGGCAGTGACACCGATCGAGTATGCGTAGATGCGCACAATCGTGACAATGTCGGTCCAGCCACCGTGAGGAGCGGTGACGGGGTTGCGGTGGGGAGCGCCCGAGAGCCAGCCGAACAGACAGAAGAGAGTAGCAATGACATCGACACCCAGCACGGCGCCAACGAGCTGCCACGAGGGGAGCGTGATGTCCGACTCGCCGCCACCAAGACGCGTGATGAAGATGAGCCAGTTCTCGGTGAGCGACACCTCGAGGAAGAGGATCTCCTGAGTGTTACCGAAGTTCTGGATGACACCGCCGTTGTTGAGGAAGAGCGTGCCGCGGATGATCCAGGTACCGGCGGCGAGCAGGAAACCGAGGATGACCGAGATGATCCAGATCTTGGGCAGCTGCCACTCGACGGGCTGCTTGGCGTGGGGAGCGTTGTCGTAGGCGATGGCAATGGTGGCAACATCGGCGAAGAGGGCGATGAAGACGATCAGGTTGGAGCGGATGACCTCGTCGAGGATGAGGATGGTGAGGACCAGGTAGATCTCCAGGTGGAGACACAGCGAGATACGGTACTGGATGTAGGCCTTCATGCGGTGGAAAATCTGACGGGCGACCTTGATCGAGGTGATGATGGTCGAGAGACCCTCGTCGAGGAAGACGACATCGGCAGCCGATCGGGCGGCGTCCGAGGCACCCTCGACGGCAATACCACAGTCGGCCTTCTTGAGCGAGGGGGCGTCGTTGACACCGTCACCGGTCATGGCAGTCAGGTGTCCGCGGTGCTGGAGCATCTCGACGACCTGGTACTTGTGCTCGGGGAACACCTCGGCGAAACCGTCGGCAGCCTCGACAAAGTCGTGGATGGCCGAACCAGCCATGCCGCCGGAGCCGATGAGGCGGTGCGAGTCGTAAACCTTGGTACCGAGAGCCAGCATCTTGCACGTCTCCTTGGCGATGGCGACGGCGTCACCGGTAAGCATCTTGACGGCGATGCCGAGCGACTGGGCCTCGGCGATGGTGGCAGCGGTGTCGGAACGGGGAGGGTCGAACATGGGCAGGAGACCGAGGAGCTTCCACTGGCCGTCGGTGTTCATGGCAACACCGAGCGAACGGAAACCACGCGAGGCAAAGTCACCAGCCACCTTGCGGTACTGGGCGGCGGTCTCGGCATCGGGAGCGCAGAGCTTGAGGATGGCGTTGGGGGCACCCTTGGCGGCGATGTACTGCTTGCCGTCCTTCTCGACCTCGGCGGTGATACGCTTGGAGACGGGGTCGAAGGGGGTGAACTTGTGGGTGATCCAGCCCGAGGCGAGCTCGTCCTGGGCAGCGGGGTAGTCCTTGAGCGTCGAGATGGTGACCTTGTCGATGGGGTCGAGCGACTTGACGTTGTGCGACGAGGCGAGCGCGGCAACGGCCATCATGTAGTTGACATCGACACCCTCCGAGGTGAAGGGCTCGTGGATGGAGAGCTTGTTGGCAGTGAGGGTACCGGTCTTGTCGGAGCAGAGAACGTCGACACCAGCGAGCGACTCGATGGCGGTGAGCTTCTGAACGATGGCCTGGCGCTTGGCGAGGTAGGCGGCGCCGACAGCCATGGTGGTGGTGGTAACACAGGGCAGACCGACGGGCACACCGACGATGAGGAAGATCAGGGTGTAGATGAGCAGGTTGTTGTCGGTGGGGGTGGCAATGCCGGTGTTGCGGAAGAAGCCGCCGATCCAGAAGATGAGGGTGAAGACGATGACGAGGAAGAGCAGAGCGGAACCGATGGAGCCCATGACCTTCTGGAAGTGGCCCTCGGTCTCGCCGCCGAGCACGAGCGCGGCGGTGCGACCGACGAAGGTCTGCTTGGCAATGTCGGTGCAGAGAACGTAGGCCTTTCCACGCTTGCAACCGGTGGTGTAGAAGACAGTGTCGCCGATGTGCTTGTCGACGGCGAGCGACTCTCCGGTGATGGCCGACTGGTCACAGGCGATGATGGCGGGACCCTTGTCGACACCCTCGTCATCGTCATCGTCGTCGGCGCGGCGGGAAGCACGAGCCTTCTCGAGGATGGCAGCGGCCTGGGAGCCGTCCTTGTCCTCGTAGGCAGCCAGAACGCGACCGTCACAGGGGACAGTCTTGCCATCCTCGATGACGACAATGTCACCGGGAACCAGGTCACGCGCCTCGATCTCGACCTCGTGGCCGTCACGGACGACGGTGGTGCGAAGGGCGATACCAGCCTTGAGCTGGGCGACAATGTCACCGGCCTGCTTCTCCTGGTACCAACCGACGAAGGCGTTGAGGAGCAGGATGGCGATAATGACACCAAAGTCGATCCAGTCACGAAGACCGGCGGCGAGGATGACGGCGAGCTCCATGACATACAGGACGGGGCCGCGGAAGAAACCGATAAACTTGAGCAGGAGGTTCTCCTTGGGAGACTCGAGCTCGTTGTGGCCGAAGAGAGCGCGACGCTTCTGGACGTCGGCCTCGCTGACACCCTTGAGCATGTCGGTCTCGAGCCACGAGGCGGGCACCTTCTGGGCGACCTCCTCGACCTCGCCGTGCTTGTTGACGCGGACCTCCTTGGTCTTCCAGAAGGCGGGGAACTCGCGCTTCTTGACGATGTGGGTCTCATCCTGGCCCTCCTCGTCGGTCGAGGCCGACTTTTGGGCGCGGATGAATTCGATGAGCTGGGAGTACTCCTCCGAGACGCCGCCGAGGGCCTTCTCGTTCCTACCCTCCTGGGTAGCGGAAGAGTCCGACATGGTTGCGAGAGAACGCTGCTTTTGCGCTTATGAGACGCTGGAGGGGAGGAAGAGGGGAGATGAGAGAACAGGAAGCGGTGGAACCGCGAGAGAAAGAGAATACAGGGATAGGGAGGCAGAAGCCACATTTGGAAGGGAAGAAGTGGAATCAAAGTAGGAAAAAAAGGCAGGAGGCAGAGATGGCTCGTCAGTCATTGCTCTCATGGGCGGAACGCGGAGGCTCTCGTTGCTGCAACGACGATCCAATGCACTGTGGGCACGCCGTAGAGCGTCTGTGGCGCTACGATCGGACACGAGGCCGCCGTGCAATCGCTCGCAACCGGTGGACGATCGCAGAGGCTCGAAGCAGGCTGCAAGGCACTGCCCGACTTGTGCTGTCTTTGACAGATCGCTACTGCGCGCTGAGGGAGGCTATCGCGCCGATGCCGGGCGTTGCCATGTCGCCGAAATGGAGAAGGTGCAAGGGATTGGACGAAACACTTACGTTAAAGCTCGTGCTTAGGCTTGCGCAAATGGGGACGATGCGAGTGGCACTCTACCGGATGCACTGACTCAGAGGGCTGAAGCAGTGACCGAGACGGTGAGTGATGCGCAGTTCGACAGACGGAGGTCGTCGCTCGCGGAGGTGGGGTGAAGGGGAAAGGGGGAAGGGGATCTTGAGGATGGTGGTGAAGAGGAAACAAGATGGCGAGGGAAAAACGTTGCACCTAGACGATCCCGAAGGCAGAGGGATGGCGAGCGCCGTCCGTGTTTATGAGGAGCGGTTGAGAGGGGGCCATGGGGCGGCCGAAGCAGCGAGCTCGCAGCCTGCGGGCGATGGTTTGGGCGCACGGCGAGAGGGGCGGCGGGCGGGCGGGCGGGCAAGCCAGGACGGCAACTGGCTCGAGGGCGACGGGACGGCAGACAGGCAGGCCAAACTTGGGTCGAAGCGTGCAGCTGCGACGATTGCGGCGGACCGATGCAACGCAGCGTCAGCTGGGCAGCGGCGCGGGCACAGAGCACAGGGCAACGGCCGATCAAGGCCTTCAAAACAACCCGCCGTGGCGGCAGAGCAGACACTGTATCGCTTAGGGCCGATTCAAAATACGAAAGCGAAAAAAAAAGAACGAAAAAACCTCGAGAGGGGCCGGAAGCAGGTCGAGAATCTGCGCGCTGATGGACTGCCGCTGCAGACCGCCGCAGGGCGCACGGTCGAAATGCACAAACAATTACAGTTTGGCGGTTGGTCTGCGCCTGCACGAGCAATCCCAAACGGGCGCAGAGCCCAGGTGCTTCTTGACAGCTGCACACCCGTCAGTTGCGCATCCTCGCCGGGGGCAGGCGACCACTCGCAAGAGCGCTGCGTCTGCAGGCCTCCCACGAGACGCTGTGAACGGCCCCGCCCTGCTGAGGCGCAGCGCCCTGGACAGCAGCCCGACATGAAATTGCCATCTTGCCCGCGATATCATGCTGTGGCCAGGCTGGGATTGGGCGAGCGGGGCGCGCAAAGAGTGTGCGCGCCTCTCTGGTCAATCCAACCGAGAAGCGCACGGGCAGGGCCGTGGCAATATTCGGGCGGATTTCGGGCGGGCGGGCACCCGAGCAGAGGCCATGGTCGCAAAAGTTCGAAAGCGGCGAGATGCCGGCACGATAGGCACGATAGGCACGGAAGAACATCAAAAGCGAGCGAGCGAGCGAGCGACCGTGACCGACCGATCACCTTTTCGTCTTGACCCGGCTCTCAGGCTGCCTTGCCCCAAGTCATCCGACCCCTCCAGCTCTATTGGTTGCGAACCGGCTTCTGGTGTCTCACGGGCGCCTTGGGCCGAAAAAGTGGTGCCATTGCTCGCTAGCTGTACGTGCGCATCCGCAACGGGGCACACAAGCAATGCTCGCATGCCGGTATGTGCACGACCGGCCTGGCACGCGGTTCTGTAAGGATGACCGCCTCTTGCATCGATGCAGCTGCACGCTTGGACCAGCCACAGCCCGGAAAATGGGGGGCTGGTCAGGAGCCCCAAGCTGCAGGACCCGAGAGAAAGAGAGAGAGGCAAAGCGTGCCGCGCGTGCATGCAACAGGCCCACCACCAAGTTTCGAATCCTGCAGCGTGCCTATCGCCTCTACGGATCCGGGGAGCCTGTCTGGATTTGCAATCCACCATGACAGCCGCGCGCGCGCCTCTGCCTCTGCCACTGCCCCTCCTCTCCAAATCCGAAAAGGGGCGAAGGCCTCGCTTGCTACAGCACTGCTACAGCACGCACACTCTCGTCCCGAACTTGAGCTGCCTGCTTGAACAGCCGAGTATTTTTCCTGCTTTTTCGTTTTCGCCCATTTCTTCGCACGGTGAACGACCCATTTGTTCGGGAATTTCAGCAGCTTTGGCTGCTCCCACGCCTTGGTCGCTCGCTTTCGCACTCGCTTGCGGCCACGATGGCTGTTTTGGCGAGGAGGTTGGATTGGTCTCGAGCCTGCCTGTCTGTCTCGTCTATCTCAACGGGAACCCCTCGAGCTGGGCCCTTGATCGGCCCCCAATTGAGCCGCTCTCGTCACATTGCAGCACCGGCGTCAGCCTCGCGCCGCGGAATCTGCGTCGACAAAAGGTGCTGTGCCTGCTTGGACTGCTGCTCGCAACGACAGCAGCAGCTGACGCCGTCGCTGCTGCTTTTCTCTGCAGTCATGGTGGGGAAAAGCCAGGATCGACGTACAGCCAGGATTAGCTGCATGCATCGGCGAACACGCACCCTTGCTGCTCTGCGCCCCGGTCCGAGACGCATGCAAGTTGCGAGTGTCGAATCCACCCCGCTGCTGCGAGGTAGAAGTCACTCGAGGCGTGTTTTCATTTTTCCAATCCTTCTGCACAGAAGCATTTCTGCCGCCTGCATTCGCGACGCTCGTGTGCCTGCGGGGCCGCCGCTTCCTCCGTGCTCGCCGCCGCCTGCCATCAGCTGTTCGCGTTGTGGGGGCCAGGCCGGTCTGCGGGATCGTCGTTGCGCATGCACTAGCCGTGGCGGAGCTCGTGATCCGCGAACAACGGCAAAGGCTCTAGCCTCCGAGTACGTGTCTCGAGACTGTTTTGCACGCGGAGCAGGTCGCGGATCAGCGTCAGCTTAACTGGCCTCGGCCAATTCCAGGGTCGACGCGTCCGCTTATTGTTTTACAGTCGTCTTGCGTCTGGTACAGTCGTCTTGCGTCTGGTTGAGACCGCGCGCAGGGCTCCAGCCTGGGGCCGCCAATGCAGCCTGAGGCAGGCCATGATCATCGCAACCCTGCACGCTTCCGGCCGTACCACCTGCCGTCACTCGACAGGCCATCGGGCCCATGGCTCGCTTCGCGCCCACTTGGATCTCCGACCGTCACGATAAGCAACCGAGCCAGGTCCGGCTTCGCCAGGCACCACTTCCGCGCCCCGGTTCCATTTGCAGTTCCATTGCCAGTGAGCATCATCAGATCAAGGCGACTTGTATCGAAGCGGAAGTCTACAATACAGTCTAGCATCGTCACGGACAATTTCCCACGAGACTGGTCCAGGACATGGGTTAGAGTGCGATCACCGACTCACGAAGGAACGCCCGATGCTTGGCGGATAATGTGCCTTAGGAATAGGCGTACCGACAACTTCGTCTGCCAACATCCGAGTCTCAGAAGCCTGCACTGTGGGCATCGTCGTGGTCAGGGTGGATGGTTCCGTGAGGCCGAGAGCGCGGCTCTTTGACACCCGTTGCGCAGTCATGACCATCGCGTCAGCGGAATCATTCGGATCCATACCACGCGAGAAGCACGCCAAGCTGGTTGGATCCACGTCGCCTCTCCGTTCTTGATCGTGGCACGACGGCAAGGCTCGCCTAGTCGTGTCGCTCGATTCGCCGTGCTTGGCGGCATTTGGATTACTGGCCGTTCGGATGCTGTACTCGACCCGACATTCCGTCGCCAGGACTCGTTTCCACCCGACAGTGTAGGTCCGGTTCTCCGGCATAAGCATGGTCCCGACCGCCGATTCGGTCGCGTCGGTCTGCGTGCTCCAACGTGATTCGTCCTTGACGGCTGCAGCCTTCCGCGGGCCTTTGGATCCGCATGCTGCGCAGCGACGCACTTCAACGACATGCTGCAGTTTCTTCTCTGCATCACCGCACCCAGCGTGTCGTGCTCCTCGTCGGCAGTCTCGGCATTGCAAAGACTGTCATCGTTGGGTCGGATGTGCGAGGCTTTTCCGCGGGTCTCGTGTCGGCAGAACTTGCGCTCGCGCTGCTGACCGTTCCGAGACCACGCCAGCTGCCATGCCGTGCCGCGGCGCCAAAATCGAATTTTGCTCGCCATCTGGGACCGCTTGAGCCACGCGTTCGGCACAGAAAGGGCCTCGAGCCTCGGAAAACTTCGCACTAAGAGAGCCTGACCGCATCCCGCAGCAGCAGAGATGGCCGCCGCCGGGCCGGCTGTGGGTCCAGGGCAGACTCGTTAGGCTCGGACAGACCGGGTGTCATTATCTGGTTGGCAGTACGGTATCCATTTGCAGACACGATCAATTCGCGGCCTGAAGAAAAAATCCACGCACAAATGGTGGCACCGAAAGAGGCGTGCCCCGATCACACATCGGGCGGATCGCAACCAGATCGGCCAGATTGAGCGACTGCAACAAGAGAAGTCTGCTTGCAGTGGCCAACAGGATGAAAAGGGAACAGCAGCAGCGGTGCGGTCTACTCCAACCGGACACAGAGTAGCTCCACACGCCCATGCAAGGCAGAATCGTGTACGGAAGGGAACAAGCGAAGATCTGGCATGTCAATGCACTGATCTCCGGGGATCGGAACGACCGGGCATCGCAACTCGACGACGCTCGCGCTGAGCCCATGTGCGGACAAGGATGCCTTGAACGCTCCATACGTGTCCGCATTGCGGATGGTGCTGGCCACCAAAGCCTGGCATTCTCGCGTGCCCGCTTCCAGACACGCGCGGATCGACTCGACGAGCGGCCCGATCAGATCGGGGTCGTAGACGACATCGGCGGCGAGCACCAACGAAGGTTTGGCTCGGTTGAGAAAGTTGAGCATGGGGAGGTCGTCTCTCTGCCTACTCTGCTGACGCTCGGCGCTAATCTCGAGCCAGTCCAGCTCGTGCACCTCGACACACGACTGCGGCGAGTCGAGGCCGTTGGTGGCGAGCGTATCGTTGATACGCGTGATCACCTGGCCGGGCATGTCGGTCATGAAGGTGCGTGCAACCTGGGCGGTCGACATTACCTGCAGCTTGGCGCATACTGCCCCGACGAAGCCAGCGCCGGAGCCAAGCTCCACTACCCGCGCGCCGCTCGAGGTGACCAGCGACGGCTCGCTGACAAGGTGACCTGCCAATCGCAATCCAGCTTCCCACGTCCGCAGACCCGTCGTACCCTTCGAGATTGCGCTTCCCTCTTCTCTGATCGTGACGCTTGCATAGCTGTCTAGCAGATCGTCATCGTCGTCGTCCGACTCGGCCTGGCTGCGGCCAGAGCAGGGCCAATAGTGCGTCGTGAACTCGTCGTCCGGGGTTGAGCTGCTGATCGTCGTTACTGGTCTCGAAGAGCCGCCGGCCATGGCTTCGACATACCGCTCAAGCAGCGCTGCATCGACCTCTGGAAACTCGATCTCATCTACTCCTTGCGATCGGAGCAATTCGCATTCCACCTGGACAGCCGCATCGAGCCGGGCGCAGAGTTCGCGGAGAAAGAGCGTTCGGTACCTTCGGCTCGAGCCAACCTTGTTCTCGCCAAATAAGTCACGATCGAGCCAGGCCTGAGCACGCAAGAGAATCGAGCCCGGCGGCCAGACAAACGCGCTGGATGTCGGCGGCAAGCGTGCCTCGTACTGCAGCAGGACAATTCGCCTTGCGTACTTCAGCGTCGACGGTCCTGGACCGTGGCCGTCCGATACAGAAGTCGCTTCCTGCATCATTGAAGCAGAGTCGCCTTCCAGGTCGCTCAAGATGTGTGGTCAAGGGGGTGAGGTGCGGGAAGTCATGAAGCCGCATCTTCTTGCTCCACCTGTCCAAAAAATCAAGGGTGGACCTGGAGGTGTCGCACGAGAGAGAGAGAGAGCTCTCTTCTGCTGAGCCGCAGTCCAAAGTGACACTCTGATTCAACGCGCCTCCGACCAATTTACGCGTCAAAGTGCAACACCGCGATTTCTCGCCACGGCTGAGTCGGGTTCGCGCCTCTTCTCGCGACCCGCTGTGGGGACACGACCGGCCTTCATCAACCACCAGCCTCGGCACCTGCCCTTCGACCGCCACTACGTCCCTCCATACATCCACAGCTGTCGCAACAATGTACAACAACGGTAAGTCCGCAATTCTTTGCGCGACGGTCGAGGGCTCCTGCACACCACCAAGAAGGTGTGTCGACCGCCTGCAACGGAGCGTGCAGGAGGAACGACAATGATCGAGACCCCGCAAGGTTGTGATGAGGACGCTGACAGACTGCCTTATCTTTGTGTCGACGACGCGGTGCACCTCCATAAGGTTTCGGAGGCGAGAGCAATCCATATGCTCAGAACTACGCGACAGGCGGCGGAGCGAGCGGAGGCGGCTTCCTCGCTAACGGCAGTCAGTCCGACTCGCCAAGCGGAAAGGTGCGGAACGACCCCTTATCCCGCTCATCGCTCACCCGCTCATCCACTCACCCGCTCAAGGCGGAGCGGATGCGGGAATGATAGTAGCGGGACGAGCGTTATAAGGATGGAAGCAAGCTGACACCTGCCTTTCCCTCCTCCTCACTGCTCCACATCGATCTTCGCTCATCAACTTGATCGATTTCACCAACGTACCATCACAATGGTTGCTGGCTTTGCACCCAAGCGCGCGAGCAACAACACGCTGAGGCCCGTCACCATCCGCCAGCTCATCAACGCCGAGCAGCCGCACCCTGACGCCGACTTTATCGTCGACGGCGCCGAGCTCGGCCAGCTCACGTTTGTGGCAGTTGTGCGCAACATCTCGCGCAACGCCACCAACATCGCCTACAGCGTCGAGGACGGTACCGGCCAGATGGAAGTGCGCCAGTGGCTGGACAGCTCCAGTGACGACACGCAAAAGGCTGCCGAGATCCGGTAAGTCGTTCCGCCCTCCTGCTCACGATGGCACTGTAGACTGACCTGGTTGTGTCTTGCGTGTGTGCAGTCAAAACGTGTATGTGCGGGTGTTGGGTACGCTCAAGTCGTTCCAGGGCCGTCGATCTCTCTCGGCAGGTCACATGCGCGCTGTGGTGGACTACAACGAGGTGCTCTTCCATCGGCTCGAGGCGATTCACTCGCACCTGCAGATCACGCGCGGCACCCACGGTGCCCCCGGCACACAAGCCGATGCTGGCCAAGGCCTGATCCGCGGCCAGCCCAACGACATTGGCGCCTACTCGGGCTCCAACGCGCAGAACGTGCTCGACCAGTACAAGAGCTTAGACGAGCTCCCGCGCCGCATCATGGGCATTGTAACTCAGGAGGCCGAGAACCACCACGATGGCGTCCACGTCAATCACATCGCTCGTATCCTCAAGAACGTTGACGTCTCCCAGGTCAAGAGCGCAGTGGAGGACCTCAGCTCAGAGGGATACCTCTACACCGCCGCTGACGACGACCACGTCCTTCCCACCGCATGATCCCGACTTTCCGCACGCAAAAGGTTTGGGTCCGTCGATCACATTCGCACGTTTCGCGTTGGCAATCTCACTTTCTCATCCACACTGCACAGGTGTGTCTCGTGCTCCCCCCGCTGCAGCGAACGCAGATGTCTTGGACAACAGCTTCAGATTGCAGGGGACACATGAGCGACGCATGAAGGCAGCTTAGTAGCCGCCGCCGTATCCGCCACCGTAGCCGCCCTGCTGACCGTATCCACCCTGCTGACCGTAGCCGCCCTGACCGTACTGAGACCCAGGCGGTCCACCGGGCGGAGGGTACTGACCATATCCGGGCTGACCTTGACCCTGCTGACCATAGCCCTGCTGCCCGTATTCCGGCTGGCCGTACCCGCCCTGGGAACCACCGTATCCGCCCTGAGGGGGCGGGCCACCAGGAGGAGCGAATCCCCCAGGAGGCGCATAGCCCGGCGCCGAGTAGTTGCCGCTCTCGTGGCTGCCGTAGCGGTCGTGACCAGTGGGCTCGGCCTGCGGGAACGAAGGCCTGTCGTTGTCGTACGACGATCCCTGCTCGTGCCTACGCCCCTGCTCGCGTCCAGCGTCGTTGCCTCCCTCCGGAAGCTCGCGGAACATGTTGTTGCCGCCGGGCACGTGGCTGCCCACGAATCCATGCACCTGGTTCGAGACGTAGTTCGACGCGTAGCCTGCCATTTGCGAGCCGATGCTACCGCCGCCGCCGCCTCCGCCACCACCACTGTTGCCTGGATAACCGCCTCCGCTGTTGCCTCCACCGTGGCCGCCACCGCCATAGTGGTGGTTGCTCGAAAAGTTGTGGGCGGCCTGCGAGCTGCTTCCACCCATGAAAGAGCCGATGCTGGGCTGGTCGCTGCCGTGGGTGTGCGGCTCGGCCTTGCCGCTGCGCGTGTTGGTGTGGTTGCGCACGCTCTGCTTGCTCAGACGGCCAATCTCGGTGGAATGCTGTCGTGCCCACTCGGACACATAGTCCATCATCTCCTTCTGCACCTGCGCCTGGCCGTTGAACCAGTACGGATGGAACATGGGCGCGAGGCACTCGTCCGCAACGTGGTTCGGGTCCATGCCGCGGTCGTCCCATGCCTTGACGACTTTGGTCACCGTGTGACGCACGATGATCCTGGCCACATTGCCGGCGACCTCGTTGAGGATGAGGCCAAAATGGTCCTTGGACAGCATCGAGTGCGTCGGGTCCGAAGCATTCGGATTGTCAAACACCTCAAACTGCTCCTCCTTGTTGATCACGGCTGCCGAGCCGAGCTTGAAGGCGCTCATGCCCTGCTGCATGATCGGCTTGGCGTATGGCTCGATGAGCGTGAAGACAAAGACGTTGAGCTCGTTGGTGAGCTTCTCGACGAGCGAGCTGAGGCCGGGAATCTTTTCGATTGTGCCTTCGATGCCCTTCATGATGCGGTCGCGCAGCTCGAGGATCTTCCAAAGGTTGGCGTACATCTCCTGCGGCGACATGTTGGCAGGATCGGTCGCCGGGCCGCGCGAGACGTCTTGGAGGTCGCGCGACACGCTGTCGTCGCCGCCGCCCGGCACCTTGGCGAGCATGCCGAGCAGGTCCTGGACGGGACTGCGGTTGTCGCCTCGGGACCTCTGCTTGGCGTTGTCCATGGCCTTGTTGAGATCCGAGATGGAAGCCTCGGACAGGTGGTCCTGAGCCTCACCCAGCAACGAGTGCATAAAGTCGGCACCACCAAACGTACCGGTGACGATGGGAGCGACCTGGGTGCCGTCGGGTGCTCGCACCTTGACGTTGTCGCCGACGTGCAGGAAGACGTTGTGGTGGCCGAGACGGTGCAGCGCGAGCTCGGTCCAGTTGCTGTGGGCGGGGAAGTCCTCGAGCGTGTGCAAAGCCTGACCCAGCAGGCGGTAGGCCTCGTGCAGGTCTGCCTCGCGTCCCGAGTCTCGTGCACGACGTCCAGTCTCGATGACGCGCACAAGCGTGCGGCGGATAAGGCCGGAGCCGGTGCGCCAGTTTCCAGACTCGTTGGCGAGATAGTTCTTCATGCCGGAACGCGGGTCGATCTCGAGCTCCTGCGGGTTGATGGGCTCGCGAAGGCGCGGGTCGTACTGGCGAGCGTCCTTGCCCTCGGCGTAGCCTTTGGGGTTGTCGAGGTGCTCCTCTGGCAGATAGACGCCCAGCCTGTCGTCGGTCACCTGAAACTCGGCGGTGGCGTAGCCATGCGCCAGGAAGCCGAGAACCATGACGATGTTGAGGATGGCCTGTTTGTTCATCTTTTGCAGACCAGCGACGTCCATAGCCTGACTGTAATCGCGAAGCCAGTTGCCAAAGTAGATGCGCTTGATGTCGAGGCCGCCGAACTTGGCGGCGCCAAAGAGCGATCCACCCACCTTCTTGGCGAGCTCTTCGAGGATGTCCTCGATGTCGCCGTGGCGGAAGGCCTTGCCCTCCATGTAGGCGAAAGAAGGGATGTTACCGGCGCCGAACGCATGAGCGCCTGGAATGGATGAGACGGCCACAATGAGCAAGGTCACCATGGCCACAAAGAAGAATCGACCGCCGAGCCAATTGCGACGGCCCTTGGCGTGGTTAACAGGGGCAGAAGCAGTTGCGGCATCGACAGGAGGGTCTCGGCTAGCGAACAGCTCAGAGTCCATGGAGGCGTCTGCAAGTGCAGACTCGATCTCGGGGTGTGTGGCTGTCATGGCGGGCTCTTCTTCCCGAGTGGTTTGTGGGGAGCTAGGAGTGTCTGAGACAGGCGAGCGAGTTTCGAGTGAAAGTTCGTCGCGAGCGGCTTGGACGATGTTGTTGGCTTCGCGAGTGAGACTGTCGATGTCTTCACTCAGATCCGAGTCGGATAGATGATCAGACTGGGCGTCGTTGGAATCGAGCAGTTCGGGATGGGTAGAGCGTTCGAGATCCACTTGGTCCTGCGTCGATCGAATCAGAGCGTCAATCGCGTCCTGTTCACTGAGACGTGCGGGGACGGACACGGCGTCGCAGGACTGCACGTGTCGAGAGGGCTTGCCCAAGTGGTCGCGATTGGTTGGTGGTGCTTGCGTCGTACGAAGCTTGCGCAGTCTGTCGAACAATAGCGCGTCCTTGTCGGCACTCTCGGCTGGTGTGACGTTGCTGGTGCGGTGGTATGAATTGGGTTGCGTTTGAGTGGATGTGTTGGAAGATTGAAGATCGGATGATCGTGGAGAAAGGATGGCAGGTGTTTCCGCGGGCTGCGCAGAGGATTGCAGACCTTGACGGAGCAGCTTCAGGCGCTCTTTCAAAGCCTCGTCGGCCATAGCACCAGGCGAAAAGTCAAAATTGGCAAAGTGAGTCAGTTGCAAGAAGCAAGTGCAGCGGGCGTGTCGAGGGCTGTGCTCGTGCTGTGCTGAGAGCCAAGTGGCTCAACCCCATTCCGCTCGGGACTGCAGCGGCGGATGACAGAGTGTCGTGAGACTGCGCTTTCAGACGCTTGCGCGCAATCAACTGTCTGCGGATGTGCTTTGATTGATTCGCACCCCCCAGGCGCTTTGACAGCTCCCTCTAAAGCTTAGCGCTGTGCACCGTCGGATCTGAGACCAACAGGTCCGTGCGCAGGTTGCAGAAAATCTTGATTGTGGAAATTTTAAATTCTTGTGCGCGTCTCGGCGCACGGTATTTCTAACTAAAAATAAGAACATTTTAGATTTTTCGTCTTTTGATAGCAAGAACTTTTTACATGCTTTCCATTAAGTTCAGATGTACCATAGTGGACCCTTGACATCATATTGCTGGCTTAGCTCAGTGGCAGTAGCGAATCCTTTACATTACATAAGCGGATTAGGTCACAGGTTCGACCCCTGTAGCTAGCAACGACTTCATAGAAAGGACAGGGCTTTTTTTTGGCTATAAAAACAGGAAATGAAGGAAACCGTTCTGCGCCTTGCTGGCTTGTTGCGGCTTGTTCACCCTCGAACCCGCCCTACCACCATCACTCCTGTTCACAAAATGTTGTCCGAGTTGTCGGAAGTGAAGGAGCAAGGTCTGCAGATTCAGGACACTGGAACCAGACGACAGAACCAGTTGGTACAACATGGATGTATTGGTCGAGATACGAACGTATGCGTTGATTTCGACCTTCAGAATGTCATCGAACGCTATTCTGAGTGTCTAGTGGAGTGAGGAGAAGATACGTGCGTCGTACCTCTGAGCATGTGTGTGTAGCGACGCCTCCAGGAGGCGCATGAGATGGTAGGGTATTTGATGCAGGTACCGGGCCGGACAAGCCAGAAATCCACCAACATGACGATCATGTTGAAGGCCCCGTTGTGGTCGCGATCGGCGCAACATGCGCACTTGGCCTGCGAGCATTGAAAGACTTTGCTCGAGTCAAGGTTTGGTGTGAGGCACAGGTCTTGAACGAAAAGGCCTCGTGCTGGATCAGGGGAGTTGTGGGGCGGCGTGCGTTGTGAGGACAGCGCGGGTCGTATCTTGCTGATCTTGGCGTTATTGAGGGTCCACTTGCAGCTGCAAGGCACGACATCGCAAATCGGTCTTCGAAAGGCAACAGCTGCGCAAGGCGCTCCTGACCCTCCTCTGGCAAAGAAAGCCTTTCCAGGCCACAATGGGATCAGGAGCGCCTTGCACAGCTGTTGCCTCTGGAAAGATGGCGTACGAAGGCGTTCAAGCAGGAGGTGTGTCCGAATGGCGAACTGCCACCCATCTGCTTGGCCTTGCCCTTTGCGTGCCTGTCCTTGGCAACGGATGCCTTAGGTCGATGGCGCAGTTGCGCTATCTGTATGGCAAGCGTTTTTCCGGTGGGAGCACCAAAGAGTTTTGCCCCCGCCAAGCAATTGTGAGGTGCCCACCGACCGACTCTGAGGCGCTCGCCTGACACCAGGCACGCTCGACACCTTCAACGAATGCGAAGAGCACTTCATTGTCTGCGACAGCCTGAACCTCGAACTCGTTGAAGGTGCTAAGCTCGCTAGAGGTTGGAAGAAAGCGGAACGTCTGGTCAGTCTATGCACCAGCAAGCTAGCAGGCCGGGAGAGAGATTCCTTGCAAATGTACTCACGCTGCAAGCTCTTCCTTTGCCTTTAGGGAGCCAGATGCTTTGTTGCCCGCACAGCAAATCGTTCTCCAACCAGACTTACCAAGCTTCACTACGATGGTCTTGAAGATGCGGGACTGGCGCTGGTGCTGATGGTCCAGCCAAAATCTCGTCCCTACGCCTTGGCCCTTTTGCGTATGCGAGTGGTGGAGAGAGAGGCAAGAAGAGAAGGGAGGAGTGATGCGGTACAGAGAAGGGAAAGGGGAAAGGCGACTTGACACGGATGTCTGAACGCGCGAAACGTGCTCGTGCTGCTCAGCCTTTCCGCACTCGATTCCCATAGAGCTCTTGCTCAAGGACTCTCGATGAGCAGCAGCAAGCTGCGCAATGCAAGCTGCGCAATGCAAGCTGCGCAGCAAGATAGTTGCAGACTCAAACGCTGATTTATTTTGGTAAGGTTTCGGCGATAAGCAAGAGTAACTTTGTGATGGAAAGTTCTCGCTGCCGACACACAACACCTGCGCAGACGCCCGAGTGGATTGACTGGAAGATCATTGAGCGCAATCCAGTGGTTCTGTGACGGATCAGCTCGCCATTCCTTGCTCGTCCTTGCCTGCTCTCAGTTTTCATTCCAGAGCTACAATCGACCCTGCGTAAAATGGCCAACGACCAGCGACGCCACGAGCGACAGGCTCGTTGGAGCGATCACTATGGCGTCTAGCCAACTCCCGAGTCACGAATTCAGTGCCTTCCTTTGTGCTCCTTCTCATGTGATACAGTGACGAAAGATGAAGCCGTTCAATCTCGTGTTTGTGAGCCACAACAGTAAATTTATGTACATGCATACCGGACTGAGACAGAAGCTACTGGCGCATGGTCTCGGATAACTCGCCAAAGGTGTCGGTGAAGCTGGCACGAAAGTTGAGCTCTCTGGCCACCAAGTCCAAGAACACGTCCAAGGCCTCCGTCTTCTTCGCCACCCTCTTCTCCTCGGGCGAAAGGGTGGTGGAGCGAGCGTGCATACCATAAAGCGCGAAAAACGTAGCCTCGAGTGATACTCGTCTTCAAGGCTGCGGTGTCCGCAGGCGGCTCAATATCGGCCCAGGCCTGTCGGACACTGGCTTCCGAGGGCATTGGCGTTCCGGGCACCATCACGGGCGTGTTGTGTGACGGGTGAGAATCACTAGCCGGTGTTAGTCCGGCTTCGTCCGCATTGCGCTTGCGCGGATGATGCTCCGGGATGGGGCTGATGTGTCGATTGGAGATACCGTGGGAATTGCCATCCTCAGAAATGTTGACGTTGGAGGCAGTGCGGGCTGCAATCGGAGCGTGGTGATCGTCGGCAGGAGCTAGCTGAGACGTGCTTGAAGCGGGGCCGGCAAAGTCTGGGCCACAAAACTCGGCACGGATGTTGGCATCGACTTGAAGGTAGGCGGACGGCTTGACGAGGTCGCGTGCTCTGTGGGCGAATACATTGAGCTTGCCGCAAACCATGCAATCTGCTTCTTCGTGTGAATGGCCTTTGCGGACCAGATCGTCCCACTGTTTCACGCGAAATTTCTTCAGCCATTTGGCGTGATGGCAATCAGCCTTGTTTCTGTCGCCGCAGGACTGACACCTCTCACCAAAAGATGTGGCTTCTGCCGGTAGACACTGGGCTCCGTCCAGCGTCCAGCGTTCGCATGCTCCGCAGTGCCGCTTGATTAGCTCCTCACGAGCGTCGACAAGCCTTTGGCGACGCCTCCTCTTCTTGCCCTTACCGTTTTTGCCTCTCTTAGCAGGTCTGTTGGGCTCGTAAGTGCTTCCTGCCTCGCTGCCATCCCCTTCCTCTGACGAGCTATCGCTGTCGGTGATACATTCTGCATCCTCGCTTGTGTTGTCACCTCCCTCTTGTCCCGTTGTGGTGTCTTGGCAATCGTAGTCCTCGTTACCTTTCTCTTCTGGCGAGGAATGAATGGAGATTGGCGTCTGGCTGCTCCCTTGCTGCCGGCCGTATGAGTCGACTTGGGCGGCACCGATGCTGCGCACCTCGTCACCAGTGAGGTTGGCAGGCATGCTGCCGACATGGTCGTCGTAGAAGTGCTGTGGAAATGGCACAAAAGAGGGAGATGTACCAAAGTAATGGAATGATGGGGGAAAAGTGATGCAAACGTAGCGAAAAAGAGCGTAGCTAAGCGTGTGAGCGAAAGCTGGGGAGTCGCTGGCGTCGCCACCCTCCCTCAGCGCCCTTTATCATTGCTTTCGGCGGAAGGGGGCGTGGGGTCTTGGCACGCAGTCCGGGCCGGATTGACAGCCAAACCAACAGCGTTTCCGCAAACCCCATCTCCTTGCGTTTGCACCATTGCATCTGTCGAGCGTCCTCTGTCGTCCGTCGCGCATGCCCTTGCCTCCTCCGTCCGCCTCCATGCAGTGTGTTTCCGCGCCTTGCCACTGTCATCCGCGCGTCTTTCCTCTGTCGGCCGTGCCAGCGTCTCTGCTCTCTGCCGAGCTGCCGGTCTGGTGAGGAGCTGTCGCCATTCGTGATTGCTGCGCGAACCAAGTCGATTTTCCCACGGCCTTCCAATCAGCCACGACGTCAAGGATGATTGGTCCCCTGGCACATCACATCCTCAGGAAAGTTCCGCAAACCATACTGCGATAACCCCATTTGGCTTTCGCCTAGCGGTCGTCCTCCAGCGCCTTTTGCGCAAAGCGAGACTCAGACTCGCGCTGGAGTTTAAGCTCAAGACGGGAGGGCGCAAGCTTCAGCTCGAGCTCCAATCGGAGCATCATCAGAGAGAAGCGCGTTGCACGTAATCACGAGAGAGCGTCCGGCTTTAGAAGTGTTCCACACTCGCGTCACAGGATTCGGCTCTGACTCATTCGGATTGACAAAGCGCTCGAGGTCTCGAGGAAAAAATGGGATACATGGAGAAAACGTTTTGGGACTCGATCGAAACTAGCTTCGCAAACTCTCTTCGGGCGGCAATGCACGGGCGGACCAGCTGCGGAAGTCAGGACTGGACCACTGCAGCACGCGCACGTCTGCACGCCGCGACGCGGTGCGTTCGAGCCGCTTATGCGCTGTAGGTCGAGGCCGAGACGTTACCACCACGGCCGGTCCAGTTGATGTGGATGTCCTGGCCCTCGGGCAGCTTGGCGCTCGCGTACTGCGGGAGCACGCGGAAGGTGTGGGCACCAAAGTAGTCACGCTGCGCCTGGAGCAGGTTGGCGGGCAGCTGCTCGCGGCGGTAGCCGTCGAAGAAGGCGAGCGCGGTGGAGAAGGCGGGCGTGGGCAGACCCCAGAGGATGGCCTGGGCGACGACGCGGCGCCAGCCCTCCTGGGCATCGTGGATGGCCTTGTTGAAGAAGTCGTCAAAGAGGAGGTTCTCCAGCTCGGGGTTCTTGCGGAAGGCGGCGGTGATGTCCTTGAGGAAGACGGAGCGGATGATGCAGCCGCCGCGCCACATGAGGGCGATCGAGGGGTTGTTGAGCTTCCAGTCGTACTCCTTGGCGGCCTCGCGCATGAGCATGAAGCCCTGGGCGTACGAAACGATCTTGGAGGCGTAGAGGGCCTGCTCGAGGTCGGCGATGAACTGCTCCTTGTTGCCCTCGAAGGGCTTGATCTGGGGGCCGCCGAGGATCTTGGAGGCGCGGGTGCGCTCGCCCTTGAGCGACGAGAGGCAGCGGGCAAAGACGGCCTCGCCGATGAGGGTGACGGGCTGGCCGAGGTCGAGCGCGTTGATGGCGGTCCACTTGCCGGTACCCTTCTGGCCGGCCGAGTCGAGGATCTTGGTGAGGAGGGGGACGCCGTCCTCGTCGTTGTACTTGAGGATGTCGCGGGTGATCTCGATGAGGAACGAGTCGAGCACGCCGGTGTTCCACTTGGTGAAGATGTCGCCGATCTCGGACTCCTTGAGGCCGAGGCCGTGCTTGAGGATGTCGTAGGCCTCGCAGATGAGCTGCATGTCACCGTACTCGATACCGTTGTGCACCATCTTGACGTAGTGGCCGGCACCGGTCTGGCCGACCCAGTCACAGCAGGGCTCGCCGTCCGACTGCGCCGCGGTCTTCTGGAAGATCTCCTTGATGTGGGGCCAGGCGGCGTCCGAACCACCGGGCATGAGCGAAGGGCCGTGGCGGGCACCCTCCTCACCACCCGAGACACCGGAGCCGACAAAGAGGAGGCCCTTGGCCTCGAGCTCCTTGGCGCGGCGGATCGAGTCGGGGTAGTGCGAGTTACCACCGTCAATGATGATGTCACCCTGCTCGAGGTGGGGCACGAGCTGCTCGATGAAGGCGTCGACGGCGGGGCCGGCCTTGACGAGGAGGATCATCTTACGGGGGCGCTTGAGCTTGGCAACAAACTCCTCGATCGACTTGGCGCCAACGACGTTGGTGCCTACGATGCCGTCATGCCAGCAAAAGCGATGAAATGCCGCGCAGAGCAGGAGCAGCACGAAACGGAATGGGAAAAGGGGAAAGACGGAATGAAGGTGTCAGAAAGCAGCTCTTTCTATCTCCTAAGCTCGGGACGTGCCGTAATCCACGGTTCTGGGACGCTGAGCTGCCGCGCAGCTTCCTTGAGCCAGCGAATTGCCGTTCAGCATCCCAGAAAGCTGGATTTTGGTGGAACATACCCTTGGCCTCGTTGGCGAGGAAGTCGTCCACCTTGCTGGTGGTACGGTTGTACGCGCAGACAGTGAAGCCCTTGTCTAGAATCGGAGCGGAACAGGAAAGACCGAGATTTCGAGACAGATCAGTACTTGCTAGCCGAACTTCCTCGAAAGTGCGCCTTGCGTGCGTGCTTTTCTTCACCACGAAAGCAGCATCGCAGCAGACGCTGGGGCTGGGTCAGGAACGTACCGTTCATGTTGAGGATCAGGTTCTGACCCATGACGGCGAGGCCGATAAGGCCGATGTCGGCACTGAGAGCAGAACAAAGCATGCGACGAGAGCGAGCAGCATGGTCAAGTCAGGGCGTCAGCAAAGACTGTGCGGTAAATCAAAAGAGCGCCGGAGACGCGAGCTGGGAAGGAGGGCAGCAGACTTACACAGCTTGGGACGACATTGTGCGTGAAGTAAGCTGGGCGGTGAGGGAGGAGATACGGGAACGAGCTGTGGAGAGAATCCTTGCGATCGCTGAGGAGCAAAGGGCAGAGGATGGGATGTTGTGGATGAGAAGGAACAAGTAGCTTCGACGACGAAGACAGATGGAGATGGAGGGAGAGGGATGTTGGGAAGTGGTCCGCTCCAAGCGAGAAGGATCGCGGACCGAGGTCAGCGGACGAGCGGCCGTGGCCTGCGCACCGCCCGTGCCCAAAGTGCAACCTGGCCAAGATGAGCGAGCAGAGTTGGCAGCGCCCGCCAAAGTGGAGCCGAGCAGTGGCAGCGGCTGACGATTGAGGGCATCCGCCAACGCCTGTTTTCCGTGGGTGCACGGTCACTCACTTGAACTCGCCGTGCTTCCGCCGAGATCGATTTCAAGCGATCGCAAATTCTCCCTCTCTCTCGCTCAGTTGCAGTCCAGGGAGGCCCGAACGCAGTGTTGTGCTGCACCCTGCCGACAACTCCACCGCGACTTTTCTCGCAGCCCACGCTGGCAAGAAGAATCGCAGATTTGAGTCACACGAAATTCACTCAGCGACTGCCTTTTGGTTTCGGGCCGCTCAATGACGCAGCGTGCAGCGTGCTGCCCAAGGTCATCCTGAGCCGGACCAACCAGACCAGAGGGCGCGCCCACTCTCGCACGTCAGCAGCCTCCATTCGGTCCCTCTCCCGGCTCGGCAGCAACCACGCAGACCAGATGCAAAGGGTGAGATTGGCGGACACCCATGCCATGTCCCCAAAAAGTGAGGCCGTGAGATCACCGGACTTCTGCCGCGCGCATCACTTCTTGCTGCATCGCTGAGACTGCATTGCCGCCATCTTCCCGTCAACTGCAGTCAGGACACGAGCAATGATCGTGCCTCTGTCGACGGCGTTGAAAGCAGCGCTTTGCTGAGCGAAATGAACAGCGAAAGGCAGTACTTTGGGTATCAAGAGCGGGGCGAGAAGCAGACCGGACCGGAGCTCCTGGCTGATCTTCTCGGGCGCAGAGCGAAGGTTGCGATCGATAACGCGCGCTCCGTGCGTCGATCTGCCAGTCTTTCCGCCGCGCAGTTGAATGATGTTAGATCTCTCACCAGCTCTCATGGCTCCGGTCCTCGGTCCGGCCTTTCCTCCTTGATCCCCAGCCCAGCCCAACACCCCGCATCTAGGATCCTTCTTTGCCTCGAGGGATCTGCGAGGCACATCTCGCGTGGCGAGAAGACTGCGACAGCACAACCGCGGGCCACATCCACGAGACGGGCACGGCGACCCATCCTGCCTCACATCTGACGAGATTGCCGGTCACGCAGTAGATCGCCGATCGATCCCCACCAAACACACCCACTCCGCGGGGGGCAAGATTGCCGACGGTGCCTGCTTCCATCTGGAAAGAATTGCGGACGGAGAGCGGAAAAAGACGATTCCTTTTTGGACAGGTCCGGAGCATGAGACGCTCCAGGGGTAGAATACAGCGCGGATGGGGTTCCAGGGACGATGCAAAAAGTGGTGAATACATGAGCGAGAAGGAATGCATGCGAGGGCCGCTCGGCGATCAAGGCTGCGAGGCTTCGACACTGAGTGCACCCAGACAGCCGCCAAAGCCAAACAGCAGCGCCGACTCGTCGCGTTGAGAGGTCGCGAGGCCGTGCAAGGGATAGAGTCGCGAGAACGACAGCGCCGCATCCATCACGACGTCGTGATTCCGTCGGCCATTTGGCTGAATCGAGAGTGAGGATCGTGGCGTCGCGTTGTGATCCGTTTTGTCCACAGCCTCGAGCAGTAGAGGCTGTCGCGGCACGAGCAGCTCTCCGCCTCGACCGAGCGTCAGCTCGTGCCGCAGATCCAGCGCCCACCATTCCCACCGACTCTGGTGCAAGCTGCGCTGCGCTCGGCCCACACCGATGAGCACTGGCTTGGAGCCCACCGCAAAGCTGCCGCCGCGCTCGCATCGAATCCAGCCGAGAAGACGCAGCTGGCGCTCGTCCATCTTCTGCGTCGAGGTGCTGGGCGAGAGCATGCTCGGGAACGCAGACAGGCTCGAGGACACGGCGGCGGCCTGTGAGGTGCCATCGGCAACCACGCTGGCGCCGCTGCGGTCTCGCGCGTGCGCACTGGCGCGGCGCAATCTCGAAGCGGAGCCGTGCGAAGACATTGGGTACGACAGCGGATTGGCAAGCTCGGCTGCGGGACTGGGCGGTGTCGAAGCGTCCGCCCAGAATGTCGCGGCGTTGGTGCGAGAGCCATTGGGCGTGCGAATACGCAACGGCGAACCGGACAGGTAGCCTGCGAGACTGCTGTGCACCGATCCGCTCTTGTCCATCAATGAAGCTGCGTTCATTGCTCCGCCGGCAATGATGAGCAGAGAGGATCGACACGTGGACTGAGCTGTTAATGCCGGGGTGCTGGCATCGCCAGCGTCGATGCTGGACAGCCCCATAACAGGTCCGTCGTCAAGGTCGACACTGCTGATGGTCTCGGCCGTCTCGAAATCGATCAGGCGCACGCGTCCATTGGCAAAGCCGAGCACCAGAGTGCTTCTGAGCAGAGCTGCTTCGTCCGCTGATGGCGGTCGGCTCGCCAGCTGGCACAACAGCGCCGAGCAGACTCGGCTGCGATCTTCGCAAGCAAGCGTGAAGACGGTCTTGGTGGTGGAGGTGGCCGGCTCGACCGACCTGATATGGAACAAGCCGTCCGTCGTGGCGAATGCGAGCAGACTCGGATCGCAGGAGCCCGACGGCTTGTTGGCGCCATGAGCGCTGCCGTGATTATGCACCACATTGACGTGCACGCTCCTCCACCGCAAGCGAGGGTCGAGATGCGTTTGTGCGGATGCCAAAGTGACTTGTTTGCGCGCCACATTCCAGATGCGGATGGTGCCATCTCGATGCGCCGAAATCGCGGTCGCGGACTCGAGAATGTGCATGGACTCGTGATGCTGTAGGGTCAAAGAGATGACTGGAGAGACAGCGCTGTCTGGCACGTGATCCCAGATCGTCTCGAGCGTTTCTGTAGAGACGAAATGCAGCCGCCCCGATTCGAATCCGATCGACAGCCATCGTGCTTCTGCTGAGAGTGCGGCGGCAGTCACGACGCTTGCGTCGCTGGCTGCGCGCGTCCTGCTCAGGCTTCCCATTACGTCGACTCCTTTGTCGTCGCCAGAGGCGCCAACAACGTTCCAGATGCGGATGCCGCCGCCGTTGTCGATCGAGGCGGCAAGCGCTCCATCGTGCACCAGGAACTCGACATCGCAGGGATGAGCGTTGGTGACGATTGAGATGTGCGGCCGCAGATGCGGAGCGGAGTCATTGAGAAGCGAGCCCGACTCGCCCTCGGAAGGATCCGCTTCAGACTTGCCCCTCTGCGCATCGAGCAGCTCGGTGTCCTTCAAGAGGTAGAGAAGGAGCATCCAGAGCAATGCTGTCGTTCCGGAGATGGGCAGAATGACGAGCTTGGCGAACCAAATCACGGCCCTGATCCTCGGTCGGAAGAGGGCCCAACCTGCAAACGTGGACATCGATGGAGGCGACTGAGCGTCGTTGGATGAGCGGAGGGACAAGATGGTCCAAGGCTCGACATGGACCCTGAGCTCGCTGGCGCCAAGCGGGTTGAGCGAGGTCCAGAGATCGGCGCTGAGCGACGATGTCCACCAGGGCAGGGAGGGGCCCGTCTTGGCGTCCAGATGGCCGAATGGATCGAATGCGGCGTTTGTAGCGGGCGCTTGGCGGACCGTATCCCAGTCGGCGGGCAGCACAAAGCTGGACTGCTGCAGGCTCGGGTATCCTGTGCCATAGTAGAGGTAGAGGCCGCTCATGTAGACTAGGATGAGGGTGAGACTGGCGGTGCGTGCCGATCGTGCCTTCCACAGCTGAGAGAGAAGGGTGACAATGATGTTGGTGGACCGGACCTGTTTGCGGAGAGTGCCGTCGGGTTGATCGTCACTGGTCGCTTGGTCGATGGAGCCGGCCGAGTCGTGCGTGGTGCTGCCGTCGCTCATCTGGAGAGCGCTGTCCTGTTTGCGCGTGAGGCGGGTGCCCTGCGTGAGAAGATCTGCGAGCTCGAGGCGCTGCATGTCGATGCTGAGGACGGTGACGAAGAAGGTCATCTGGAGGAACCAGTCCATCATGAGGGAGAAGATGGCGAAGATGCAGAATTCGCGCACGGCTCGGACGCCGATGAAGAACGCAATGACGAGGAGGAGGAGGATGTCGGCGAGGGTGGTGAGGGTGATGGGCACGCCCACCTTGCCGAGGCCGTGCGCGATGCGGGAGGAGACGGTGAGGGAGAGCGGAGTGTCGATGATGGCCTTGGTCAAGCTAAACATGTTTTCGGAGCCGACGACGACGATGACAAAGGGCAGAAGCTCCCAAGGCACGAGGGTGAGGCGGATGCCGAGAAGCGCACAGATGCTGACGCTCATGACCATGCTGATGAGGAGCTGGGTGGTGCCTGTGAAGGCGAGACCGAAGCGCGAGTGGACCTTGCGCAGCTTGATGAGGCCGCGTGAGATGTAGAGGATGACGAATGCATAGGCGGTCAGGAGCAAGATGTGCGTGGGCCTGCGTCGAGACGAGAGCGTTTCGGGGGAGAACTGAAGCACGAGGCTGTGCAGTACGCTCTCTGGGGAAGCAATGAGGCGGACTTGGCCACCAGTGACGCGGTTGAGCAGCTCGTGCCATCGCGAGTGACTCAACGTCGGGCGAGCAGCGGGAGGCGTGGATGCTGAGAGATCCGAGCAGCCGTCTTCGCTTGAATCCTGGCGTAGAAAGAAGGTGAATGCGAGGTACTCTGCACGCGGCAGTCGCTTGAAGAGATGCCAGCGACCGGCAAGAGTGGTGGAAAAGGAGATGGGCACTCCTCGAAGGGTACGATTGAGTGTGGAATGGGAGACGAGCTGAGCCGGATCGTCGTCTGCTAGTATCGTGTTCGAGTCGAGATTCCAGTATTCGAGCGGGGACAAGGTCAAGCAAGCGTCATCCGTGTCGGAAGGCTGGCTGAGCTCGTGCGAGATGGGTCTGCCTGGAAATGAGGGTCGTATTTGCACGCAGTCTAGCTGCAGCTCGACAGAGTCTGGGTCGTAACGTCCGCGCAGCTCGGACTCGATCGACTTTTGCAACTGAAGAGCGGAATGCAGGATGCGCTTCTCCAGGACGCCGAAGCGTGGGCCTCGACCGGCCATGACATCGTCGGTGGTGATGAAGACGTGCTCGACGCGCACGGATTGACAGCGTGGACGCGAGACAGCCGGTGCGGACGTATGTACTGGTGAAATCTGGGTTGCTTGGAGGTCGAAGATGGCGCGGGCGTCGCCGATGTCGATGGCCCTGAGGTCGGGGGCATCGTCCCAGATCATGCGGAGGTCGCTGAGGCTGTTGACGTGTTTACGGCCGCTGCTGGCAAAGGAATCCATGAATGGAGTGCTGAGGGATCGCCAGACGCTCTTTGCATCGCCTCTGGATACGCCTGGGCCGCCCTTGGACGCCCAAAAGTAGATGCCGACGGCCGGGTAGAAGAGCGAGGTGATGACGAGCGAGCATAGGAGCAGGGTGCGGATCTGATGTTTGGAGATCCAGCGACCGTGATGCTGAAAGAGGCTCTCGCCGCGCGAACGAAAGTGTCGAATGAAGGGGAATGAAGCGGCCGAGCCGGTTTGGGATCGGCGGGTTCTTGTTGATGCGGGCTGCCTGCGTGCGCCGCGCCCGCTTACGGCGACACCCATAGCCATGTGTGCCGAATTGGGTGGGCGCTCGACTGCGAGGCTGAGGCTACCGCCAGGCGTTGATGAAGACCGTCTGGGACCCAAAGCAGCAAAGTGGGCGGAGACCAGGTGGGGAGGCCAGGTGCGCAGACGAATTCGATTTCGACGCAGGCGTCCTACACTAGCTGGTCAAGAATCGCTGAAAGAGGCGCCGACATTGTTGTCCGTGCAGTGTGGGTCGGTGCTTCGTTCGGGCCTTGGCAGCGCTCGGGATGGCCGAACTTTTGTCGAGGAGAGACAGTTGACGGTGATGGAGCAAAGCTCAAGCTCAGCTCCGACTCCAACGCAAAGGCCAAAGCCAGGGTTTTCGGTCGGTCGGAAGGGTCCGAGCATTCACATTGCGGCGCGGCGGTGCTGACGCGAAATTCCGAGCAGCCCTCCATCAGTCCCCAGCAACATTCCGCCAACGAGCTTCAGAATAGGCTAGGATCACGCTCTGTCGGAAGAGGCGCTGCAGGTCGCGACTGCCGAACGTATGATTTTTGACGTCTTTTTCTTCGGCGCCCACGAGCCGGCATGTGCTCTCGCGTCTCGGTGCATGCATTCTGCATCGTGTCTTTCAGTCAGTCATCTGATGTTCTCGATGTGACTCAAGGAAGAGCAAGACCTTCGGGAAGCGTCCGAGCTAGCGCGCATCTATTCGGTGCTGTGATCCAGCTGCTGTCTGACACTCGAAAGAGGCGCATGGGCGAGGAACGCGGCCAAGCGGCAGGCCAGGTTAACTCTGGAATTCGGGCCGAGACGCAGGCTTGCGTCCCGCAGAGGTGCAGTCGCGGTGAGTGCACGTCCGCACCATCAGCTCCATCGCCAAGCCCTTAGCTCGTTGCGCTTCAACAACCCCGCTGAACTCAACTGGCTCTCCCTTGTCAACACTAGCTCGACAGTTGCAAGTTATCATTTGCGGTCTGCCCAACGCTCGCCGCATGTATATTAGCGGCTGATCAGAGCAAGGGTTCATTTGATCTCGACTTGATCCTGATGAGAGCGCAGAATCGCCGGGGGGGGGGGCGTGCCCTAGGATTCCATGGACGTCGGCTGCTCTGATCATTCGAGGTAACAAAGAGCAAGGAAGAAGGCGCGGGTCAAACATACGACCGGATTTTGCAACGGCAATGCAAGCACGAAATTGCGGACGAGAAAAGGCGCCGAGATGCACGGACGTAAGCGCACGCCCGCCTCCACTTTCTTTCGGCAGCAGCCTCCTGCCGATCAAGCCCAACAACGCCGGAGCACAACATGCTCCGCAGCGACCTTGGACGTCGGCACGGTTCCGAGATCAGACTTGAATGCGAAATAGCTTCAGCGGTGGTGTTGAAGTGTGGCCGTGTTTGCAGCGCTGGTTGAGCCTGGGAAATCCAGACCCCATCGACAGCTTCTAAACTTAGCTGATCACGTCCGGCCATTTCGGCCATTCCAGCCAACGCAGCCGACTCATTCAGCCCGCCCCTCCATCCCGTCCCTCCCGTCTACCATTCATCCCACTCATCGCTGCTCACCATTTCCTCCCAGACACTTTCGAAACTTCTTCTCAACACTCTACCATCCGCAACCAAACCATCCTCGATCATGTCTCTCCCCGCCAAGATGCGCGCTCTCGTCACCGTCGAAGGCAAGAAGGCCGAGGTCAAAGAGGTGCCCGTTCCCTCGCTCGACACCGATGAGATCCTCGTCCGCGTCAAGGCCGTGACGCTCAACCCGACCGACTGGAAGCACATCCAGTACATCGCTCCTCCTGGTGTCACTGTCGGCTGTGACTTTGCCGGTGTCGTCGAGCGAATCGGACCCGATGCCAAGAACACCTCGCTCAAGAAGGGCGACCGCGTCGCTGGCTTCGTCCACGGCTCCAAGGACGCCGACCGCGGCAGCTTTGCCGAGTTCCTCAAGACCAACAGCGAGCTCGTGGCCAAGATCCCGGACAACTTTGACGACGCAGCTGCCAGCGCACTCGGCGTCGGTGGAGAGACCGCTGTGCAGGCCCTCTTCCATCGACTGGCGATCCCCGTGCCCGACTACTCGCACGGCGCTGTGCCCGTGACCGACGACTCGCCCGAGCTGCTCGTGTGGGCCGGAAGCACCTCGGTCGGTCAGTGGGCCGTTCAGATCGGCCACGCAACTGGCTACAAGGTCATCACCACCGCCAGCCCCAAGAACCACGAGCTGCTCAAGCAGCTCGGTGCACACGACGTCTACGACTACCGCGACGAGACCACCCCGCAGAAGATCTCGTCCAAGTATCCCAACCTGGTAAGTGCGAGCTATTCACTCTGGCCAACAGATCAGAACACTGACGCCCTCCTTACCGCCTGATAGAGCAAGGCACTCGACTGCATCTCAGAGAACGGCACGCAGCAGCTCTGTGTCAAGTCACTCGGTACCAATGGCGGCGACGTCGTTGTGCTCCTCAAGCCCGACCCAGAGGCCATCGCTCTTCGCAAGGGCGAGGTCAACATCATCCACACCCTCGCCTACACCGCCCTCGGTCGGCCCTTCAGCTACGGCAAAGCCGCCGTATTCGACCAGGACCGCGTCTCGGCAGATGCAGCCCTCATGAAGGAATGGCTCAACGGCGACAAGGGTCACTTCTACTCGCTCCTCCAGCGCGGTATCCTTCGCGGCAACAAGATCAAGAAAATGGACGGCGGCCTGGACAGCATCAACGAGGGCCTCAAGTACCTTCAGGACGGAAAGGTCTCTGCCGAAAAGCTCGCCTACACCATCAGCTCCTGATCTCCTACTCTCGACGCTCCGGTGTGCGCTCCACAACATCAGACGCACATCGTACGCTCAAGTCTTCACCATTTTGAGCTGCACGGCAGCCTCTGTGGGATCGCTTGCACATCGAAGCTCAGCAGAGTGGCTCCTGCCACGCCGAGTTCAAATCACAGTCGTTCATTGATGCACGGAGCTAATGTCCATTCCATGTGACTTGGCCTCCAGATTGTTGAGGCCGAGTGTCAGTCCCCTTGTGTGCGGGCCATACTCGTCAGTGTAAAGGTGGGGTGCGAGGCATGCACCCCGGCGGTCGCGGCCGAGGACTCGGCGGCAATCTCTTGCTCCAGTTGGGCACGTGCGCCGCGGTCAATGTCGGCCATCAACACGTTCAAGGCGTCGTGCAGTGAGTCAATGCGCTCCCGACTCTGACGCAGATCCTGGCGCAGATCCTGGCTCTGTGCAGCGAGCTGCTCCCTAAGCGCCTTGCCAGCCGCCTCCTGCTGCGCCGTCACTGTGACGAGTACCCTGGCCTCGGTCTCGGCAAGAGCCACCCGATACCGCTCCTCCTGCCGCTCCTCCTGGGCCACCAGCAGAGCTTCTAGCCGCGCCATCGCCTTGCGGTTCTCGTCCACCTGCGCGGCTTGCGCATCCAACTTAGCCTCTACCCGTGCGATCGCATCTTGCATGGCTCTTTGGTTGGTTTGGCTGAAGATGCGCAGGATCTCGGTGATGACGCGCAAATCACCCGGGTTGAGCGACGCAAGCCCCGTTGCCGCGACGCTCGAAGAGGACGCTGCCGCCGCAGGGGCGGAGCTAGCAGCAAGATCGACAGCCACAGCCGGGGTCATCACATTGGCCTGCTGGCTAGTCGCCGCCAGAACCGCTGCCGTGGCTGAGGTAGACGCATCCAGGGGCACGGCCAGCGACGACGTCGAGACCGCGGCAGGGGTAGACACAACGGGTGCCGTTGACGCGACGGCAGGTGCGACTGCTGCGGTCTTCGTCGGCTGAGCGGTACCGTTGGTTGAGGTGGACGCAGACGATTGGGTCGGCGGTCTCGAGATCGATGCAGGTCCCGAAATCGAAGGGGAAATGACAGTCGGAATTGCGACCGACGCAGTTGGCGCGACGACGGGTGCGACGACTGCAGCCTTTGTCGGGTGAGCGGTAGCCTTGCTTGGGATGCTCGTAGACACCTGACTGGGCGGTCTAGAGATCGATGACCCTCCCGAGGCTGGAGCCGAAGTGGAAGCCGAGACTGCGACCGTCGCAGCTGGGGCGGCCGCAATTGCGACCAGTGCACTCTTAACCGGTTTGACGAGGCCGTTGGTTGCAGCAGACGTAGACGCCTGACTCGGAGGCCTAGAAATTGATGGCGTTCCTGAGCTCGGAGGAGCAACGGGCGTCGAAGGCGGTTCCGAATTTGATGGCCGCACGGACACAGCACCTCCGACCCGCAGCACAAACTTGCGAACCCCATTTGAGATCGTCAGAGCCGAGGTGGGAGGCAGGTCCTTCTCGCCAAGCACAGCGGGTTTATCTTGGACGACGACCGAGGCCGGGAGGTCCTGAACCTCGGCGAGCGAAGGACCAGTTGGAGAAGATTCGGTCATCGGAGAGTCGGTAGCTTGAGCAGCTCTGTGGGTCTGCGCAGATGGCTGTGCGATGGGTTGGGATTCCGGTGGTGGATTTGGCTTGGCGCGCTTCCTTGACGGGCTGCCGGGAGATGCGGTTGACGGCAGCTGTATCGCGTCGTTCTGTCGCTTGAGCGAAGATGCTGACGCGGAAGACGCCAATTCATACATCTTGGGGGTGGACGTCTCGAACGCGGGTTTTCTGCCTCTACGCACCCCAAGCGTGCCCGATAGTCCGCGCGGATATTCCTCCGTGCTGTCGAGGAATCCAATGCGACAACTAGGGTTGAGGGGAACACACTTGCTCTTGGTCTTGGCGGCTTCAATGAGGGCAAAGTGCGAGCGCGCCTCGTCGCGGTAGCTTAACGGATCCAGCCGCCATTCCTTGTAGTCGAGCTTGCTCGACTTAGCATGGTACTTGTGAAACATCTCCGAGTTTTTTTGGGCCAGCGCGTGCACCGGGTGGATGTAGACCTTGTGAAGCAGACAGCCGAAGCAGTACGAGTATCGGCACGGTTTGCAGTAGTACCGCTGCGTGATGTCGAGGACTGCCTTGCACATCCTGCAGGGCGCCACATTCTGCCGCCAACCCGGGGTCTGACGGATGGTGTAGAGCTTGTGGGCAGCCATGAAGCTGTGTGGCCAGGCTTGCTTCCCAACATCCTTTTCTTGCAGAACGTTGACAGGCTGCCATTCGGCTTCCTCGGCTTCCTCGACTTGTTCCTTGATCGTGGGGGATTCCGATGACGACGACGATGACGGTCGTCTGGGCATGATCGTGATGAGAGCTCGCGCCGCGGCGTTGCGGATTTCGAAACGCTCGCCAAAGGTGCGCCAGTGCTGGCGCGGCTTCATCTCTTCGGCCGCGTTGGCGCAGCCGCAGAGCCGACCTTGACAGTAGCACATGGCACAGAGCGTCTCCTCGAGCGCGCATTCAAAGTAGCCGCCCAGGACGCTGGCGCCGCAGAAGTCGCACTCGACATAGTCTTCGTGTCCACCCCAGACCTCGATGTCGCGCCATTCGGGGACGTACTCGTCCGAGAGGATCGCGTCGTAGAGCTCGAGAAGCTTGCGGAGCTCACGGACCGTCTGTAGCGGCGTCACTGCCAGGTCGGAGCGAAGCAGATCGGACTCGACCTGCTTGGTGAGCTTGATGAGCATCGCTTCGATCAGCCTCTTGATGTGGTAGCTCTCCTTTCGACAGAAGCGCTGGTATCCGGGAAGATCGTAGAGCATGGCGCTGCGCAGCGACTCGACGGTCATCCTGGACCAAGCCACCTTCATGGCCCGGCCACCGACGTTGGCGACCATGTGAGTTGATCGTGACGGAATGAGCACGAGGTCGCCGAGCTTCTGCTCGCAGCAAAAGATTCGAAAGTCGGCGTCAGCGGCGAGCTCGCGGGGATGAGGCGCAAACCCCTCAGACTGTGGATCGGCGCCGCGGGAAGCGATGTATCGATCCACATCTTCGGCGCGATCGGGATGCGCGATCAACCAGATGGCCGAGGCTCCTTCATCGCTCCACACCATGAGGTTCTGACCGAGGCTGGAGCATAAGTCTCGATGCCACGGCGTGCAGGTCTGTCCCGGGCCAAAGTAGCACATCTGCGTGTCTGGGCGGGCGTTGGGAGTGACCGCAGCGGTTGCATCTTGCTCGCCGTGGTACTGAAGGCGAGAATGGACAAGCTGGTCGATGGCCTCCTTCCACTCGGACGGGCACCTCAAGTCCTTGCCGTAGAGCTTGTGCTGCTCGTTCGGCTTGTACTGGCGATTGTCGTCGCAATGCTGCATGAACTCGGCGACGGTGAGTTGCCGGTCGCTCGAGTCGGTGAGGTTGCGCACGTGGATGAACCTGTCGCCGAGCTTGTGCTTGGTCATGGCTTGTTGATAGGCGGCCGGGGAGAACAGATCGGAGGGCCAGCCAGGGAGTCGATGCAGATCGGAGATGACCAGAGGCAAGCATTGAATCTCGAGCTGCTCTATGATGAGCTCCCGCAGCTCCTCGTCAGAGAAGCTGGTACAACTGACGACGGGGATGGGCGTGACCTTGTCGCTCTCTTTCAACAACGAGTCGTAATCGAGCGGTGTCGAGGAGGTGAGGAAGCTTCCGCGGAGATGCTGCAGCGAAGCCGGATCTGGTGCTGGATGAAGCGTGCTGGTGTTGGCTGTCCGAGCCGTCTCGGACGGCGTCGCGTCTGCGTTGGGAATGGATGTGCCATTGGCACGCACTGGAGTCTCGACGATTGGTTGCGACGGGCGCCGATCTGACGAAGTCGACGGAGAAGCGACGGCGAGAGCGTCTGCGGGCGTTGTTGGCGCTGTGGGCGGCTTGATTGGCGATGTGCTCTGTGTCGATGGGCGAGGGACAGAGGGAGGTGTCGCAGAGGCTTGTTGCGGCGTTGGTACGGGCACACGGATTGGTTGGGATGCACGTGCAGGGTTTGCTGCAGCGGTGGCTTGCGATGACGAAGCGGATGGTGCGAGGACTGCCAAGCCGCCTGGGCTGGTCTCCAGCTGTAAAGAAGCTGACTGCGAGGCTGGCGAAACGTGGGCATGGGCTTGAGAGGTCGAAGGCTGCGCCGATGGGCCGGGATGAAGCGTACGAAACAAAGTTCCAGGACCAGCGCGTGACTGAGTTTCGGATCTGTTGGCGGATGCCGAAGTATGGGCGGATGAAGAGGACGACGGTTGAGAAGGGACAGAGCGGGCGGCAGTGTTGGGATTTGCCGATTCTCGAGAGGATTGAGAAGGTGGCATGGCGCCGGAAGCCGCGGGTGCGGGTCGAGGTGTCACAGCGGAAAGGACGTGCGACTGGCTCTTCGAGACTGTATGGTGGGGTTGGGGAGCTTGGTGCGTCGCAAGTGTGCTGAGGCGGGGCTCCGAATGCGCTAGGCGCTGTTCAGGCGCCGACGGCTCGGTCGTGCGTATGCGCGCTTGCGAAGGCAGGTCGAGCGGAATGGGACCACTCGGACGTTGATTGGAGAAGGCAACTTGACTTAGCCGAGGCGTCCCTGCGGCAATGAGTGATTGGAGAGGTGCCTTGTCATCTGCCGAGGTATCGGCCGAGCCATTGACTGAGGAGGTGGTTCGATTGGGCCTGGTCTCCAGCGTCGAGGGTGCCCGAGGACTGAACTGCGATGAGGAGAGTAGATGGATGTGAGGGCTCTTGCCTGCGGCTGGCAGAGTGGCGATGGCTGACAGCGCTGCAGATTTAGGACTTTGTCGAGGTTGAGAGGCGGAGGCGCTCGGGCCGCTCGAAGATGCAGCGGATCTGCCTGGCTGGGCCTGTCTCGGCGACAGATGCGAAGGACCTGCCTTTAGGTACTGTTCCGACATTGTTTCGGATGCATACAAGGGAAGCTACGAGCCTCGATCGAGGTGAGGATGGTGGGATGAGGGTCGCGACGGGCTGGACGCAGTTGCCTTTTTCAAAGCATGCCGCCCAGTGAGGTCGAGGAGGCGACGGGGCTTGCTCTGCAGGTGGAGGTCTTGACCAAACGGTTCAGCGGGTGAGCTTGGAGGATGCAGAAGAGTGCGCAGTTTCAGTTGCAGTCGCAGTCGAGAGCCAGACGGGACGAGCCTGACGAGAGAGAGCCGCGAGGTGAGGCGAGAGAGCGGGTTCGATGTCGCCTTCAGGGGACGAGTGCTTGGGAAGCCGGGCTTGCTGGCGGCGAGTCCGCTCGAGTGTCCGAAGTCAGCATTGCTGTGTAGGAAGAGGGGAGAGATGCTGACGATGATTGCAGCGAAGGCGACGTGAACGAGGCGCAAAAGACAATTCCACACTGATTCCACTCCGGGCGGCGGCGGTCCCGAGCGCGGGTGAGCTATTTAAATCAATGCAGCTGCTCAGCCAGCAATAACTTTAAAAAAAATAAATGCCGCGACGAGCCATCAATGTCGACCCTCTTGGCAATGCATCGCAGGCATGCCTCAGCGGCTGACTCACATGCACCAAATCCAAAGCCAAAGAGCCTGCCAGAGCCCCTGACTTGGCCACTCCACCCCTACGGCCGTGCAGAGTGCTGCTCACGACTCGCGACGGAAAGCGCGGCGGCAGCGGCTACGACCTTGCTGGTGCCGTGCTGCCGGTCGAGGAGGGGGGATTTTCATACAGACGCGGCGACGCTCGTAGCGTTGGGCCGATCGCATTTGCATACTCTGAATGCCAGTCGACATGCGGACGAATCTGTTCGAAGCCGGTCTCGCCTCCGCTGCGCGCGAAATGAGACGAGGTGATCGGCAGAGGAGAGGGCCGCGCGTGACTTTGAGAGTGGCCGTGGCGCACTTGCAGGTGGGTAAATTCACGAGTGATCGATGCGCTGCGCAGCAAAGGAGACATCGGATGTCGCTCGAATGCGATCCTCTGATACTGCGCTTTGCAGTCTGCCGCACGATTGGACTTGCGCATGCGTTGACAAGAGGCCCGTGCACGGGAAGCTCCATCGCAGAAAGTTTTGGCGTCACCAAAGAACGATGGGCGTGGTGTCGGATAAGCCGATGCTCGACGCCTCCAGGACGATTCGGATCGGTTCAAGCGGCAGTGCAAGAGCTCGGTCTGCGCTCCTCGTACTGTCACTCGCCGCTCGATCGAGTGTCGGCTCCTCTTTCCAGGTCTACACATAAACGACGTGAGCGGAGGCGATAGCCGCTGCGAATCACCACATCGTACCTGCAGACCCTCTCACCAAATCGCACCTTTGCCAGTCGCTCGCGATGACGTCTACCTCCTTCCTTGAACACCTGAATTGTTCCGTCTGCCACTTGAGCTTTTCATTTGGGCCTTCCAGCGCTCTGTCGCCCGATCGCTCCACCTCGGCGGGCGAAGTCCCTTTTTGGATCGGCGAGGTCAGTCGCACACAGTCCCGCACCTGAACGGTTTCCGAGTTGCCTTTGACATGCCGCCACTCCTTCCCACGTTCCCATCATCGCAACAGTGCCAGCATGTTTTGTGCCACAAGCATTTGAGCGGTGAGCTTGCCCCTTCCATGGCCTGCCATCGTCGCCACGGGTTGCGTCGAGCCGAACATACGGCGGGAGAGCGGATAGGAGAGCAGCTTGGACTGACACTCGAATTTGCCACGCAGCCTCGGTCCCCGATGTCGAACTGCTGCCAGACCAGTTTCAGGCGACTTGCACTCAATGCCATCGACTCGTCTCGATGGTCCGGCTCGGCTCCAGCCACGTGCGTTACGATCGTCGCGACATCAGTGTGACTACATACTGTTGCTAGCCCAAGGCTTACCCCCAACGCTTTCTTCATCCGCCAAAGATCCCCGACGATGTCAGTCGACTTCTCCGGCCGGTCGACATGTCCTTGGCCGACATCATCGGCGCTTATCGCGTGAGTCAATGGCGTGCGGCTTTTTTTTTTTTTTTTTTACAGAACAGGCAAGCCAGACCATAACCAAGATGCCTACGTTACATTTGCTGTCAATCACTCGTTCCGCAGTTCCAGGTAAGCCTCTAACAAGGCTGCTCAATCCAGACGGTGTATCAAGTTGTATCTCAAGTCACTTTTCTTGGAGCTCCTGCACAGATCGAGCAAATGGCGAACATGATTGCGTACGTCGAACCAGACAAAATCTTCAGAAGGTTGTCTGCTTCGGAGCCTGACGTTTCGATTGACCATCACCTTCGAGAGCCAGCTTCCTCAAATCGCAGGCGCATAGACACAAGCAGGTGCTCGTTCACGTCAAAGGAGACCTTCGACAAGCGAGAAAGATCAAAAAGTATGTCTTCCGAGCTGCCAGAGCCTTCTCTGCGATGTTTCTCTACTCTGCTGACCTTCACTGACTCATTGCAGGGAGCTGGAAGACGCCAAGGCAGAAAACCGGATCTTGACCGACAAGATCAGAGCATGGCAGCTGCTCTCGGAGGGCAAGCAGGGCCAAGCCCAGCCGAGTCAGTCGTAAGTCGATCAGCGGCAGTCTGCATGAGGAATTGGCGAGCTGGCGTGATTTCTTTCCACTGACGATCAGAGTTGCTTGCATAATGCTGCAATAGTGAAACTTCTCGTTTCGGAGCTCAGGCTTTACAGACCCTTCAAGACGGGCCTGCAGAACGTGCGGAGCGGTTCATACTAATCAACCCCGCTCAAGAGCACCTTCGCAGCGACAATCAGCTGGACCCATTGCCGCACGGACTCTTCATCAAGCAAAATCCTCAACCGCCCCAGGATCGACCATTTCTTGCGTGAGTCTCCTTCTGTCTTGTGGATGCCTGCCGATGGACTGCAGCTAACAGTGGCTTTTTGTGCGGCAGTAGATCGCACCAACGTCCGTCGACGTGCTCTTCGGAGGTCTTCGCCTTCAAGCCACCGCCTTTTGCAGAAGTATCGCCGTGTCCCCGTTGGAGCCGGCCAGATGATGCAGGTAAGCGACGTTCGCTCTAACGTGATCTCATCCCTTCGCTTCACTTGCCGATGGCTGACGACGACCTCGTCCACCGGCTCTGTATGTCGAGCAGAGAGCAACGTCCCGCAGCAACAACCGGCACCCCTCTTCCGGGGCATGGCCGCACCAGCCGCTCAAAATCACACCACGCAATTGGCGAGCCCCATGCAGGCCCAAGTCCAGCACCATGGCCCGCGTGCCTCTTCGCGACATGGGCCCATGCACATGGTTGGCATGCCATCCGGCATAGCCTCGAGCTCGCGTTCCATGCCCACATTGGCACGAACCGAGGAAGAGCTGGCTCCGCGCCAGCATGTTGGCGCCTGGCATACCGCAAGAATGTGGGGCCCGAGCAGGAGGACAGAATCGCCCGCAAGGGGAAGCCTCGGTGCACCTATGGCGAGGTTGCCTGCATCTGAGCGGTCGCACGCACGACGAGATGGATTGGCACCGGTCGGGCACCAGACTCATACCGTCAAGAAGGAATGAGAAAGCGGGCAGGCGACTGGGTTGCACGCATGTAATGCAAAGGTGCCGATCAGATACAAGTACAGGGATGAAATTGGGCGTGAAGGCTGCCGACGACGATGGCGTTCGAGGTCGGTTGTGGTCCGCGCGTGCAAGCGGTGGTGCATGGACCTCAAGATGAGGGCTGCCTCTTGCGGACGAGCGCCCACGGTACGTGGAGAGGCGCGTCAGTCCGAGTCGATCTCGATGACATCGCGGTGGGAATCGTTGAGGCTGCGACCGGCTGAGCTCGATGGGGTTCCATAGCGGCTGCTTCGGGAGCTCTCGCCGAGAACGCGACCACCGCCAAGCGTGAATGCGGTCTGCTCAGGCTTTGGCTTGGTGTCCTGCGCCTCTTGAGGCTTTGCTCTGGGCGCGCGTCCCGACAGTGTAGTGCCTGATCCGGAAAACGTCTCTGTTGGCTTGTCGTTTGCAGCTTCGCTGGGTTTGCCGCCGACGGGGATCACCTCGTAGCCGAAGAAGAGCTTGCCGAAGGGCAGATTGAGTGCTGCGGGGATCTTCTTCTCGGTGAGCTGAGTGTCGTTGGTGACGATGCGCGGCATGTCGGTGCGTCGGATCATGCTGAATGGGTCAAGCTGCTCGATCTGGCGGTCCTTCTTGCCCTTGCTCTTCTTGCCGCTCAGCGTCTGACCTGCGCCACGGAAGGGGCCGGCAGGAGTGGCGACGCCCGAGCCGCCTGCTGCACTTGTGCCTGCAAGCGAGCCTGGTGTGGATGTGCGCGTGGGAGGGATGGACTCTACGCGGTTGCTGTCAATGTTGAGCTTGGATGCCATTGTGGGCGGTGGAGGACGTGGCTGCGGAGTGGGCTCGACGTAGCCCTTTGGTGGAGCAAAGTCGACCTCGAGATCGGTCTCGATGATGGAGATGCCGTCGGCGTTGGGAGTGATCTCCATGATGAGGATCTCAAAGGTGAGGCAGTTGTAGCTGATCTCGACAATGTCGCCGGGAGTGAGCGCGGAGAAGTTGCGGAAGGCCTGCTCCAGCACCGCCTTGGGGTCGCTGATCTCGAGAAAGTCGACGGTCTGCGGCTGGATCTTGACCATCTTGCCCTTGGGCAGCGTCGCACCCGTGAGTCGAATGGGATCTCCCTCGGAGAGGCCAAGGGTGCGCATCATCCATGCGGGGAGGTGAACGTTGCCCTCGTCGGCAATGAACTCGAGCACACCTGCGTGGGTGCGGCGAACCTCGGAGGCGCCTGTGCTGCGCAGCTCGAAGAACCACGGCGACTCGATCTCGAGGTTGGTGAGATGCGCGAGCGCCGACGGCGGCATGATGATCTTGCCTCCGTAGCTGACGTTGAGGCGCTCCTTGCCCGGCAGCATCGCCATGCTGTAAGCTTTGAAGTACTCGTCGTACGCTCGTGGCGGACGCGGAAAGCGAGGATCCATGCCATTCTGCATGAACCGGTTGAGGCCGGCAAAGCTGCCGTCGATGCCCCCGAACATCGACATCGTGCGAAAGATGAGGTGCCAGTGACAGTGATTGCTGGTCGGTACGGGGAGCCGGTTGGCAGGTAGCGTTGGTGCTTGCTTTGTGTGACCTGGTCGTGTGAACTTCTGAACAGCTCGATCAGCTGAGCCTGATTGCAAAGTCGGGTGATGGTGCCCTTGCCGAGTCGGTGTCTGTGGCGCTTCTTCAGGCGCTTGCTGGCAGAGAGTGGTGGGAGATGGTGGTATCAAGCTAGGCTGTCACGGTCCGTGTTGCTGCTGAGCCTCGCCGCCTTCCACGGTCCAAATCGACACGCACCCTCAAAGTCACAAGTGGAGGCTCAAGCCGAACGGCCTAACACTTTGGAATTGACGCGGCCTCGCCGGAATGGATTTGTCACGCTTACCTCCCGGCAAAGCTTTGGAGGTGGACGGCGACGCGGCACGCACCGCCAGTCCAATTTCTTCTTTTTGCTTCTTCCCGGACCAACACACGCGCGCGCGGGGGCCAGACTGCGCTGTGCTGAGCCTTTTTTCCTCTCATTGCACTTTAGACGGCGGCTGTGGTGGTGTGTGGCAGCGAGGGCTCGCGTCTCTGCACAAATTGGAAAGGTGGCTCGAGTGTGTTGCTCTTGTGCGTAGCCGCATCGTGCTCTATCGTCGCGATCACCACCCGTTCTTCTCGACTCTCGTCTCGCAGTGTTTCGGATCGCTCTCTTGCGCTTGATCATCAGCTAGTGTGCTCTTTGGTGTCAACAACCGCTTCCGCGCACGTCGAGCTCTCACAACGAAACCCGGCGCTCCGAACCGACCGCAGCGCTCTATATAGACCCCGACCCAATATGTCCGCAGCAGCACCTGCCGCTGCGCCGGTGGCACGAGGTGGCCCTTCGCAGAATGCCTTCAAGAACGCAGACAAGCCCGACGAGGTGCGCAGGTCCAACCTGTCCGCCGCCAAGGCCGTGAGCGATGCCGTGCGCACCTCGCTCGGCCCCAAAGGCATGGACAAGATGATCCAGACGTCCAACGGCGAGGTCGTCATCACCAACGACGGCGCCACCATCCTCAAACACATGGCCGTCATGCACCCCGCTGCACGCATGCTCGTCGAGCTCTCGCAGGCGCAGGACGTCGAGGCCGGCGACGGCACCACCTCGGTCGTCGTCGTAGCCGGCAGCCTGCTCGGCGCGGCCGAAAAGATGCTCAACAAGGGCATCCACCCGACCATCATCGCCGAGTCCTTCCAGAAGGCCGCCACCAAGGCTGTCGAGTTCCTCACCGACATCTCGACACCCGTCGAACTCAACGACCGCGAGTCGCTCCTGCGCGCCGCCAGCACTAGTCTCAACTCCAAGATCGTCTCGCAGTACTCGTCCGTCCTTGCCCCCATCGCCGTCGACGCCGTCACCCGCCTAGTGATGCCCGCCGCCCAGTCCAGCAACAAGGCGGCCGCCGCTGCCGCACCAGCATCCGCCTCGACCACTGAGGGCGCTCCTGCCGCGCGCGCCTCGCGCTCGGCGGATGCGCAGGACAATGTGGATCTGCGCGACATCCGCATCGTCAAGAAGGTCGGCGGCACCATCGACGACACGGAGCTCGTCGAGGGCCTCGTGCTGGCGCAGAATGTTGTGTCGGGCAGCGGCGGCCCCACGCGCATGGAGAAGGCCAAGATCGCCGTGTGCCAATTCCAGCTGAGCAGCCCCAAGCCGGACATGGACAACCAGATCGTGGTGAACGACTACCGCCAGATGGACAAGATCCTCAAGGAGGAGCGCCAGTACCTGCTCAACATGTGCAAGAAGATCAAGAAGACCGGATGCAACGTGCTGCTCATCCAAAAGTCGATCCTGCGCGATGCGGTCAACGAGCTGGCGCTGCACTTCCTCGCCAAGCTCAAGATCCTCGTGGTCAAGGACGTGGAGCGCGACGAGATCGAGTTTGTGTCCAAGACGCTGGGTGCCAAGCCAATCGCCGACATCGAGGCGTTCAGCGAGGACAAGCTGGCGTCGGCGGAGCTGATCGACGAGGTGCAGCAGAACGGCGCGCGCGTGGTCAAGATCACGGGCATCAAGAACATGGGACGCACCGTCAGCATCCTGTGCACGGGTGCCAACTCGCTGGTGCTCGAGGAGAGCGAGCGCAGTCTGCACGATGCGCTGTGCGTGGTGCGATGCCTGGTGAAGAAGAAGGCGCTCATCGCGGGCGGCGGTGCGCCCGAGGTGCACGTGTCGCGTCTGCTGGCGCAGCACTCGCAGACGCTCAAGGGCATGGAGGCGTACTGCTTCCAGGCGTACGCCGAGGCGCTCGAGGTGATCCCCACGACGCTCGCCGAGAACGCAGGTCTGAACCCGATCAGCATCGTGACCGAGCTGCGCAACCGCCACGCGCTGGGCGAGCGCACGGCGGGCATCAACGTGCGCAAGGGCCAGATCACCAACATCCTCGAGGAAAACGTGCTGCAGCCGCTGCTCGTCAACACGAGCGCCATCGAGCTCGCCACCGAGACCGTGGCGCTGCTGCTCAGGATCGACGACTACCACCTGTCGCGCTGAGGCGCCTTGCACATCGCGTGGGAGAAAAAATGAAAACACATCTGTCTTGTACCATCAATGTCTCTTGAAGGAGGGGTGTGCGAAGCGACTTGTCGAGCTGAAGACCCGACGGAAGGTGAGGTACATCGGGATCTGGAGCCGATACGAAGAGTGGATGCCGATGGGAGCGAAGGGCGATGACGAAAATGAGAAATTCGGTTGCCGTGCAGAGTGAGCAGAGTGATGCAAGGGCGGGCGACGCAAGCTGACGCCACGACGCTGTTGCTCGGCTGGGTGGCAGGCGAGCTTCTTGCGATGCAACCGCTTCCGCTCTCCGCTCGCTTTTTTCGAAAAAAAAAATCCCTTTGCAAGCTGAATAATTGGAGCGGCCGAGTTGGAGCGAAAAGAAAACAATCAAAACAAGCCGCACGGTGCCGATGTCCGCATGGTCGTCCGGGACACCGCTGTCCAACGCACTACAGCGTCGAAGGTCGACCGAATGGGTGCGTGTAGAGTTCAACTGCAGGGCTCGTGAAGCGCATTGTGTGCGGATCGCCCAGCAGACAAGGGTCTTGTAGCGCCATGGCTTTCAGGATGTGCAATGGCCGGGGCTCCTCGTCGCAAGCACGACCAGCGCGACTCAAAGTGTCGTGGGTTTGTGCGCAAGACGTTCGATCGTCACGAGTGCATGGATCGAACGCCGGCGACGATCCTCGACAAGTGCGCCCTTTTGCGACAGTGCAAGACCCTTTTCTGTCCGATCTGCGCACTGCGTGCTGTGGCAGTGGGGGCAGTTTCGGAATCGGAGCTGGCGAACCAGACCAAAGGCCATGGGCAGCAGCACAAAAGTTCAGCAGGCGGGCCAGGCAGGCCGGTCGTCGGAGTTTTTTTCTCTCTTCTTTGCACTGGGTCGTGTGCACTTCCACCCGACCGAGACCGTTTGCGCGCGTCGAGGGATCGGCAAGAGCAGCAGCAGCTGCAGCCATCTGCACGAAGCTGCATGAAGCCCTCGAAAATTTCGCAATTCGAAATCGCCAAATCGGCTGCGCTGCGAGGGCTGGCCAAGGGTGAGAGGGCTGGCCCAACACGTGCAGATTTCAAAGCGGCTGCCATTTTTCAAAGTCGAGCAAGCCTGCCATCTGGCGCATTGGTGCATCTGGCCGTCTTTTCGCCGAGCGCTGGCTTGGCAGGGCTACGCTGGCTGATCAATAGATCGCTTCCGATCTTCAGGTTGCGTCTCGCCAGCAGCTCGCCAACACTTGGAGCTCCGAGACAGAGAGCGCGCGCTCGCGTGCAGGCGGACGATTTATTGTCTGCCATGCGAACCCCTTCCTTGCACTCGCAGCTGTCTGCTGCCAAGACGTCCAAGCCGCCGCACCTCGAGCTTGGCAAGCACGACCAGGGACAGGGTCTGCGATAGGAAACCAAAACATCCCGCGCCCTCCAAATTGACCGCAGGAGACTAGATATGGATGGTGGGAGGCAGTCCTATGAAAAGCGGCAGAGAGAGGGGCTCGAGTCGATAATGCAAGAGAGAGGGGCCAGTCGAGCCCCTTTTTTTTTTCTCTCTTTCTCAATCCTGTTGTTGCCTCGGAGCGCGCGTCCCTTCCTTTTTTCGCTTCAAAACACCGCACACCTCGCGGACTGGGCAGCAACTCCTTTTTTGTTTTTAAATTTAGACCGAAAGAATTTCAAACGTAGGGTTGGCAGGCAGGCAGGCTGGCCCCTGAGTGGTGCACCTTTTTTGGTGTCGGGCGGTGCGTCGGCTGTGCGTGCGCGTTGGCTGTTGCTGTTGCTGTTGGTGAAGCAGGTGGTGCAGCTGCAGCGGCGGCGGCTGCGTTGCTGATTCCTCGATCCATCCAGACTGCCGTGTTTTTGCATGCGTTCGCCAACCCGCAGCCAAGGGGCGAGCAGCTGGCGCTTGGCTGTTGCCGGTGTGGCTGTCGGATGCCTTCCTACGTCCTCTGTCTCGCTTTCCACCCTCCCCTCGCTGCCTCGCCTGTCTCGCCATCCTCGCCCGCTTGCTTGCTCGCTCGGTGCTGCCCGCAAGGTTTGGCTTCCCTCTCTCTCTCTCTCTCTCTCGCCCTCTACCTCCTAGACCCCGTTCTTCCCTCAAACTTGCGCTGACGACCGCAGGCACAATCGGTCTTGACAGCCAGCCAGCCAGCCAGCCGGCCAGCTAGACCAGCAACAGACGACGCTCGTCCGCTCCACTCCGTCTAGCCCAACCCAGCTCGCTAGCTTGGCCCTATCCCCGTTTGTACTCCTCACGACCTTACTTCTCTCCTGCCGCCTTCCCTCCGTCCGAACCCATCGGCATTGGCCAGTTCCTCCACCACCACCAACCGCGAGGCCGTTCTCCCGTCTCTTCGGAACACCACGCACGCACACACGCACGCACGCAAGCACGCTCGCTGCGTCGGCCTCGCCTTCACCACGGCCTTGTGCGCTGCTCCACCTCTTTTCACAACACGGACTGGCAGACGTCTGACCAACCGCGCCACCAAGCTGGCTAGCCATTCCCCACCTGGCTCCATCGGCTTGCTCACTGGCTCGCAAACACTCGCTTCTTCCACACATAGAGGCGTCAGCGACCCCAAACACCCGCCCCACCGCGTGGCAGCCATCTCCAGATTCGACTTGATGCCCCGCCGTGCGCTATAGACTGCTCTCGTCTTCCACTTCTTCGCACCTCCTCTCTCTCTCTCTCTCTCTCCAAGACTAGTCACAACGCTCGCCCGTCCTCCTTGGCTTCACCATGAACCCTTTCGAATCCGCTGCAGACGGCAGCCCGGCGAGGCAAGGCCGCAACGACGGCCCTCCTCCACTGCCTCCCCTCACCATCCCAGGCGGCGCGCGATCCCCACCACCGCCCTTCAATCCGCAGCAACCACTCCAACATCACCCCCAGTCCGGTCATCTCGCACAACACCCACCGCAACACCAACACCACCCCCAATTCGCTCCGCCGCGCTCGCAGCAGCCTCCCTTCTTCTCGCCTCCGCTCGGTGCTGGCGCCGCATTGCCTCCCAACAGCAACATGGCACCCGGAGGCAGCCATCAGGCGTATCTCAACCCCAACGGCCCTCCTCGCCCCGCCGGCATCTCGTTCCAAGAGCCACAGCGCATCCCCGCTCAGCGCTCCGGCCCTTCGCGCGAGTCGGTCAAGTCGTACGGCGACGACAAGCGCGGCCTCAACGACCCCAACAGCAGCACCACCGCCCTCAACCAGGTCAACACTCTCGATCCCGAGTCCGGCTTCTCGGCACAGAATGCCAACTTCCGTCGCAAAAAATCGCTCGTCCGTCCCGACCGTGAACGCATGGACCCCAACCATCGCCAGTGGTACTACCGCAACCATGCCGCCCACATGGACGTCATCGCCGGCTCTGGCGGCCGATTGGGCTACATGCCCTCCACCACCGGCCACCTTCCTCAGCACGGCGCCGCCCCTCACGGCTCCGGAATGGCTGGCATCGTCGGTCCCGGAGGCGGTCTCAGCGGCCTCGGCGTCACCGGTCCTTCCAACGTGCCCCCCGGCGGTCTCGGACGTGCGCCTCCCCTCCGTCGCGGCAAGTCCATCCTCGGCAGAGACGAGGACCAGATCGAGACCGGCATCAACGTGCTCAAGCGCGGCGTCTCGCTCCGTCGCAAGCAGTCCAAGTCCGGTCGAGTCTCCAAGGAGGTGCCCCGCGACCTCGGCGAAGGCAAGAGCTCCCGCATCGCTCCCGGCCCCGTCGGTGCATGGATGATCTACTGCTACGTCCTCACCATTTGCTGCCCAGGCCCTTTCCTCCGCATCTTTGGCATCCGCACCCCCGAGCAGCAGCGCGCCTGGCGTGAGAAGATGGGCCTCATCGGCATCATCACCCTCATCATGTCCGCCGTCGGCTTCCTCACTTTCGGCTTCACCCAGACCGTCTGCGGCACCCCTCCCGACCGCTACACCCTCGGCACCATCGACGTCGGCTCCATGACCTTCAACGGATACGACTACAGCTTTGACGGCTTCATTCACCCGCAGGTCGGCCCCTTTCGCGCCGACACGATCTACAACCGCACCAACCCCATCTACTCGGAACCCTGGTCCTCGGGTGGCCAGGACGGCAGTCTGCTCTTCCAAAAGATCGGCGCCGCCTGCTCCAGCCTCATCACCAACCGCGCCGGCGGCGGTCAGCCCGAGCGTTACTTTGACTGCACCCTCGTGCGCCAGGACGGCAAGGGCGGCTACGCCAACAACACCGCGCCCATGTGCCACACCGGCTCCATCGTCAACCAGTTCAACGACGGCGGCGTGCCTGCCAACCGTGTCCTCCGCAAGCGTGGCCAGGTCTCGCTCAACTGGAACAACGTCACCGACACCACGCGCAACCTCGCCGTCTTCCGCGGTGCCGTCCTCGACCTGAACCGTCTCAACAACCTCACCAACACGCTCGCCTACCCGGCGCTCTTTGACACGCTCAAGCGCCGCAACGACGAGTGGGCCGGCCGCGACGTCACCTCGGCCGTCATGCGCCAGCGCCTCGACAACGAGTTTGCCTGCCTCGAACAGATCACCCGCATCGGCTTCATCGACTCCGAGACCATCGGCTGCGTCGCCTCCAAGGTCGAGCTCTACCTCTCGCTCGTCTTTATCATTGGCGTCGTCGCCATCAAGTTCTTCATGGCCGTCCTCTTCGGCTGGTTCCTCTCGTGGCGCCTCGGCAACTACGCCAACGAGACGTACGAGCAGCGCATGAAGCGTGCCGCCGAGATCGAGCAGTGGTCCGACGACATCTACCGTCCCGCCCCGGCCGGATACCGTCCCAACGCGCGCAAGCACAAGTCGTTCCTGCCTACCCAGAGTCGATTCTCGGTCGCCGACCCGCTCAGCCTCAAGAGCGGCTCGCGCGCTCCCATGCCGCTCAGCGAGAAGCGCATGACCCGTGCTGGCCGTCTCGGCGTCGCATCGCCTCTGGGTGGCTCACCGCCGGGCTCGCCTTCGGTCGCTGGAGGCCGAAGCTCCGCCTCGTTGGCGCCCAAGGGCGACCACTCGCGCCGTTCGTCGCTGTCTGGCGGCCCTGGCGAAGGCGCCATGGGTGTCTGCCCCTTCCCTCTGCACAACATCGTTCCTCAGCCCGGGCCCGACTACCGACCTTTCGGCTTCCAGCTCGCCCACTCGATCTGCCTCGTTACCGCCTACTCCGAGTCCTTCGAGGGCCTCCGCACTACGCTCGACAGTCTCGCCACGACCGACTACCCCAACAGCCACAAGCTGCTCCTCGTCATCGCCGATGGTATCGTCAAGGGCGCTGGCTCGGACATCTCCACGCCCGACATCTGTCTCTCCATGATGAAGGACCTCGTCATCCCCGCCGAGGAGGTGGAGGGCAACTCGTACGTCGCCATCGCCGACGGCTACAAGCGTCACAACATGTGCAAGATCTACGCCGGCTTCTACGACTATGACGACGAGACGGTCGAGCGCTCCAAGCAGCAGCGCGTTCCCATGATCCTGGTCGCCAAGTGCGGCACTCCGCTCGAGGCCGACAGCGCCAAGCCAGGCAACCGTGGCAAGCGTGACTCGCAGGTGCTGCTCATGGCGTTCATGCAAAAGGTCATGTTTGACGAGCGCATGACGGCGTTCGAGTACGAGTTCTTCAACAGCATCTGGCGCGTCACGGGCGTCTCGCCCGACAACTACGAGGTCGTCCTGTGCGTCGACGCCGACACCAAGGTCTTCCCCGACTCGCTCTCGCGCATGGTCGCCTGCATGGTCGAGGACCCGGAGATCATGGGTCTCTGCGGTGAGACCAAGATCGCCAACAAGTCCGAGACCTGGGTGACCATGATTCAGGTGTTCGAGTACTACATTTCGCACCACCAGACCAAGGCGTTCGAGGCGTGCTTCGGCGGTGTCACGTGTCTGCCCGGCTGCTTCAGCGCGTACCGAATCAAGGCGCCCAAGGGCCCGCACGGCTACTGGGTGCCCATCCTGGCCAACCCGGACATTGTGGAGCACTACTCGGAGAACGTGGTGGACACGCTGCACAAGAAGAACCTGCTTCTGCTCGGCGAGGACCGCTACCTGACGACGCTCATGCTCAAGACGTTCCCGAAGCGAAAGATGATGTTCGTGCCTCAGGCGGTGTGCAAGACGATCGTGCCCGACACGTTCCGCATCCTGCTCTCGCAGCGTCGTCGATGGATCAACTCGACCGTGCACAACCTGTTCGAGCTGGTCATGGTCAACGATCTCTGCGGTACCTTCTGCTTTTCGATGCGCTTCGTCGTGTTTATGGAGCTGACGGGTACGCTGGTGCTGCCGGCCGCCATCGCGTTTACCCTCTACGTCGTGGTGCAAGCCTTCCTGCCCAACGTGCCGACGCCGACGATCCCGCTCATCCTGCTCGCCCTCATTCTGGGTCTGCCTGGTATCCTGATCGTCGTGACGTCGCGCAAGATCGCCTACGTGGGCTGGATGCTCATCTACCTGCTCTCGCTGCCCATCTGGAACTTTGTGCTGCCGCTGTACGCCTACTGGCACATGGACGACTTCTCGTGGGGCGCGACGCGTGTCGTGCAAGGCGAGAACAAGAAGGACAACCACGGCGACGCCGACGGCAAGTTTGACCCCTCGCACATTGTCATGAAGCGCTGGGCCGAGTTCGAGCGCGAGCGACGCTGGAAGTCGGGCACGCACTCGCGCGATTCGACGTACGACGTGGTGCAGCGCACCGGCTCGCCCGAGAGGTCCGGCAGCACGCGCTACTCGGTCGTGTCGTCGGACACGTTCCACTCGAATCCGTCGGGCCAGCACGACCAGTTTGGCCGCGCTCTGCCCAACCCGTCGTCGTCGAGCGCATCGCAGTTTGCGCCCGACGCCTCGGAGATGTCGCACGCCAAGAGCGCCTCGGGTGCGCGAGCGCGCCTGGATTCGGTGCCGCTGCTCGAGCTGCCGGCACCGTTGGCGACAGACGCCAAGCAGCGATCGGGTGCCTCGCCACCAGGCACGGTGGTGGTGCCTCGACCGCGCGCCACTTCGCCGTCGAACCTGCCGCACAACTCGACGCACCCGGCGCTGGGCAGCGTGCACGCCTTCTCGCCCACGCAGCACAGCGCCGCTAGGCTTCCGACGGCGCCGAGTGCGGGTGTCTACGAGGCCTACCCTCACACGGACATTGCCGACGACGAGAAGCGACCGATGATCGGATCGACGTCGAGCTCGCCCGATCCCGAGCCGCGTCGATACGTGGGTGCAGACGAGGCGGTGCGCCATGGCAACGTGTCGACCGAGCAGCGCTACCCGGCGGTGAGCGAGTCGGCGTACCCGATGCAGGCCTATACGGCTGAGCCCGAGTCGGACGTCTCGATGTCGCCGAGCGCAGCGCAGCAGCCCTTTGCTCCCTCGGCGGCCCTGCAGAGCCGTCCGTCGACGCGCGGATTCAGCCTGGTCGACGATGGTCCCGTAGCCAATGCGCAGGGCGTGCGTCAGGTGCAGCGCGGTGCGCGTCGCTCGCAGCTGCCCAACGCGGCCACATCACCACCCACGGCGACATCGCCAGCGACTGGCAGCAGGACGGGCAACCTCCCGCCTGGAGCAGCGCCGCCCAGCTTCGACTGATTCCGGACGCACCGAGACACACACACACACACACACGCACACGTGAACAATCAATGATCCCCTGGAGTTGCAACGCTCGCATTGTCTCGTTTCAGCTCTGCATTTCCTTTGACCCTTTATCCCTCCATACGCCGCCCGCCACGCTCTTTGGCCTATTCCCACAATCTTCCTCTTTTCCCCCTTCGCTTTCTTAATGTTATCTCGACGAGTCGAGCTTATCGCTCAGCGCTCAGCTGCAAGGCTCGACGGCCCAAAACGTAATCTCAATGGACAGTATTCTTTGCGCTTTCTGGCAGAGGCTGTGTTGTGTGGCTGCCGTGGTGTATGCGGTGCCATGAAGCTGAAGGACCGGCAGCTAGATGGTGAGCGACGTCCACGAACCAGCAGGTGCGGACTCGCCGCCTGAGTGAAGTTGACCGCGGGCATGAGCGACAAAATTCATTATCTCCGGCTATCCATCGAGAGTGCGCGGGCCGCATTGATCCTGCTCAGTCGGCTGGGTCGAGCGAAAATTGGCAGCCGAGGACTTACGTGAGGCCGCCACGCTATCGCTATTGTGCGCTGTGCCGCTTCCGCTGCATCGCCGATCCGCATGCGCCATGCCGACGTGACGTGGATGCGGTGCCTGACTGGAGTCGAGAGTCGAGTCGAGTCGTCTTGAGGCCGCAGTTGGCCTGCGAGAGAGAGCGGATGCGTCGTCCCCCCTCTTTTCTTGAATTCCCCAAAATCCGGCCGTGTGGAGAAAAAGGCTTTGGAAAAAGGCTGAGCTGACAGACCGCGCTGCGTTCAGGGCGGCAAGAAGACAGGCAAGTCGCCGTCATCATTTGCTCGTGCGCCCTCGTGCTTCTTCTGCCACCACACATCCTTGTTTCCGTCGCCAACGCTTTCGATCCCATCATCTCCGCAGTGCTTGACGTCCGTAGCATCGCGGTCTCTCGGATCGGACTCCCACTCGACGAATCGACTCGACGATTCGCTCTTCTGGTTTCTGGGCAGCTCCGTTCGCTCTGCTGGCTGGCTTAGGATCGGCTCCACCACTCGACAGTCGCACCTGTGAGGGCTAGCTCGTTGGCCCAACAGCAGCTCGGAATATGGACGGTTCTGCGCCGGTCGAGGAGCTCGGCTCCTTGTCCAACTTTGACGCCTCTCTCCAAGCGCATGTCGTGGGCGCCGATCCGGTCCTGAGCCTGCCCCTCCGCTTGTTCTCGTCGACGCTTGGACAGCTGCGCCGCCACTCGACGCTCTCCAACCTCTGCGACAACGTCGAAGGCTGGGGCCCCGTCTCGCAGCAGCGCGACCTCGACTTTACTCCCTGCTTCCAGGAAGCCGCCTTTTGGACCGCGCCAGTCTTCCTCCTCGCCGTGTTCGGCGGCATCCATCTGGCTATCCTCTCCAAGCGCCAAGATCGATCCCTCACGCGCACCTCGCGCACCGTACTGCGCGCGAAACATGTCGTCGTTGCTGCTCTCGCCGTCGCTGCCGCTTTCCAGGCCTCCATCTCGTACGGCCTCTTTGCCAAACCAGGCGAGTCGATCCTGTTCTGGTCCTCGATCGCCGGCGTCGGCGGCTACCTTCTCGTCTTGCCGCTTCAGCACTTCAACCATCTTCGCTCGCGTCGCAGCTCCGATGTGCTCCTCTTCTTCTGGCTCGCCCATTTCCTCGCCAGCATCGTCAAGTTGCGCACCTCGATCACACCGCCCTCGCTTCCGGTCAAGGATCAGCTCGTCACCTTGGTGCCCTTCCTCGTTCGCTTTGTCCTCGGCATCTTCGCCTTTGTGCTCGAGTGTCTCGGCGTCGAGCTGGGCTCCTTCGATGATGCCGACCACAAGCGCGCCTCGTCCGTCGCCGCTCGTACCAACGGCAACGGCTACCACGCCGTCCCTGCCGAGGCCAACGGCAGCGCGTTCAGCGTCTTCACCGACGACCACGAGGCCAACGCTCACAACAACGACCCAGTAGACTCTGGAAAAGAATGCCCCGTCGTCACCGCCAACATCTTCAGTCGCATCACCTTCCACTGGATGCAGCCGCTCATGACGCTCGGCGCTAAAAAGTTTGTCACCGAAGACGACATGTGGGCCTTGCCCGCCAATGAGGACGCAGAGAACCTCGGCAGGCGCTTCGACCGCTTCTGGAAGCAGACCAAGAACAAGTCCACGGGCAAGCCCGCCTTCTGGACCACCCTCGCCTACTCGTACGGAGGTCCCTTCCTCTTTGCCGCCATCCTCAAGATGGCCCAGGACACGCTCGCGTTCGTGCAGCCCCAGATCCTCCGCAAGCTGCTCCAGTTCGTCCAGAGCTACGAAAGCGAGGACCAGAACCAGTCCGCCATGCAGGGCTACCTGCTCTCTGCCGCCCTCTTCTGCGTCGCCGTCACACAGACCTCCTTCCTGCACCAGTACTTCCAGCTTGTCTTTGTCACCGGCATGCGCGTGCGTGCCGGTCTGGTCAGCGCCATCTTCAAGAAGAGCCTGCGCCTCTCCAACGAGGACCGCGGCGGCAGGGCTACAGGCGACATTGTCAACCTCATGTCCGTCGATGCCACGCGTCTCCAGGACCTCTGCACCTACGGCCACATCGCCTGGAGCGCCCTCTTCCAGATGACTCTCGCCTTTGTCTCGCTGTACAACCTGCTCGGCTGGCCCTCGTTTGTCGGAGTCGCCATCATGGTGGTCAGCGTGCCGCTCAACACGGCGCTCGCCCGCTACCTGCGTCGTCTCAGCGAAAAGCAGATGAAGGTCAAGGACAAGCGCACGCGCCTCATGAACGAGATCCTCACCAACATCAAGTCGATCAAGCTCTTCGCCTGGGAGGAGGCATTCACCCGCAAGCTCTTCAAGGTGCGCAACGATGAGGAACTCAAGCTCCTCCGCACCGTCGGCGTCGTCTCGGCCTTCTTCAACTTCTTCTGGACCGCCATCCCCTTCTTCGTCTCGCTCGGCACCTTTGTCACCTACGCCTACACCAACCCCGAGCCGCTCACCGCCGACGTCATTTTCCCCGCCCTCGCCCTCTACCAGCTGCTTTCGTTCCCCATCGCCATGTTCGCCGGCATCATCTCCGCGCTCCTCCAGGCGCAGGTCTCGGCACAGCGTCTCTCTGACTTCTTCGATGCGGGCGAGCTCGACCCGCAGGCTCGCAAGGTCATCCTGCCTGGCCAGCGCGAGCCCATCAATCCGGATGCCCCCTCGCGTCCCGGCGATGTTCTCGAAGCGCTCAACGACACCGATGCGCGCGAGCCGCAGCAGGGCGACGAGATTGTCACCATCCGCGACGGCGAGTTCAAGTGGTCTCGATCCCAGCCGGTCCCGACGCTCCAGGACATCAACCTCACCGTCAAGAAGGGCGAGCTGCTCGCCGTGCTCGGCAAGGTCGGCGACGGCAAGAGTTCGCTGCTCTCGGCGATCCTGGGTGAGATGGTGCGCACCGATGGCGAGACCGTCATCAAGGGACGCACGGCCTACTTCACCCAGGGTGGCTGGTGCATGGGTGCTACGGTGCGCGACAACATCCTTTTTGGCCTCAAGTACGAGCCCGAGTTCTACCAGCGCGTCGTCGACGCCTGTGCCCTGACGCCCGACCTCAACATCCTGCCCGAAGGCGACCGTACCGAGGTCGGTGAGCGCGGTGTCAGCCTGTCTGGTGGCCAGCGAGCGCGTATTGCGCTGGCGCGCGCTTGCTATGCCCGAGCCGACATCTACCTGCTCGACGACCCGCTGGCTGCGGTCGACGCTCACGTTGGCGCGCACATCTTCAAGCATGTCATTGGTCCCGAGGGCCTGCTTCGCAGCAAGGCCCGTATCCTCACGCTCAACTCGGTGGCCTGCCTTCCCGACTGCGACCAGATCGTTTCGGTGCGACGCGGTATCATCCTGGACGAGCGTGGAACATACGACCAGGTCATGGCCAAGAAGGGCGACTTGTACAACCTCATCACCGGACTGGGCAAGCAGAGCGCACGCGAGCAGGCGGCGGAGGACGGTGAAGGCGACGTGTCCGCCAAGGAGCTCGAGGTGATCGACATGGACAAGGAGCTCGACTCGCACGGACAGGGAGGCGACGAGGATCTCAAGGGCTCCAAGCTGCATCGCCGCATCAGCTCGGCCTCCATGGTGCGTCCCAAGACGCTGTCCAAGAGGCAGATCAAGCAGGACACCATCCGCCAGCTCAAGGAGAGCTCGGCACCCAAGGAAAAGTCGGAGCAGGGCAGCGTCAAGCCCGAGGTGTACCGCCAGTACATCAAGAGCTGCAGCGTGCTCGGCGTCGTGCTCTACATTCTCGCCCAGGTGCTCTCGCAGGTCATGACCGTCTCGCGCGATGTCGTGCTCAAGCAGTGGGGCGCCGCGAACTCGGAGAACGGCGGCGACCCGTCGACCACGCGCTTCTACCTCATCCTCTACGGTATCGTCGGCATCCTCGCCTCGATCTGCATCTGCATCGCGCCGTTCATCCTGTGGACGTGGCTCGTGATCTCGAGTGCGCGCAAGTTCCACGACAACATGTTTGACGCGGTGCTGCGCAGCCCGCTGCAGTGGTTTGAGACCACGCCGACCGGTCGTCTGCTCAACCTGTTTTCGCGCGACGTCAACGTGATCGACGAGGTGCTGCCACGAGTCATCCACGGCCTCATCCGAACCATGGTCGTGGTGCTGGGTGTGCTGTGTGTGGTGGCCTACTCGGTGCCGCCGTTCCTGATCGCCATCGTCCCGCTCGCGTTTGCTTATCGCGCGGTGCTTCGCTACTACCTCGCCACGAGCCGCGAGCTCAAGCGACTCGACTCGGTGAGCAAGACGCCCATCTTTACGTGGTTCCAAGAGTCGCTCGGTGGTCTCAGCTCGATCCGTGCGTTTGGACAGGAGTCGCGCTTCATCGCCACGTCCGAGGCGCGTGTGGACCGCAACCAGCAGTGCTACTTCCCCGCGGTCTCGTGCAACCGCTGGCTAGCGGTACGCATCGAACTGATGGGCTCGGTGATCATCTTTGTCGCCTCGACGCTCGCCGTCTTCATCCGCACGAGGAACGGCAAGATGGACGCGGGCCTGCTCGGACTGATGATGTCGCAGGCGCTGAGCACGACGCAGACGCTCAACTGGGTGGTGCGATCGGCGTCCGAGGTGGAGCAGAACATCGTGAGCGTCGAGCGCGTCATGTCGTACACGGACCTGGTGTCCGAGGCGCCGTACGAGGTGCCTGACCAGACGCCGCCGGAAGATTGGCCGAGCAAGGGCGAGGTGAGCATGCAGTCGTACTCGACGCGCTACCGCCGCGAACTCGGGCTGGTGCTCAAGAAGCTCAACCTGGACATCCAGGCGGGCGAGCGCATCGGAGTGGTGGGCCGAACGGGTGCGGGCAAGTCGAGTCTGACGCTGGCGCTCTTCCGCATCATCGAGGCGGCCGAGGGCAAGATTGTGATCGACGGCATCGACGTGTCCAAGATCGGACTCAAGGACCTGCGTTCGGCGATCGCCATCATCCCGCAAGACCCGCAGCTGTGGGAGGGAACGCTGCGCGAGAATCTCGACCCAACCGGACGCTCGGACGATGCGGCGCTGTGGAAGGCGCTCGAGCAGGCACGCATGAAGGAGCACGTGCAGAGCCTCGAGGGTGGCCTCGACGCACAGCTCACCGAGGGCGGCACCAACTTTTCGGCGGGCCAGCGCCAGCTGATCTGCATCGCGCGTGCGTTCCTGCGCAACGCCAAGATCCTGGTGCTCGACGAGGCGACGAGCGCCATCGACCTCGAGACGGATGCGCAGGTGCAGGCGATCGTGCGCTCCGAGTTCACGGGCACCACCATCACGGTGGCGCATCGTCTCAACACGGTCATCGACTCGACGCGCGTGCTCGTGCTCAAGGACGGCACCATCGCCGAATTCGACTCGCCCGACAACCTGCTCGCCAACAAGCAGAGCATCTTCTTCTCCATGGCGCTCGAGGCGGGACTCGCCAAGCTGGACTCCTAGCTCTAACCCCTCCCATACATACACACACACTCTTCTCATCTCAATACACAACTGTTTCGGTCGGATACTTTGCTGATGGTGCGTGCGGGTCTGTGCCGAGACAGGGTGAGCGATCGCAGAAATGAATCAAGTGAGATTGTGAAGGGGAGAGGGCGGATAAGCGGGAATGAAGGCTGCGGAGCGGCTCAACGCGTCGGCGCGATCCAAGCTTTGCCGCGGTGGTGCGCGCGTGCGTGGAGGGGAGCGGAAGGAAACAACACAATTTGGCTTCGGTTTGGGCACAGCAACACTTTCCGCCTTCCTCCACCACACTCTTCCGGCGTGCTTCTTGCTCCAATCGCAACCGCATCCGCATCCGCATCCGGATCAACCGCCGCCACCGCCGCCAACGCCCTTTCTTTAACAAGCACACACTCTCCTACTCCATCCAACCGCAGAGAGAGGGAGAGAGAGCCAGACAACATGGGCGAGTCGTGGACGGCGAATAGCTCCTCGGCCATGGCGATACGCCTGGTGGATTCACCACACGGCACCGATGCTGCCTTCCACCCGTCGTTCACCTATCCAATCTACGGCGAGGCAGAGACGATCTACGGCTACCAGGGACTCGTGCTCAACCTTGACGTGGCGTCGGGCAGTCTGGTGCCCAAGTTCGAGGTCAAGTACCGCGCCAAGAACGAGGCGACGACGGCCAAGCTCGACGATGTCGAGGGGATCATCAAGCCTTTCCTGCCGGCCGACTACATCTCGGCGTCGTCGTCTTCGTCTGCAAGCCAAGAGTTTGCAGCGGCACTGGAGAAGAGCTCGAGCTTCCGACCGCTGGGCGACAAGGTGCACAGCTACACGCGGCGCAAGGTGAACAAGGACAAGGGCAAGTCGGGCGGAGCGGCGTCCGCTGCGGCCTCGATGCTGGCCGAGGACGATCCGGAGGCGCGCGTGTTTGAGATCTATCGCGCCACGTGGGACACGCCTGGGTTCCGCGAGTACCACCGCCGCATGCAGCTGTTTGTGCTGCTGTTCATCGAAGGCGCGAGCTACATTCAGGAGGACGAGACCAACTGGGAGTTCTTCACGCTGTACGAAAAGGTGCGCGGCGCGGGCGGCGCCGACGATGACGCGACATGGCACTTCATGGGCTACACGAGCCTGTACAAGTTTTGGTGCTGGCCCGACTCGTCGCGCGTGCGTCTGTCGCAGTTTGTGGTGCTGCCGCCGTACCAGAAGCAGGGCCACGGCGGTGCGCTGTATACGACGGTGTACGATCAGATCCGCAAACGCAGCAGCGTTTCCGAGCTCACGGTGGAGGACCCGTCGGAGGACTTTGACCGCCTGCGCGATGGCAACGACCTGCGACGCCTGCTGGCGCCAGGCGGCTTTGTGGAAACCGCCAAGAAGCAAGGCAAGCTGCATGCGCCGCTGGACGCCGAGTGGATCGAGGCGCAGCGGCTGGAGCACAAGCTGGCGCCGCGCCAGTGGGCGCGCGTGCTGGAGATGGTGCAGCTCATGAACCTCGACACGGGCGATGCCGAGCAGATCCGACACTACCGCCTGCAGGTCAAGGCGCGCATCTACCGCCAGAACAAGGACATCCTCATCCAGCTCGACAAGACACAGCAGCGCGCTAAGTTGCAGGAGACGTTCGAGGGCGTCATCGACGAGTACGGCGACATGGTCGGCGTCGACATCGAGCCCATCCTCGACGCAGGGCCGAGCTTTGCGGGCCTCCACGGCGTCGATGAGGAGGACGACGATGAGGAGGAGGACGGCCACTACGAGAACGGCAACGGCCCGCCACGAAAGATGGCACGCTTCGCATAGGTTTGCTAATGCTACTGCTTCTATGCGTCTGTTCTGAGGGTGAGACAGAGGCTTTGTATGAATGGACCCGGCGAGCGCATTATTTGGCCCTGTTCCGAGGCATCGATCTGACATGTTTGGGCAAAAAAGCGCCTCCGGAGATACTGGACAGCACCAGCGCGTTGAGCTTCTCTCTTCTGCTGGTGTGCGTGCGGTGCGTGGGGTTTTTGGCCTCGGAGCGCGTCTTCGAACTTTTTTTTTTTTCCTGCCTCTTCGGTTTGGTATCGGGACGTCCGAGCTTCATCTGGCAGAAGCTTTTGGGAAATTTTTTCGCTAAGCGAGAGAGTCACCTTCTGCCCGGGCCAGCTTCAGAAAGGTTGCCTTGGGAGTTGGCCGCTGCGTCGCCACAAAAGCTCGGAGCGCTCGAGGTGCTCCTTCCTTCCTAACCCGTTCTCCGCCAAAGAGCCACCCAACTTCATCCTCCTCCTTCCTCCAATTCTCGCGCATCTTAGCTCAGTCGACAATGTCTGCAAGCAACGGTAACGGTCTTCAGGTTCCCCAGGACGTGGCGGTCCTGTCGCCTGCCCAGGCGCTCGAGCACCTCAAGACCTACGCCACCGGCGATGGTCTCAGCATGAGTGAGCTCATCGACTCGCGCCAGCACGGCGGTCTCACCTACAACGACTTCCTCGTGCTGCCCGGCTTCATCAACTTCCCCGCCTCGGACGTCAGCCTGCGCACCAAGGTCACCAAAAACGTCACGCTCAACACCCCCTTCCTCTCGTCGCCCATGGACACGGTCACCGAGACCGAGATGGCCATCGCCATGGGCCTCATGGGCGGCATGGGTGTCATCCACAACAACATGAGCCCGCAGGAGCAGGCCAGCGTCGTCCGCAAGGTCAAGAAGTACGAGAACGGCTTCATCACCGAACCCCTCTGCCTCGACCCCAACGCCACCGTCGGCGACGTCCTCGAGATCAAGGAGCGCCTCGGCTTTGGCGGCATCCCCATCACTGGTAAGTTTGGGCCCTTCGTTCCGTCTCCTTTCCCCACCCTCCCCACTTCAAAAGATGAAACAAACATATTGCATATAACCTTCGTTCTTCCGAGCCTCTCCCTTAGACTTGGGAGAGTGTGTGCGGATGCGATTACATTCTGATTCCTTTTCCCGCTCCTCTGCGCCGCTTTCGCACTTTGATCGGAACACGCGAGCTGACCGCAATTCTGCTATTTGTCGGCTCTATCAGACACGGGCGCCATGCACGGCAAGCTCGTCGGTATCGTCACGGCTCGCGACGTGCAGTTCCGCGACACCGACCTGCCGCTCTCGCAGGTCATGACCACCGACCTCGTCACCGCCCCGCAGGGCGTCACGCTCGAGCAGGCCAACACCATCCTGCGCGACAGCAAGAAGGGCAAGCTGCCCATCGTCGACGCCGAGGGCCGCCTCGTCTCGCTGCTCGCCCGCTCCGACTTGCTCAAGAACCAGAACTTCCCGCTCGCATGCAAGCGCCCGGACAGCAAGCAGCTCTACTGCGCCGCCGCCGTCGGCACGCGTCCTTCGGACCGCGAGCGTCTCACGCTGCTCGTCGAGGCGGGTCTGGACGTGGTCATCCTCGACTCGTCGCAGGGCAACTCGGTGTACCAGATCGAGATGATCCAGTGGATCAAGTCCACCTTCCCGCACATCGACGTCGTCGCCGGCAACGTCGTGACGCGTGAGCAGGCGGCGAGCCTCATCGCTGCCGGCGCCGACGCTCTGCGTGTCGGCATGGGCTCAGGCTCCATCTGCATCACCCAGGAGGTCATGGCCGTCGGCCGCCCCCAGGGTACCGCCGTGCACGCCGTCGCCGAGTTCGCCTCCAAGTTCGGCGTGCCCGTCATTGCCGACGGCGGTATCTCCAACGTGGGTCACATTGCCAAGGCGCTCGCGCTCGGCGCTAGCGCCGTCATGATGGGCGGTCTGCTGGCCGGCACCACCGAGTCGCCCGGCGACTACTTCTACCGCGACGGCAAGCGCCTCAAGGGCTACCGTGGCATGGGCTCCATCGAGGCCATGGAGCACCAGAAGAAGGGCAAGATCGCCGGCGCCACGGGCAAGGGCGCTGCCAAGGCGGACAAGCTCGCCGCCGACGAGAACGCCGCGACGCAGCGCTACTTTTCCGAGAGCGACGCCGTCAAGGTGGCGCAGGGTGTCGCCGGCGCCGTGCAGGACAAGGGCTCGGTCAAGAAGTTCCTGCCCTACCTCTACACGGGCCTCCAGCACTCGCTCCAGGACATGGGTGTGCCGCACCTCCACCTGCTGCGCCCCGCCGTCGGCTCGGGCCAGGTGCGCTTCGAGCTGCGCACCGCCTCGGCCCAGGTCGAGGGCGGCGTGCACGGCCTGCACAGCTACGAGAAGCGTCTCTTCTCGTCCTAGGCGTGCTGATGGCGCCTAGTGGCCCCGCTGCCTAGAAAAAAATGGGCGCTTCCGCTGTTCGGTGGTTGGTGCCTCACACCTGTTTTTAGCACATTCGCATATCCTTTTTCCCTATCTTTCTACTGTACTCTAGTCCGTTTTACCTCGCAAGTCATGCGATTTGCTTCCGATGATGGTGGGGCGAGTGCGAGTGAGGATGAGCAAGCGGGCGCAAAAGTGGGAGAGAGAAGAGGAGAAACCCGGCCGGGAAGAAGGTGGAGTGGAATCTCCACACCGCGGTTGCAGCTCGGCCAAATTTTTCCAGTTCAAAAAAGTGAGAGAGGGCCGGCAGGGTTCAGGTGCAGCTCTCTCTCACTTTGCTGTCACTGGGGCCACGCTCCACATCACCTCCCAACATCACACACACACACACACACACACACACACGCTTGGGCATAGGTATGTTCAAGAGCAAGAAAGGCGGTTCGTCGGAGGCTGCGCGCGACCATGCGAGCATTGCGCTTGCGAGCGGCTTCCTCGCGGTGCCCGTGAGCATTTCGCCGGCCAAGACGAGCAAAAAGGCGGACGAGGTGACGCACTGGGTGTATGTGCGCAAGCACGTCTCGTCGGGTGCATCTTCGGCGGTGGCATCGACATCGAAGCTGACCGAGGCGGCTCAGCTGCCTGCGGAGCGCACGCTGTTCATGGCGAATCTGCCCGTGGATACGACCGAATCGCATCTGCGCAACATCTTCGCCAAGGCAGGCAACATCTCCTCGATCCGCTTCCGCCGCACTGCGAGCGCGGACGATGAGGATGAGCACGAGGAAAAGGGCCAGGGTGAAGATTCCACCGACGACGAAGAGGAGCATCACCAGTTGGTGCAGGCCAAGGGAAAGCGCAACAAGGGTGTGCAGAAGAAGAGTCGAGTGCCGCGTGTTGAGGCACTGCCAAGTTTGGATCCCAGGGAGGCGATGGGCTCGCAGGCGTTGCTGACTACATCATCGTCGGCACACATTGTGTTTCTCGAGCCGAGCTCGCTCGTGCGGGCGCTCGAGCTTCTGCAGTCGGGCATTCGATGGACCGATCCCTTCCGATCGCTTCGTCGTCAAGCCTCAAAGCAGACCGACACTCCCCCTGCTCGCGCCACAACATCGGCATCCTTCCTCCTCTCCGCCGGAGCGGGCATTCCACCCGTGGGATTGGAGCTGCTGCTGGGACAGTACTCGGCGTGTCGTCCCGAGCTGTCGGAGGTGCAGGCGTGGGCGGACTCGCGCGTGGCGCTCTACCAGTACCGCCGCGCCCACCCGCTGCCGCGCAAGATCGGCGTGCGCGGCGTAACCGTCGGCCCCACGGGCGAACTTTTGGACGAGGACGGATTCATCATCGTCCAGCGTTCGGGCAAGTACGGCCGTGCCGGTGCAGCGGCCGATGCAGGCGGCAGCGTCGGTGTGGCCAAACACGACTTTAAGCCCAACACCAAGAACAAGGGCGAGGGTCTGGAGGACTTCTACCGGTTCCAGATGCGCGAGCGCAAGAGGCAGCAGCTCGCCGACCTGCGCGCCAAGTTCGAGGCCGACAAGCAGAAAGTCGCCTCCCTCAAGGCAGGCAGGCGCTTCAAGCCGTATTAGGCTCGCAATGGTACCACACGAGCATCCTTTGCCGCATCGGACATGGCGTGTGACGTGCGAGTGTGTGCGTGAGTGGTCGGTTTTGAGAAGGCTACAAGTACATGCGCAGGGAGATGCGTGGAATGGAGGCTGCGAAAGCGGTGGCGCAAAGTTGGGCGCGCGGTCTAGTCGTCGTCCGGTGTCTCTCTTCGGAAGCTGTTGGTAGCAAAGGCGTGAGCGGTCATAAGTCAGTATGTGCATATGAGTGCTTGAAGGTCTGTGGGGTGGGTACTTACTACATGTCGATGGCGCCCGAGAATGCGGCGAAAGCGACGCCTCCGCCAATAGCCGCCTTGGGGCCCGAGTTCCTGGCAAGAATCGCACCAGCAGCAAAGCCAGCCGCCACTGGATTGACCAAGTCGTTCTTCGCTCTGTACTAATCCCGGCCGCGAACAACATTGTCAGTTACTCTCTCCTGTGCTTATGTGGCGGGGTGGGTTAGAACTTACGGCTTCGATACAGCATTCGATGCCCGAGTAGAGTGCGCCAACTTTACCGAACCCCTTTCCGGAACGGTACATGCTCTTGCCCGTCTGACGGAAGAACTCTTTTGTGCTTTGCATGGTCGACATTTCCCCCACGCCCTTGGTTGCATCCAGCCCGTTGGCGGCGAGTGTCGTGCGGCGAAGCGGGTCGTCGACCGCAAAACTCGTCGACATGAGCGAGAAGAACGCTCCGAGTCCAAACCCGGCCGCGCCAGAGAGCAGACACTTGGTCGGACACGACTCCATGCTCATGTTGGCGATCTTGTTCCACTTGGCGATCTTTTGCACCTCGGCACGGTCGTCCTCGGTCATGCCCGGCGGTAATGGCTCCGTACCCGGCACGTAGACCGGCGCCATGAGCGGACGAAGATGCGCCATAATTCGAGCGTTTCCAGAAGGATACTGAAGTGCACAATGCAGAGGTGCCGAGCGTGCGTTGTTGCCCGGTTCGAGTTCGACCGCAAAAGAGTCAGGCACAAGAGACTCGGGGTGATGAGATGTGCCAACGAAGGATGCCAGGTGTCGAGCAAGAACAAAGAACAACGCAAGGGTTCACAGCAGGAGCAAACCGGAATTTCTCAAAGCTCAGCCGCTCAAAAAAGCCTCGACTCGCCCCCACCACCGCGTAATTCTCCGAATCCCGAACCGCGACTTGCTTCCTCTGCTCACCAACTCAGCCTCACGAGCACACACAGACACGAGACGCACAGGAAAAAGACGATTGCATTCAGCGGTACAGCAAGATCACAGGTAGAGGCCTTCTGGGGTGCCCTCGTTCTTTCGGTCGATGACGCGCTCGCGTGCGGTGGTAAAGTCCTTCTTGGTGACGCGCATGCGCCTCTCGCGCAGCGCGAGCAGACCGGCCTCGGTGACGAGCGACTTGATGTCTGCACCCGAGAGGTCGTCCTTCATGGCGACAAACTCCTCGAGGTCGACGTCGGCGTCGAGGTTCATGCGCGAGGTGTGCAGCTTAAAGATGTGCATCTTTGTCTTTTGGTCCGGCAGCGGGAACTCGATCTTGCGGTCGATGCGGCCGGGACGGATGAGCGCCGGGTCGAGCGACTCGATGCGGTTGGTGGCCATGATGACCTTGACGTCGTGGCGTGTGTCGAAGCCGTCGAGCTGGTTGAGCAGCTCGAGCAGCGTGCGCTGAATCTCGCGCTCGCCGCCCGAGTTCGAGTCGTATCGCTTGGTGCCCACCGCATCGATCTCGTCGATGAAGACGATGCTGGGCGCGTGCTCGTCCGCCACGCGGAAGAGCTCGCGCACGAGCTTGGGACCGTCGCCGAGGTACTTTTGGATGAGTTCGGATCCGACGACGCGGAGGAAGGTGGCCGAGGTCTGGTTGGCGACCGCCTTGGCGAGCAGCGTCTTGCCCGTGCCGGGCACGCCGTAGAGGATGACACCCTTGGGCGGCTTGATGCCCATCTCTTCGTAGAGTTCGGGATGTGTGAGCGGCAGCTCGACCGACTCCTTGATCTCCTGGATCTGCGTCTCGAGGCCGCCGATGTCGGCGTAGCTCTCCGAGGGCGCCTTGTCGAGCTTCATGACGCTCACCATGGGATCGGCGTCGTCCGAGAGCACACCGACGATGGCCATGGCCTTGTGGTGGAGGAGGACGCTGCAGCCGGGCTCGAGCAGGTCCTTGTCGACGAAGCTCATGATGCTGACGTAGTACTCGGGGCCGGTGGCGCTGCTGACGATGGCGTGTTCGTCGTCGATGATCTCCTCGAGCGTGCCGACGGCCATGGGGCTGCCTCTGAGGTCGTCGACGCGTGTGCGCTCCTCTGCATCCTTGTCCTCCTGCGGCTTGAGACGCTCCTGGTTCTGCACAAACTCCTCCTCGAGCAGCAGGTGGTCCTTGATGCGCTCGAGCTTGAGCAGCTTCAATCGGCAGCGTGTGTTCGGGTAGACGGCGGGCAGCTTGGACGACGAGTCGGGTCCGCGCTTCTTCTTCTTGCCGACGCGTGTTGGAAGGGGAGGTTCCCACTTCTTCTGCTGGTCCTTCTTGTTGTCCTTGCCGCCGCGGCCGGGCGCGCCGCCACTAGGTGCTTGACCCATGATGCGACGAGCGGGTGCGTGCGGAGAAGAAGTTGGAGATGCGTTGCAATGGACAGCCGGGCGGAAGAGCGTCGAGATGAAAGCTGGTCGATGCGAGTGCGAGTGCGAGTGCGAGTGCGAGCTCTGAGATCGAGTGGGCGTCGAAGCTGGACGATGCTGAAGGTGACCGTGTGAGTTGAAGCAGGGGAGTGGAGTGGGCCGCAATACAACACCGCGCGAGCAAGCCCCATTGCAGGTGGAGTGAGCGGCGGCCAATTTGCGATCGGACGCGCGTCCACAAATGCCGAGCTGAGCGACTCGAGTGCCGTGCGAGTGGTCGGTTAGTAAGCACCACTAAGCACACACCCGCCCTCGTGATTTCCACAATTTTTGCCGCTTGGCTCTCTTTTCCTCTGTGGAGCGCAAGGGCGAGAGGAGGGGAAAAAAAAGAAAAGGGAAAGAAGCAGTTTGGAATTCACTCTCCTTTGCCCAAGGCCTGAGAGGCGAAAAAAATTCGAGGGCGGCGGCGAGCAGCGTCTGTTGTCTGTCGAGTGGCATTTTTTTGTGCTCTCTCGTCGGCAGAGTTGCGAGGCAGCGGCGGCGGCACTGCGAAGGACAAAGCTGATTTGGTTTGCAGTTCTTCTTCTCCTTCTTGCTTCCCCATCCCCTGATCACCGTCACCATCAGCACCCGCTCGGATCGCCTCCTCCTGAGCACGTAGAGACGTCACAGTCGCCTCTCAGAATCGAGACCTCCCCCACCGACCACCTCTGGGCGTCTCGCTTTCATCCAACCCTCTTCACCCGTCTGCAGCGGCCGTAAAGCCACAGACACACCGTCGCCATGGTCAAGGTACTCTTCGAGACCGCCGTGGGCTTCTGCCTCTTCAACGTGTCGGACTCGTCCAAGCTCGAGTCCACCAAGAACCTCCACGAGTCGCTCGACTCGGCCCAGGGCGCCACCAACCTCCTCAAGCTCTCCGCCATCCACCGCTTCACCAACACCGCCGAGGCCGTCGAGGACATCTCGGCCATCAACGAGGGCAAGATGAGCAAGAGCCTCAAAAAGTTCCTCACCGACGAGATCGTCGATGCAAAGGGCAAGGACAAGGAGAACCTCATCGTCGCCGAGTCCAAGCTCGCCTCCACCATCGCAAAGAAGCTCGGCATCCAGGTCACCTACGACTCGGAGCTGCTCGACCTCTACCGCGGCATCCGCGAGAACCTCGCCACGCTCCTCTCCTCCTCCTCCGGCGGCGAGTCGCTCGACCCGCGCGACCTCAACACCATGAGCCTCGGTCTCTCCCACTCCTTGAGTCGCTACAAGCTCAAGTTCAGCCCGGACAAGGTCGACACCATGGTGGTGCAGGCCATCGGCCTCCTCGACGACCTCGACAAGGAGATCAACATCTACGCCATGCGCGTCAAGGAGTGGTACGGCTGGCACTTCCCCGAGATGGGCAAGATCATCACCGACAACCTCGCCTACGCCAAGGTCATCCGCGCCATGGGCTTCCGCACCAACGCCTCCGCCACCGATTTTAGCGAGATCCTCCCCGAGGAGATCGAGGAGACGCTCAAGGCCGCCGCCGAGATCTCCATGGGCACCGAGATCTCCGACACCGACCTCGAGCACATCTGGAGCCTGTGCGACCAGGTCATCTCCATCACCCAGTACCGCACCCAGCTCTACCAGTACCTCCAGAACCGCATGGCCGCCATCGCGCCCAACCTCACCGCGCTCGTCGGCGACCTCGTCGGCGCACGCCTCATCAGCCACGCCGGCTCGCTCATGAACCTCGCCAAGCACCCGGCCTCGACGGTGCAGATCCTCGGCGCCGAAAAGGCGCTCTTCCGCGCGCTCAAGACCAAGCACGACACGCCCAAGTACGGCCTCATCTACCACACTTCGCTCGTCGGCCAGGCGCCACAGAAGCTCAAGGGTAAGATGGCGCGCATGGTCGCCACCAAGGCCGCGCTCTCCATCCGTCTCGACGCGCTCGCCGACGCCGAGACCAAGGGCGACGAGGGCGCGCCCACCGTGGGCATCGAGGCGCGCGCCAAGCTCGAGTCGCGCCTGCGTGCGCTCGAGATGCAGAGCGGCATGTCCGGCATGCGCTCCGCAAGGAACGCCGCCGGCGACAACGGCTACAAGCAGAAGGCCTTCCAGATGGAGGCGGGCGGTCGCTCGTACAACGCCGCTGCCGACGCTGCCGGTCCGAGCGACATGGCTGCTGCCGCCAGCATCGCACCCTCGATGCTCCCCTCCACACCCGCCAAGGCTGGTGCGGATGAGGACGAGAAGAAGCTGTCCAAGGAGGAGCGCAAGGCGCTCAAGAAGGCGAGGAAGTCCGAGGTGGCTGCGTCGGAGCCCGCCACGCCCGCTGCGGCAACGGACGCCGGCGAGGCGGAGCTGTCCAAGGAGGAGCGCAAGGCGCTCAAGAAGGCCAAGAAGCAGGAGGCCAACGGCACCGAGACGCCCAAGAAGGAAAAGAAGGACAAGAAGAAGCGCTCGGCAGACGAGGCCGACGTCACCGCCACGCCCAGCTCCGAGCCAGGGTCGAGCAAGAAGAAGAAGTCCAAGAAGGACTAAGCCCGCGACGTCGTTTCGTCGTCGCCATCCCACTTGATCCTGTTTCTTGTACATTTTTCTCGTTCGCTGCTCTTTTCGCCGGGGAAGCCTAGTTCTTTCTCTGCTCATCTCGGCCGCTTTTTCTGTACCGTGTGCTGTAGTAATACGTCCTTGATCTCACACACTGCTCTCGCGCGAGGGTCTACGCTTTTGAGACGGATGTGCAACTTCTGAAAGCGTGTTTTTTTGGAGATTGCCTTTGCCGCTTTGAACGATGCAGGTGCGGGGGGTTGTTCTAGACGACACGACGCACTTCGAACTGGCGCTTGACAAAGTAGACCTGGCACGAGCATACGGCGATGAGGATGAAGCCCTGGATGATGGACCACCACTTGACGCGCGTGTTTGTGCTTTCCGCAGCTGTTCCAACGCAAGAAACCTCGAATCAGCTCACCTTTTCTCCAGCGTACGACACTGTAAGGGTTTGGGGTGTGGACTTACTGTTCCTGTGTACGCGTTCACGAATGACCAGGTACTCCTGTTCGTCTTTGACAGCCTGGAGGCCCGCCGCGAGGTCTCTGATTTCGCGTTCGATGGGGAGCATATCTCCCTCGTCGGGGACATAGATGATGCCGTGCACATTGAAGCTGACCGTCTTATCCGAAACGGTGCTGAACTCGTTGGAGAAGCAGTACGAGTATCGGCCGTCGTCCTGAGCCGTGAAAGAGTAGGTGCCCGTATCTTTGCGGTCCTGCTTGAAGAGAGCGCGCGACTTGGGATCGTACAACACAACATCGATGTCGAGATGTCCACCACCTCCCACCTGGTACGTGAGCGTCATTTGGTCGCCGTTGTGCAGGTCCTCGAAGAAGCATTCGCTGCTGTGCGGGAGCAGCTCGATCATGTGTGCGCGGGCGGGTGCAGCCGACAATCCGAGCACGACCAACAGAGCCAATGCCCATGCGGACAGTATCGCCGTGAGTCTCGCCATCCTCTCGTGCGCGCGGTGGGTGTATGAGGTGGTGGTCGTGGGGGCGAAATGCAAGCACGACGAGGTGTGAGACATGTGCAAATGGCGCCCCGAGCGGCAGCGCCTGCCAGCAACGTCTTGCCGGCCTTCCAGCTCGACAGCCAAGTGGGATCGACGCGATCGGCCCGATTCGACAGTGTCTCTCAGTATCGGCGTAACAAATTGGAATGTCGCGCTTCAACCCAACACCGGGCACCACAGCGCAGTGTGCGGAATTCGATCACTTGGCTAGGCGATTGGGTGCGGAAAAGAGCGCGGTGCAGCGCTGCAGTTGCAGCTGAGTTTGGAGTTGGGTGGATTGCGCCTCTTTGAGCTGTTGGTTTGGGAATTTTTTGCCGCTCCAAGCCAACCGCAAGCCAGCCAGCCAGCCGCGCCTCTGTGTCGGAGGCTTCTTCGGTCTGTTGCTTTGGCGTGCGGATGTAAGTGTGAGTGTGCCTTTGGGCGTGTGCCTTTTAAGGTGCGCTTTGCAGGTGGCATTCGAGTGTTTCAGGCAGGCAGAGGAACCCCAGCTTGAGAAGCTGTTGCAGAAACTGGCTTTTGTTCTCCACCACCATCCCCCTCATTCTCAACACCCACACACATCACACAACATGGCCGACACCGAAGCTACCAAGCCCACCGTCGATGCTGTACGTCTTTCGCCTGTACTCGAGCATCGCTGATTTCGTCACTGACCCGTTTTTTGTTGCTTTTTGTTGCTTTCTGGCGCGCCACAGACCGAGCAGGCTGGCTCGGGCGCTGCTGCCGAGGAGGCGGAGAACGACCCGCACTTTGAGCCCGTCATCAAGCTCGAGAACCAGGTGGAAGTCAAGACGCACGAGGAGGACGAGTCGGTGACGTTCAAGATGCGCGCCAAGCTCTTCCGCTTCGACAAGGAGGCCAAGGAGTGGAAGGAGCGCGGCACGGGCGATGTGCGTCTGCTCGAGCACAAGCAGACGCACAAGGTGCGCCTCGTGATGCGCCGCGACAAGACGCTCAAGGTGTGCGCCAACCACTACGTCACGAGCGACATGAAGCTCAGCCCCAACGTCGGCTCCGACCGCTCGTGGGTGTACAACGTGGCTGCCGACGTCGCCGACGGCGAGCCTACCGCCGAGACGCTTGCTATTCGCTTCGCCAACTCGGACAACGCCAACGCGTTCAAGGACGCCTTTGAGGCCGCACAGAAGTCCAACGCCGCCTCTAAGTCCGACGCACCACCCACCGCCGCCGCCGACGACGACAAGAAGGACGCCGCACCAGAAGCGGCCAAGGGCGACGACAAGAAGGATGACGACAAGAAGGACGAGTAGACGCCCAAGGGATGCATGGCGCAAAACGCAGACACGCTCCAAGCTGTAACCCGCGACCGCACGTCGACTGCAATCCCAACGCCACATGAGCGCACGCCCATGCCGGCCCGAGCTGCACACGGGTTGATATCCCCTTCCAGCCACCTCTGCCTTGCGCCTTGTCCTCTCCAACGCATCTTTCCCCATCCAACTCAATCGTAACACAATGCAACATCACATTTTTGGATCAAGTCGGCTGGGGTGTTTTGGCAAGGCTCGTGTGTGTCGATTCGCTAGGTTTGAGTCGATTCGCTTGGATGTGACTGGGCATCCTCTTCGTGCCACCGCGTTCGGATGCGCGCGACGACCGTGCCGAGCGCAGCGGGGTCGAGCGGCGTTTGGGTGTCGATGAGCGCTTTGAAGCGGGCCGCAATGACGGCGCGGATGAGTTCGAGTGCGCGGCGGGTGTACCAGCCCGTTTCTGGGTCGAATGTATCGCGCAGCCAGCGTGTGCCCATCCTTTCCAGCGGCAGCACCGAATCCTTTGGCAACTCGTCATCATTGCGCCGCCAGATGTACGGAGTGATGAGCGGATCCTCGATATCGCACAGCTGAAAGTTGCCCACCCCCCGTCGCAGCGTCACGCCATCAAACACATGCGTACTCCCCGCCTTCTCTCCCAACCCCACTGCACCCATACTCGGCACCTCTTCCTCTTCTTCCTCTTCGGCGGTAGTGGATGGGCGGTGGACAGTGCTGCGCAGAAACACGCGCTGGTAAATACGACTGCTGCAGTCGCTGCGCACATCATACCCGAAGCGCACGATCGTATCGCGCCACGGTCCGCCCACCATCGAATAGCCCACGAGCGCATAGTACACCTTTTCGTTGTTGCCCCCCATCTCGCGCACCCCGTTGGCGTCCAACTGACTCTTGAGTGCCACGCGCGACCATACCGGTCTCTCTGCCAGCAACTCCCTCAACCTCGCCACCACGCTCGCATCACACCGATGCTCAATCCGCACCACATCCGCCGCCGGCTTGGTCGGCACCCGGCTGTCCTTTCCTACGCGGAACGGCTGCGGCGCAATGTTGAGCCGCACCCGGTTGACGAATCGCTGCATCCCCGGCTCTCCCGCCAGCGCGTGCGCAAAGCTCCGGCCCCCCGCAGGCGTTGCAAGATGCGGAGTTGCGGGTACGCTGCGCAGCTCGCTGTACGGTGTTTGCTGAAAGCCGTAGCTAAAGGGCACATCCATGCGGCTAAAAAAGGCGGGTGGCACCATCCCAAGCTGGCTAACCCCGTCGCGGGTCTGGTAGTCTTCGTCCTGAACGGGCACGCGGAAGCGCTCAAACGCCGCCAGATCCATTGTAGCTAGCGCCTTGTGCATCGACATGACTGCGTCGAGCTCGGGCTCTGCGCGTGCGCCATTGGAGGTGGGAGTGGCGGTCGTGGTGATAGCGGGCTGAAAGGCGTAGTCGGCCATGCTGCGGAAGCGCACCGTGTTGGAAGCCATGCCGAGCGCATGCACCGCATACTCCTTCTTTACGCGGCCGGTGTACCAATCGTTCGCATCGCCATTTCCGTGCATCTGCTGCGCTGCTGGCGGTGCGGTACCGGCGAACAGGGCTGGATCGAGCGCACTGTCGTGAGCCTCCACCGGCGGGGATGGCGGACGTTTGCGCTTCTGCCGCCAGGTACGCTTCACGATGCGCAGGACCACGTTGCTGGTGGGCACGACTTCGCCGATGAGCGGCGAGCGGTACACATTATCTACACCTCCATCAAAGCCGCCGAGCCGGCACTCGACGACGCGCAGACCGTCGTTGGGGATGCGCGCGAGGAAGCGCAGGCCCTCGTGCGCGCTGCTCGTCAGCGGCGGCAGTGTCGACGGGTGCAGCGTAGACAGCGCACGCTCGAGGCTGGCTGACGATGGTCCAGCAGCATCTTCGGAGAGGATGCCGGGGTACTCGACGCTCAGCAGTGTGGTGGCCGGAATAGCGCGTGGCTGGATGGTGCGTTCCGTGATGGATTCGGCTGATGAGGCCGGCTGCGAGGGTAGGCTGGGATCGAGAGCTCGCGCCTTGCCCTTGGCCGTCGACGAGTGCGACATGGTCGCGCGCGCTGTGATTCCAAAAGCGTCAGGAGCAAAAGCGTCAGGAGTGTGGTGTGTCGCAGTATGCTTGCATTGCTCTCGGTGGGATGGCAACAAAGGTGAGCAGCCAAGTGACACTTTTTGGGCGCTCCCAAGTGGAGAGCTGGGCTCAAAGGCCGAGTTCCGAATCTTTGGCAATCGGGGGCTTCCACTCAACGCGACGCGCGACTTTTTCCCCCCAAATTCCACGCTCACCGCCGCGGTCTCTCGCGTTGCCCTCATTTTTGGCGCGGCGCCAAGTCCAACACCCCAACACTCGGCGCGCGTGTCTTTGACTCTTTGCCTCTCCACCATCGCCTTTCTCTCTCGTCTCCATTCGCGCACCATGGTCGCCTCCGAACTCACCGTGCGGCTCGCACACCACTTTGGGCCGTACATCGCCACGGACCCAGCGTTGCTCTCGGAAACCACGTCGATCTGCACCCACTACGCAGTCAGCCCCGAAGACTTGTACTATAAGTGGGAGGCGTTTGCGTTCAACCACAAGTTGCCCAAGTCGGAGCCGCTCACGGTGGACCATGCGCGCGAGCTGCGCAAGATCGTCGCTGCCAGCGTCAACACCGCTGCGTCGGCGGAGGCGACAAGCACGCCGCTCAAGCCCTCGGCGGCGCTCAACCGCGCCAAAGTCGCGCCGGACTTCAACGCGATGCTGGGCATCAAGGGCACGCCCTCCAAGAGTGGGCCGAGTGCGTTCCAGACCCCGGTGAGGCAAGCGACGAGCGGGTCGCCGTTCGCGCAGGGGGCTACACCTACCGCGTCGGCGTACAAGCCCGCGGCCAGCGCACGTGCGATGGAGACGGACGTGGTCATGTCGGACATCGACTCGCCCTCGCGTCCCCCCGCTGCCCCCTCGGCTGCTGCTGCTGCGTCAAAGCCGGCGTTTTCGGTGCTCGAGTCGCTGAACGAGCATCTGGCACTCAGTGGGTCGGGGAGCCAGCTGGCGCCGCCACCGCAGGCGGGCAAGAAGGTGGCCACGCGCGTGTCGCTCGCCATGGCCACCGACCCGAAAGCGTGGAACTACCGGTACATGTTTGAGAAGAAAGACGAGCGGTCGCAGGTTCTCGACGACCGCATCGACGAATACGCCTCGCTGCTGCGCGCGGCATACTCGCTCGACGACGAAGAGCTGGGCGACCCCTCGCTGCCCAGCCAGGAGCCGATTTGGGTGGTGGGACGGATTTGCCCCGCACTGCCTGCACCCGAAAGTTCAGCGGGGGCGGGGGTGAAGGCAAAAGGTGCCTCGCGCAGAGGAGGAGAGGAGGACGCTTTTGGACTGCCGAAACTTGCCGAGACGGGCGTGGTGTTGGAGAGTTCGCGCATGATGGGGTCTGGCAACCGTACGCCGCTCGTGTTTGCCCGAGGATGTGTGGTGCGACACACCCCGCAGGATCCAGGAACGGGTGGGGGAGCGACGACGCTGAGTTTGTTTCCGGGACAGATGGTGCTGTGCAAGGGCATCAATGCGGGTGCGGACAAGTTCAGCGTGAGCGAAATCTGCTTCCCGCCTCCGCTGCCCCTTGCCGTACACACGCAAGACGAGGCTTTGGATCATTCGTATGCGCAACACAAGCTCAACGGTGCTGCACTCAACATCGTCGTTGCTGCGGGGCCTTTTACATCGGAGCATGATTTGGACTTCAAACCATGGCATGCGCTGATGGACCAACTCGAAGCTGGCGGTATTCCAGCCGCTGAAGGGAGGAGAGGTGTTCCGGATACCTTGATTCTTATGGGTCCCTTCATTTCTGCCGACCATGCCGCTGTAGCTCTGTCGACCGAGCTTCCCGAAGAGATCTTTGCCAAGCATTTCTCGACGAGGATCGGCGAATTGGTGGGCAAGTTCGCCGTTAGCGTTGTGCTTGTTCCGAGCACGGGCGACTTGTTGAACGTGCATTCGGCCTATCCCCAGCCTGGGTTCGATAAGGAAGAAGCGGTCGAGTGGGGTTTGCCAAAGCAACGCGTTCGATGCCTCCCCAACCCCAGCACATTCTACATCAACGAACTCGTCGTTGGCGCTACGACAGCCGATTCGTTGGGCGACATCAAGGCGGAAGAAATGGTCACCCGAATCGAAGCTTCCCCCACCATCACCTCGGTTGCAACCGAGGCGGTGGCAGCACGGAATAAGGAAACCAACACCCGGTGGAGTCGTGCCATCCTCTCACAACGATCCTTCTACCCACTCTACCCACCACCGACAGCAGCAAGACTGCCGTACGATACAAGCCATAGCCATCTGCTCAACTTCCCCGCAGTCTCCCCCGACTTGCTCTTGATGCCAAGCACAAAGATCACCAAACCTTTCATCAGGGTCGTTGCATCCTCGACCATCGTTCAACCAGGATCCCTAGCCGCAGGCTCCCTAGCATCCATCCACATCAACCCCTTTTCAAAGGACCAGCTCGAAAAGGAGCCCACCCTCAACGCCAACCTCTACGACCGTGCACGCATCGACCTCATCAC